ACCCTAACCCTAACCCTAACCCTAACCCTAACCCTAACCCTAACCCTAACCCTAACCCTAACCCTAACCCTAACCCTAACCCTAACCCTAACTGCTTTTCTACCTCTGCTGCTGTCTCTCCTAACACTAACCCTAACTTCTCTTTGCACTCGCACATGTTGCATCTTTCCTTGCCTTCCTTGCAACACACATAGCCCTCCTGCCTGTCTATCACCTAGTCTAATACTACCTGCTAGCACTGTAACCTTTCTATAAACTCTTCTATTGCTGCCTTTAATACTAACCTATCCTTGCCCTCTTCTTTTTGCTTTATCTAACTGCCTATCCCCTCTTCTTGCTGCCTCTGACTACTGCTGCTTTTGCAAACCATTACTGCCTTGCTTGCTTCCCTGTCTTGCCTTGCTTGCCTACTCTCTTGCGCATAATCTTGTAACTAATGCAGCGCCTTTGCATATACTACTATCTGCACGTCTGCAATGTCAATGCCTATCCCCAATGCGTTTGTTGTTACAATTACTTGACTACCCTTGACCTACTCTCTTAACTGCCATGTCTTGCCTTCCGTTGTATCTACCTTGCTGTAAAACACTAGACATGACAATAACTTGCCTAACTATTCCACTTGCTTGACTTTTCTGCTATATACGATTACCTTTTTGCTTCTATACTTTTCTAACCTTTCCTGTATAACCTGGCACACCTCTTTGTCTTCTACCTCTGCTGTCGAAACTCTCTTTACCTAGTAACCTACGTTTTTTTTTGTCGTTGCTGACCTAAACAAACAAACCTGCTGCCTGTCTATTCTTATCCTTGCGAAAAACTCCTTTACATCTGCTAGCGCCAATGTTGCTGTCAAAAACACTATCTGCACCTTTATCTTCCACAACATCTTGCCTAACTTGCCTAACTGCGGCTGGAATGTCTTATTGCTGTCTAACACTATGTGACACTTGTCTACAAAAACCTAGTCTAACTACCTTTGCGCTTGCAACTAGTTGACAAATGACTAGAAACCTTTTGTTACTGCTAACTCTAGCGTCACAAATATGATTGACGCTGCTTGGTTTGCCTTCTAGCTTTGCCAAACATGTGAATTGATCTTGCATGACTTGCACTGCCTATGCAAATCCTCTTGCAACGCCACTAACAGCACTATTACAATTGTTACTCTTTCTAGCAAACAAAATGCTAGCAATATAAACGACATGCTCTTACCCTTCCCTATCCCTGCTACCTGCATAATTGGACTCTTTCTTTAGATGATTGCCTAGATTACCTTTTTTTGCATGCTGCGAAACTGTGCCTTTTTCTCTATTATGACCTTTAACTGACCTTTTATGTCTACCTGCTGCAACTGCGTAAACTGCTAGAACTGTGCCTCCTTTTGCATGCTGTCAAACATGTCTGGCTTCTATTTCTCTCCTAACCCTAACCTTGCAACCCTGTCTTTTGCGCCAAACTTGAAAAATCGGTGCTATTTCTAGCTGATTGCCTAGAACCAATCCTGCCATGCAACTGTCTTAAACACCTCCTGCTGCAACTCTTGCGCATATATTATCTCTGCTACGTGCATGCTATGTCTAGCTTGCAAATCCCAAATGCTGTCTAACATGCCTTTGTTGTCTTTGTTAAACTTGCTATCCTTGCCTATGTCCTTTCCAAATGCCTTGTTTAAATACTGGTTTGAAATTGCAATTGCAATATGCCTTTACATGCTTATGCCAACCTGCGCCTTTAGATACTGCCTGCTATGCTGCTGCATAATCTGCTGTATTTGGTCTAGTGTCTACTTCTGCTTTTAGATTTACGCTGCCTGTGTAACCTTGTTTTCTGCCTCTCCTTTGTCTCTAACCTTGCCTTCTTTTGCTTTGACTTTTGCCTTTCTAATAGCCTTGTCCTTGCGCTTTACAATCTCGTCTGCCTACAAAAATGCACTTGGCTTGTTTGCCTTTTTGACTATCCTTTGCATCTGCTGCCAAAATGGCAACACTAACTACAAATATCACACTAATAACTTGCCTACCTTGCGTGGCAAGTACTAGTGTATAACCTTGACTTTGCCTATGCTGTGGTAATTCTTGTGATATGACATTACAAAACTTGCCATGCCTTAGTCTATTAATATGTTGCGCACTTTGCTATATACTATGTTGCAGTGCTGTATCTCTATAATCTCCTACGACTATGCTAGCATCTCCCCTAACATGTGTATCAATTGCAATAACCTTTCCTAGAACTGCTTTACTGCTAACCTATACTTGCGCACTGCTTTAGCCTAGTATAGCATCTTGTTGCTGCCTCTTGCTGCCATCTACTCTTTCTACTTGTCTGCCTGCTGCGAAATCTGCTGCACTATCTAACCCTAACTCTTTGCCAACCACTTGTTGCAATTGTCTTGCAAAAATGAATATCTAACCTAGTCCTTGCTATGGTTGTCTTTTATCTGCCTTTACTTAATTGCTAGCACTAACCTAAAATCATCGCCTTTTACTATCAATAGCTTGCCTAATTTAGCCCTTACCTTTTTGACTATCTTGTGCAACATATTTGCCAAATTGTTTGTCTCAATCTTTATCTGCTGGTATGTAATCTAATCCCTAACCTAATCAACTGTCTCTGCCGCTAGCGTTGTGAACTAGACTTGCATTCTATACATGCGCGAATTGAATATCTAATCTATTAGGCTTGGCTTAGACTTGTCTGACACGATTGTTATAAACTGCTTAACCTTTGGCTAGGTGATTTTGAATAACCTAGTTGCTGCCTTTTGCGCCTTCTCTACACTTATTGTCTTCTCTAATGCTGCTACCTTGTCTTGCTGCTTAACTACTAACTAATACATGACTAACATTTGCGTTACCTTGATGACTGCTGAATACTTTAGCGTGTAATCCTTTAGCTTGTACTAACTGTTGTCATTGCGCAATCTTAACACTGCCAAACTGCTAATTAATGCGCTTTTGTATGGCATGTCTTTGTATTAGTAGTTGAAAAACGCAACTGTTGCATTTAAACATAACTAGTCTGCCTAGTCTGCCTAGTCCTTACACCCTTGCTGCTTTACCTTATCTAATAGCATTATGCTCTCTACCTGCACACGCTTCTCTACTGCCTTGCAAAACTTGTCAAACAAATTACCTTGCTTTTTGGTGAATATATATGGCGGCTGGTTTTCATTATCCTATTCCTGTGTCTGCTGCATGTAATATAACAACTTGCAGTACACTTTTTTGTAATCTGCCTACGTATCCTCCTCTATCTACCTGTCAAACAGCTTTTTTTGCTTGACGTAAACCTCCTTTTTGTTAATTTTGAACAACATTGCATGCCTATGCTGCTTTACTACTGCCTCTCTTGCCTACTCTATCACTTGCTCTATGCTTTCCCATATCTGCTGCAATATTACCTTGTCTTTGCCAATTGGCTTAACTATGCTGCGCAACTAGGCTAGGTCTAAACCTTTCAAATGCGTCGGCTAACTAATGCAGTCTAACTACCTGTTTGGCTTAGCCTTCTTGTCGCCTGCCTTAATTAACTGCCTTTTTGACTTGAACTGCGCTGTCTAGGTTGCATGGATTTGTGTCAGCTACTTCTCTAATGTTTCTGCACCTACCTTTGCTACCACTGCTAGCTTGCTGCCCTAGCTAACCTTAAACCAACTGCTTCTAAAGCCTGACTAGAAAAATCGCTGACAATGCATGCCTGTTGTCTATAGCACAACCTGCTTTTGCTTTGCTCTTTTTACTACATTACTGCCTTTACTCTAATCATTTGCCTATCTGTAATCATTCTAGCAATGTCGCTGCATCTCTCTCACCTCTATGCTGACAAAGTTGCATTGGTTGCACCTTAAACTAACAACTAGTAGCTTAATAAACAGGATGGGTAGGATGGTGGGTGGCAGGAACTTGAACTTTTTCAACTTATTCTAGGTTCTTGTAATGTCTAGGATTTGGCTTATCAATTCTGCAATCCTTAACCGTTTGCTAGGCTTGATAGACTTATGCTTTGCTTGCAAATGACTAACGACCTTGCCTGCCACGCATTCAATTCCACACTTGCATATTAGAAACGGGTATTTAGGCAAACAAACAAATAGCTCTATGGTGGTTTGAATGCGTGTCTTGGCTAACTACTAAATGGTTACAACTATAGCCTTACACTACCGTTTGCCCCTATTTACCCCAGACAACAGGCCAATGCGTCGTTAGCCTCTGTAACGCTACACTAGCTTGGGTAATGCTAACAAACAAAACCTATAGCTTTTCCTACCTACAAGCATTTTACTGACTTGAAAATGGCACTAAAGATTTCGCCTGCATTTGAGCTTTATGCGCATACTGATTTTGTCAATTTTACCGCTGAAAATGTCTACAAGCTCTGCCTTCTGTTTCTCTACGAGCTCTGCCCCCTGTCTTCACTAGCGCCATTTCAAATTACATGACGTTTTCTTTGAGCACAGCTTGTGCTTGTCGCTGTATTTGGGGGTAGGAAAATCTAGTGTCTTTTAAAAGACAAGATTAGGCATCTCCTAGAGGTTAAAGGTTTGGTGTCTCCTAAAGGTAAAAATCTAGCGTCTCTTAAGAGACAAAGTCTAGTGTCTCTTAGAGGTAAAGGTTTAGTGTCTCCTAGAGGACAAATTCTTAGCCTTAACCTAAAGGCCAAACACAAGCAAGCCTACTACTATTGCAGATAAAAAGTGCAAAACCCTTAAACTTAACCCAAACATGCTACTTTTAAAGCTATCTGCTATGCTATAGCATAAGCAATAGCTTAGTAAAGCAATTTGCTTTACTTTTCTCTAAACCTAACCTAAATGCTAAAGCTATAAACTTTGCATTAAAATAGTTATAGTAAATCTAGCGCTAAGAAGAGAAAGGATGGTAGAATTAGAAAAGGCAAGAAATAAGTTGTTTCTAGTGCTTTACTTTTGCTTTACTTTATTTAATACTATGCTTTGTTTTGCAAAATCAAAATCACTCTTAAAGAGCCTTTAGCTAAGTCTAATTTTTTTCCGTTGCGTATAGCCTTAACTGTAAAAAAATTACCAAGGCAAATTTTGCAAAGTTAGTAAGCTCCTAAAGGGCTAGCTTACCACTTCGCAAAATTTAGCGCAGCGTGCCGCAGGTTATTTTAATTGTCATGCCAGCGGTGGCATAGGCGCGCTTGCTTCCTGCAGTACCTGCTAGCCTTGACAGCGGCGCTAAGCTCTACTGATAAGATTAAAGCTAACGAGCGGCCTATCACGAAGCTACGTGAGGTGACAGTGCGTGGGAAACAAGCCCGTTCATCGTCGCTGCCAATTAGTACGCATTGAGAGGTGGCTTTGAAATTGCGTCGAACATTGCATAGCGCGGCTTACTTTAAGCAACGCAGCTAGTCTACCTCCTAGACGCGCTTGGGTTGTGCAGCGTGAGCGTCAACTTAGAGACTAGGAGTAAGTACTTGCCGCTTGACAACCACGGAAAGGATAAACCAAGGGTAACTCTAGCTTATGAGGACTATGAGAAAGAGGCGCTTGGAGTTGTCGACGGCAAGGTGTCTCTCCTCTAGAATGTGGGCATTTCCAAAGCTGCATACCTTTTGCGCGTTCAGTCCGCCATCTAGGCGACGGCGACTATGACGACAAGCTGGGACCCAGAGGCGGGGTCCCCAAACCGTTCACGTGACCTCCCAGCTGACAGAAGCTGGCGCGGCATGTGGGCGCTAGCTTCAGTGCCAAGCAGAGATATGGGGGACGGGACCACGTGCAGCTTCGGCAGCCGCAATAATCCGCATTTTCCCCGCTCTAGGTTGCTAGGGCTAAAACGCGACAAAAACAACAACAACAACAGGGGCACAACTTTGCGACAGAATCTGACACAGTCAAAAAGCGTAGACATGCGCGGCGACAACAAGGCACGGGTAATTATCCAAGCTTGGGTAGAAGAGCTGCCGTCACCAACACTATTCGTTGGGACACGCATATCCAAGCCCACGACGCGCGCATCACCGCCCTCATCACCGCCCTCAACCACCGCGCCAATTGCCGCAATCCCGTCAAGAAAACGACAACGGCCATCCTCTACCCCCATTCGAATCATGGGAGGCACTCCCGAATACCAAGCCTCTCCTCGTTCATCAAGCGCGACAAGTGGCGGACCTGACGAGCAAGAACGAGGTCCCCACAGCAAGAGAAGGAAAATCGCGACACCCCCCACACATACCGACGACCACGAAACGACGACGGTCAGTCAATCGGCAGTACAAGGAAGCTACAGTGGCGGGGATGTAGATATACCCATCGCTATGCCCGAGCCAAGGAGGGTGTTCCCGGCCGCGGAACTGCTCAGCGATCCTGATCGAACCCCGAGACAACCCACAGGCCCAGGCCTCGTCCATAGGAGGACTGTCCCAACATCTCCAACCTCTTTGATGAGCCAGTCATCTGGAGCTGCAGGATATACCCAGAGGCTCCGTCACGCGTTGCCTGGCCCGCCAAAAACGCCATCAATTGCTGGCAGCGAGTCCACGACGACGACAGACTCGGGTCTATCCGGGAAGCGTCGGAGGACAAGTCCTGTGAAGAGGATGGCGGACCTCAAGCTCGCGGACAAACCCGTCGTCTCCGATTTCCTCGATGATGCATCCCAGCTCCCGCCCGCCGCGATACCTCTATACCAGCGGCTAAGGAGAATCTGCATTGGCAGGGACATTGTGCCTCGGGCGATCCAGGACTATGTTGCTGCGTCTCTTACAGTCAATGAGGACCCAGACCTCCCCGAGTCCAGTCTCTACCACCACTCTCCGACATCATGGCACCCGCGCACGGCAGAGCAGCAGCGCGAGGAGCTGGGCCGGCTCCGGCACATCTGCGAACTCACGCGCTTCTGCAACTCGGAGCAGGTCTCCGAGCCGACATGGAATGCCCGGGTGCATTCACCGCTACTAGAATTGGCACTCGAGGCCTTCTTCCTCACCCCTTCCCCCGGCACTGCAATGCAGCAAGAGTCTCAGCCACGGCCGCCGCGCCCAGCACGGAGCCGACGAGGCGACAATCCGGTCTCGTTTTGGGACGTGACGGTGGCGACAATCGAGAAGCGATACATCCCGCAGCACACAAGCGGCAGTAACCTCGAGGCCAAGATGGTCGACTTTTGCATGACGCTGTCCAGCCCCGCGGTGCAGCGCGGCGCGAGAGCCATGTTATCCCGCGAGGGCAGGGAGGCCCGCTCGGTCAACCATACCGCCTATGCGCCGGTGTGCCTTCGCCCCATCGGCGTCAGCATCGAGACTAAGACTCCCGATGGCTCCGTCGACGAGGGGAAGGCCCAGCTCTCCGTCTGGGCCGCTGCATATCTGCTGCGCGTCCAGTCCGCCATCCAGGCGACAACGACTATGACGACAGGCCAGGACCGCCATGCTCCCGTAGCACCGACCGATATCCCCCCTCTTCCTATGCTTCTAGTGTCTGGTTCTGTCTGGCAGCTTCATTTTACCATTGACCGGAGCGAGGACATTGTACGTTATGCCCCTTGTTCTTCCCCTACATCCCCCTTCCTAACTTTGAACCTTGCTGACTCTTATGTCCTGCCACTTAGCTTCTACTAGAAACAATGGTTCTCGGCGACACGAAAACTCTTCGTGGCTGCTATCAGATCTTAGCTTCGTTGCGATGCTTGGCCCAGTGGATGGTAGATGACTTTGAGCCTTGGCTGTGGGCAAACCTGCTAGGTGGTGGGGATTAATTACATTGGGAGTGAACTCAAAATATACTCGGGTTAGATTACTCCTAGGCCTTTGAACACACCGCGAACTTGCAAAATATGCGTGACCAACATTAGTATGAATGTGATAGCCGCGCTGGGGGTGAGGCGGTATTTCGGATTCCGTCGCTGGAATGAGACGCCTTGACTAGTCAAGGCTGTCGTCAATCTTTGACATGGCCTTAGAAATCTCTTTGTCCACCCTCTAGAGTGTGGACTTTGACATTTTCGGTCTGCGGACAGTACTGTGATACATTGGATTTACAGTCTTGAAGCAAGGTGGTTAGTGGTTAATGTCCTAAGGGTTGGGTAAGCCCTGATCATCCAAGCGATCCTTCGGTCCCGCGTTTAATGCAACTTAATGTCCTTTTCTCAGCGGCACTGAGATAAGCCCGGCGGTTTGCAGCTGTGCTTTCATGGCTAATGCGGCGTGATCAAACAGGAGACAAACTTGTCAGTCCTCAATACTAGGATCAGCGCCTCGCTGCAATAACAGTTTCACAGACTTAAAATCTCTGGCGATGTATCCTTGATGTGGTGGTGTCTGTTGAAGGACGTTGGTGTCTTATTTTGCGAGGTATTTCCTGTCTAACAGGACCTTGCAAGTTGACGCAAGCACATGCAAAGCAGCAACGTGCAAAGCTGATTTGCCATCATTGGTCTTTGCGTTGAGAAACCTAGCGGGTTTCAAGGCAAGAAGACGGGTCCTCTTGACGTCGGCTTAAGTTGCTGCTCTGCGGAGCGATGTCTGGTTCTCTTCGTCCGCGCCTGCTCCTCTGTCAAACAGTTTATCCATGGTGACCTCGTCGCCGCATCCGACTGCCTCAAGAAGGGTAGTCCGCCCATTCGGATCTAAGAACTGACTTTAAGATATCACACATGAACGCACCTTTTAAGCACCATATGTAGGCCAATAAGTAAGGCATGGTAATTCCATGTGAGCCTCTCCGCGTAGTTTGCACCCATCATACCAGTCAACCTTCCAAACGTTGAGCCACTTTGTGAACTCGCCTCTCTCTCCACGGAATACTTAAACGGCCTAATTCCCATCTCTGATATTCAGCCGCTGCTCTTGGAGAATCGAGTCTTCCAGCCTAAAGGAGACTTGCACCCAGCCTGAAGGTTTGAGGGGGACGTGTACGCTGAGCTCGGCGGCAACTGCCTCGACATTTGGATCTCAGTTTACTACGAGGTTATCGGCGGTGGCGATCTTATTGAGAATGAATCTAGCGGTCTGGTGGAGAAGCCGGTTGATGAGGGCGATGCATGCTGAAACGGTGTGTCAAGCGCTGGCGCGAGTTGGCTGTTCCTGGTGCTAAAGCTGCGGAATAGCAGGGCAATCCAGAAGCTTATGCCGTCGCCAACCATGTCTCACCTGGGGCTCTGGTAATCTAAATGCCGGATCTCGCGATACCGTAGCGGCGGTTGATTAAGATCAGCACAAAGGTAAGCGCCTCCGCGGCAACGGAATTGGCTAGAGGGCTAGCCTGCTCAGCCCTGATGCCACCAGGCGAGGCGAGCTCGCCCGCGATCTCGCACGCCGAATCGTCGTCACTGTAGACCAGCACGTTACGATTTAGCCTATGCGGGAGATTGCGCCGGCGATGCGTGGGGGTATTCTGGAAGGCTGATACGATTACGATGCGCACACGATCGCCAAGAAGCAGGCGACGACATCGGACCTGCTTTCTAGCAGTATTACCTGCGAAACATTTAGCGGGACAAGGGGCACTGTCACGTCGATCAAAACCTTGCTACCAAGCCAGTTGGCGACTTTGAGCGCTATTGGCCCTTCCTCCTCCGCATAGGGAACGGCGAGCACCGCGATGTCGGCAACGGAGACGGCGGCGGCACTGTCAGTGCTGCGGATCTAGGCCTTGGGGACTTCGCCGCGGATTTTCGCCAGGCTGGCTTCCACACGTTGGACCTAACAGCTACTGATCATCATCAGCTGGTCAAAGATCTGTAGTGTGACTTGACATGTCAAGTCCTTTAGGCTCGGCTTGACATGTCAGATCTTTAGTATGACATGACATGTCAGGTCTTTAATATGACTTGACATGTCAAAGATTTTTAGTGTGACTTGACATGCCGGCGTGCGTCTAGCTGCCTCGCCGCCTTCCATGCTGGTTCCGCTGATGACGGCGATTGTCGGTTTCGTGCTCGTCTGATCCTACTTCATCAGGACCCCGCCGCGACAGCTTGGTCTGGATAGTCGGCTGGAGCGGAGCTGGGGTGTAGCTGAGTGATTGCCGGTCCCTGTCGAAGGTCTGGTAAAAAGTGCCGCGGCGGCGAGGATCAGGTTCTCTATGCGATCTGGTGGAAGGTCCTCCTCGAAGCTCGAGCCGGCGGCCCGCGACATGCTCCCGTTCATCAAAGTGCCGTCAAGATCATTGACGCCGGCGCTCAAGGCTAGGGCGACGCCTTGCGGACCGAGCTTTGGCTAGCTGGCCTAGATATTGTCGATGTAAGGGTGCTGCCTAAGACGGGCCGTGGCGTGGAGGAGTAGCGCTTCTTGGAATGTCGGACCTGGCCCGGACCGGCGCCGCAGGGCGAGGGGTCCTCCATGTGCCCGAAGGTCAGGGAAATGAAATCGGTGAAACGTCTTCGTGCGTCGTTGCAGATCGCAGATGCAGATTAGGTAGCTAGCCACATGCTCTAGCTTCTCTATGCGCCCGCCCATTACAATAGCGGTAGTTCTAACGCCGACTTCATGCGTCGCAGCAATCACCTAAAGCCAGCCTTTGGTCGAGAGGTTTTCTAGGGAGATTTCGGCCTAGATCACGCCTCTAAGAATCTCGGCTGCCGTCCCAGGAAGGAGACCGGCCTCGACAAGCTTCTCGAGATAGATAGCGCAAAACCCGGTGCGGAACTTTGCAGACATCTAGGCTAGGAGGTGGTACTATAGGAGGCACAGAGTGGTCGCTACGCTGGAGCTCGGGGGGAACGGCTGGGGCGGCGACCAGATGAAGATCGCATAGGCGCGGAGTTCTGCCCCGCGCGCACTAAACGACGACATATACGTGTCTCTAAGACACTTGATGAAGTCCTCTTCGATGCCCCCCCGCTGTCAAGACGACGCACGAGACGTGCTTGTGCTCGACAAGGTAGCGTAACACCCCGCGCAGGCCTGAGGATATCAGATTAGGGGTGTATACGAGGAATATCTCGTCTTCTCCTTAGTTCCCGCATCAGACCCCTCTCTATCCATCCCAGTTCAGCCAATCTTCCCTCTCCCTAAACATGGGAATGGTTGCTTTTCAGCCCCTTTTTATTTTCCACTTCAACAAGACGCAATTGGGTGAGTTGGGTCAGAACAAGCCGAGGGCGGGACGGCTCTCAGAAGCTATCCTAAAGCCTGAAACCCTTCCAAAAGCATCGTTCATCCATTGTCAGTCTCGTATTTTTAATTTGCACTATGACAGCATTTTCGAGACACGTCCTTGCGTCTTCCATTTTTTGCATCTGTTGACTGGCGCCAAATCTTTGCTATAAAACCTTATGCAATTTTTTTAGAGGTTGGGTAAGGAAAAGGAGTGATTGACTTGGCAAGAATCCTTGCTCTCGCAATCTCTTTGACTGTTTAAGCGCCCTGCCTTGCAGGCTGGAGCCTAGTGAACTAGTAGGGACTTTACATCCTTGTGGGGATGGTCGTAGTGAGCTGCCTAGCCCCGACCATCGCCTCCAACGTGGCAATGACCCGGGCGGCAGGCGGCGAGGGCGCCGGTGCGGAAGGTCCCCGGCTACACACAGAAACGACACGAGCAAGACGTACCAGGTGCCCGGGTCCCGGGGCGGGGTCGGGTGCATCACGAGCATAACGCACCACTTCTGCGGCACCTGCAACCGGCTGCGCGTTACGAGCGACGAAATTCTCAAGGTCTGCCTGTTCGGCAACCCCAAGGTGTCGCTGCGAGACATCGTGCGAAAAGTAAACGCCGTTGAGCGTCTACAGGGACCTGGACTTGTCCATATCGGTGGCGTCTAAGCTGGCGACGAGGCCGTTCAAGCCGTCGCTGGGCCCGCTGTGCGGGTCTGCCGAAACCACCTCTAGCTAAATCACCAAGTTCTTTCTTCCTGCCTCTCTCCGTGTCTTGTGACTGATTCCTAAGGAAAGGAGAATTACGCAGAGGACGTCTAGCCCATTGTCTGAAGAGATGTCGCATGAGCTGAGAGTGTGGACGCTTAGGAACGCTCCGCTTCCGTGTGCTGGTCTTGACATGCGGCCATTTGACAAACGTGTTACTGTAAACGCCACCGCGAAGTGGAACCGGCGTGAAGCTGCGGGCGATCAATGAAGGCAAAGTATAATGTCAGGGCTACCCAGCGGCTAGAGAAGATGAAGAAGAAGAGCGACCCTGTAGCCAGCAACGAGGGCATGACTAGAGGAAGAGAGCCAGCAGCATCACGAGGTTGATGAGCGACGCGGCGAGGAATAAGGCTCGCAAGGAAGTCAAGATGGTTGTCGCGGGGGGCGCGAACTGCGGTATCGCAGGCTGGCCGAGAGGCGTTAAGGGCAGGTATAAGATTGTGGATCCCAGAATGAGGAAGGATATGCGGGCTCTAAAGACGGTCCCCGCGAAACAACGATATCTCTCTCGGTCTACGGAGCTCTCTCGTGTCCGGACTTGTTAGCGCGACCCGGCACTGGTGGGCTATTCTTAGGCGACGATGATCCGCACAGGTTGCCCCTTTTTCTTCCATTCAGTCCTTGACTTAGGGCTGTACATTCGTACATCCCCGTAGGAAGAAGGTAGCCATTGTGGGCAGTGGTTGGTCTGCAATTGCCGCGCTCTAGGCACTAAACCGAAGCTATCACGATGTGTACCTTTATAAGGCTGCCGGACGTCTTAACTATGCCTGCCCCAGGACGCCCTAAATCTTTGTGAGACACCAGGCTTGTGAAGGTACCTATGCTGAGGCTGATTGGCGTACGCAAAGAGGTTGATATCCTGCGTCTGTGTCGTTTTGTCTTTCGTGGCAGTCACGCTTGCTTGGCCATTGCCTTTATTAGCCTCAAGCTACCCTCTTTATACACCTCGTTAACCTCGCTCTTTCCCTCCTCCTCTTCGTTTTGTCCTCCACCCTCTCTCACTCCATCTTCGGCTTCGCCAATTTGTTCAGCATCTTCCCTCATTGGTGTTTGCGATAGGGACAATTACTGTTGTTAATAATGCCGCAAACTCGCCCATGAACCCAGAGCAGGTCTTCACTCTTTTCCAAATATATTCGTACTTCCCTCTCCAGATATGAGGCTCGTCTATCGACATGTTGGCACAAACGGGTATGAAGACAAAGGCTCAATTCTCATGAAGTGACTCCTGAGGCGCCAACTTGGCAAAGCGTGGTTAAACATCAGCGAAAATGCCTGCCCTTAAACCATCTGCCAGCGTAGGTTATACTTAGACAAGTTGCGCTATCTCCGCCTGCGAAAACCTGGATGAATTGGATGTTGCTCCAAAGGGCTGGGAAAGAGTTTCGTCAAGTTTGAAAATCGGATGTGGATTGACGATCAAGGCTTTGAACTGGATGAACGCGATTACTTCGTTGACGAAGACAACATGCCTTCATCCATATCGGAAGAGATGGCCCACGGCATTTTTTAAACGGCGTGAGACCTCAAAATCATACAACTGAACGACAGGATGAAGTTACAGCGGCCAACCTGCCAAAGGTTTCGCAAGAGTCGTCATTTAACGAGCTGCCGTATCCAGTCGCCTGCTTGCGGGACTTATCTTCAATTAACAGCCTAGGCCAAATAAAATACCAAGAATTGAGGAGTTGGAGGAAGACGGTCTGTCTGATGCCGAGGCTCGCCATGGCGAACCTGAAGCTGCACGTTGTCTGGGGCCGCGGCGGTTCCGGCGCCGGCGCCGATGACACCGACGGCGCGGTGAACAAGCTGCGTGCCTCCGTCGCGAGAGTCGTCGACGACCGCCTCGGCGAGGGCTACGTCCCGGCTCCGACTCCTTCGACAAGAATACTAGACGGACACCGCCAGCCTCTACCCCAGTGCGATCTTGGTCACGGACCTCGTAATCTTGACAACAGCCTCACCGTTCGACCTCTTCCTCACCCTCGCGTTGGCGTTTGTCTCCGGTCCGGTCCATCATGTACACCCAGCCTCCGTGATGACCCTCTTGGTGGCATTCGGAAACACAGAGAACATGACCCCAATCTGGTCAGCAGGAATTTCCCTTTCCTTCTTTGGAACTGAGCAGTTGCCGCCTTAGCCTGAGCCAGGCTGAGCTAGACTGAGCAAGGGGTCACTGTTTCGGGCTGCCTCGGCTATACTTGCCGTGGTCTGAAAAGGTAGTTGAGTTGCGAGGTTGCTCTTCTTGGCCCCGCTACCTGGCCACCCTGTCTCTTTCCCTACCTACCGGAGTAAACGATCACTTGGCTTAGATATTAATTAATGAGTTATTGGGCGTGACGACGACAAGCCGTAGCGGTATGGGTTAGCCTAGCTTTAGCGGTTGCGACCTGGGAAGTCCGTAATGGAAAGGGTTAGGGGAAGGATGGCGTAGTCGTAGTTGCCTGCTATAACTATATGCCGATTACCGCTCGCCTGGCATTATAAGCTCGTGAATACGAGGGTGAGTCCCTCCTCAAAGAATAGAGTAGGTGCTACTTGCCTTTTACCCACCCGTAATCCGATTGCGTAAACACGATTAAACGAGGTAACTTTTGTCTCTGTGATGTTAAGTATGCGGCTAGAAGGTTCACGATACAATTGGGTTGGATCTAATGGCCACTTAAAGGGGCTTGCTGGGTATTTGACAGCCGTGGGTGTGCGCGGCGTGAGTGACGGATAGGCTCTGGTGGCGATGGCAAGTCTTACGAATAAGCTATCCACACTGCCCACAGTTACGGTGGACAAATGGCAAGGCGAGCGGCTGAAGTTGGATGCCAAAAAACGGTACCGGAAATGGTTTAGAAATTTTTGGGCCGGCAGAAAGGGTACGGACTGTACCTACATACTACGGCAGAAAGGGTACGTACCTACTACGGCAGAAAAAGGTACGTACTTTGTGGATACATTGAAGCTGGATGGACCCTCCACTCTGCAAAGTCTCGTCGGGGCCGCTTCTTGGTCCTGGCCGAGACCCTAATTTGGTCCCCTGGGCCTGATTTTCGTCCTCCTCTCTCCTGTTCTGCTGCTTTGAACAATTGCCCCGGGCGGAATAGACTGGCCTGCCGCCCTTGCAGAACGCTCTCAAGATTTCGGCCGACCGATGGTAAAAGGGTCTTGACCAGGGCTTCGCAAGCTTGCGACTAGTAAGATGGACCTATGACTGCGGGCTTGTCAACTAATCCCGACGTCATATCAACAGTCTCAAGCAGAAAAAGCAGCTGGAATAGTTGCTGATTAGGTGATTTCTGTGAAACTGTCCATTGGATTATCGAGTCTCGTTAATCCAGCCTTGGCGAGGGGAGTTTAGAGGAGAATATTTACTGTTATAAGCAACGAAAACTATCATTCTGGCCCCTGCGAATCCCATGCCGCTTTTAGGGAGATTTATTCAGAGGGAAAAAGTGTTGAATTGCCAAGTTTCCCAGATGCAGAAGATTTACGCCAAGGCACAGCAAGTATACACTTATACATCTCTCGACGAATGGCTTCCTGAAGCACCGACCACTAGCGAGATACATAGTTTCGTGGGTAGTACACGCCTAGCAAAACTACTAGACAGCACTCAGCCCCTAGAGTTCCCAAAAGGAGTCCCTCGACCAGTTCAAAATATACCAGCTCTCCAGCCACTTATTCAGCATCCATAGTGTTAGGTGCGTTCTGTACAGAGTGAAGGAGTCGGTCGCTACTGTGGACTAGTTGCGAGGTCGCGTCGAGTTCGCTGCTAGGTTACTGCTGGGTCGCTTCAACGTAGGTGTGTATTGATGTAGAGACTGATCGCTGCCCTCCTTTGGACATACCACGGGGGCCTGCTTCCTTCTTTACTGGGGATTACCCCGCATCCTGCGTCCTCAAAAATCCCGCATCCTCCAAGATCGCCGCTGGGTCGCGTCGTGGTCGCTGCGAGGGCGGCACGTGACCCTCCCGCCAATACGACTCGAGTGCACATGACACATAGGGAGAAGGTTGTGGATCATCCAAGAAATCGTTCTTGGGCAGATAGTGACTTTATTCGCCGGCAAAGGAGAAGCGATCCCTTTTGAAGCATTCAAGGGACTCTGGCTCTAGGCTGGAAGATGGGAACCAGTTCACATTCACAGTTACAAAAGAATTGCCATGGCTTACCGACATTCCGGTTCTCGGCACTGACTCTTGCCGCCATGTTCTGGGAGTAGGTCGAGTTGCTTAACTTGTGCAGCGGAACATAGTAATATTTTTAAGTAATTTAAACCCTTCAAATTCTTCTTACATTGCCTGTACGGGTAAATCACACGCGGTATGTACATGGCGGCCTCGAATATTGCCTGCTGCCAGACCAATCTATTTAATTATCTTAAAAGGCGTGGATAATGTTACACCAACGCCCAATCTTCCAATCCCCCTCTCACACTTCTCCGCATTGATTTGCTCTTGACTTCTCCTCCCCAGTCCTTCACACGGTACAAGACAAGACAACGGCAAAATGCCAGCTTCTCCAACTAGGTGCCATTCCGGCTATATCCCCCCGCTCTTGCATGTGCAAAGTTGCACGGCATTTCGCTTGAACGAATAACTACAGCCGAACGCCTTCTGATGCCCAATTCATAAGTGCGCTGCATCTCAGCATCAGCAACATGTATGGGCTGCCCCTACGGCGTGAAACCTTGCTTCTAGCATTTGACGTGGTTTCTCGTCTCTTGTCCTCTCCAACTGTCAGATCCTCCTAACAAAACATGCGGTTCTCTCTTGTCGTGGCATCGTGCGCCCTATCTGGATTTGCGGTAGGCGCACATGCCGATGTACACGAAAAAGAAAAATTTACCAGGGTGCGCAACGCCCGCGACTTACGGTCAAGTTATGACTACATCGTCGTCGGGGGCGGCACGTCCGGCCTGACTGTCGCGGATCGGCTCAGCGAAGATGGCAAGACAAGTGTGCTTGTCATAGAGCATGGAGATCTCGGTAGCTGCTCCTGCCCAAGGCGCCAGACGATTTCACTGCTAATCGGTTCTGCTCTGCCTAGTCAACTCATCCTTGATTGACAATGTTAGCACTGGAAAGCAGGCCATGTCCGGGGAGTTCCTGTACCCTCTATCTTCTGTCCCTCAAACTAGCATGCGAAACCAGCTAGCCGTTGTCCTGGCTGGGAAGGTTGTCGGCGGGAGCTCAGCAGTCAACACCATGATGACTGTACGAGGCACAGTGGAAGACTACGATCGATGGCAAAGCTACTGGACGGTCAGCTCTGCTACTCCTTCCTCCACTGTTGTTTCTAACCCTACTTGGGGATGGGTCGACCTTCTCCCGTACTTCAAGAAGGCTCTGCATTTTGCTCCTCCAGTTCCTGAAGTTGCGGCTTCGTCCAACATCACCTACGACGCCAGCTTCTGGGGGAACACTTCTAGTGTGTACGCGTCGTGGCCGACTTATCAGTTTCCAGGAACCAAGTTGCTGGTAGATGCCTTCCGCCAGATCCCTGGCGTCGAATTCCCCCCCGATAGCGGAGCTGGCAAGACCGGCGTGTATTGGTTTCCGACATTCATGGATCCTCGCAGCGTAAACAGGTCTTATGCGCGAACAGGCCACTACGATAATGTCAGGAGGGAGAATTGCCAGCTACTACCAAGCACCAAGGTCCTCAAGGTCTTAATGAACGACACGACAGCCGTGGGAGTGACGTTCCTAGGAATGCAGAACGGAAGCGTTATCACAACGGTCCGCGCAGGCAGAGAGGTCATTATCGCAGCAGGCGGCATTCACAGCCCTCAAGTTCTTCAACGCAGCGGCATCGGGCCTAAGAAGCTTCTCGCGTCTGCAAACATCACCACCATTGTCGAACTTCCTGGAGTGGGTCAGAATTTCCAGGACCATCACTGGGTGGCGCTTAATGTCAACCGTAAGAGAAAAAAATACACAAACACCAACAACAACTACTCCCTCCTTGTTCCCTACGAGTCTTTACTATCTAGATATACTCTCTAATTTCGTACAAAATTTCTAGTGAGAAACTGGACTATTAGCCCAGCGCTAACGGATCTGACCGATAATGCAACTTTTCGGGCTTGGGCAAACGCTGTGTGGGCAGCCAACAGGACAGGACCTAATTCCATAGCAATCAGTAACGCCGCAGCCTGGCTACCCATGCCGGTCGTATCTCCAGGACGGTTCGCCGAGCTCGCTGCCCTAGTAGCTGAACAGGACCCAGCTGCGTTGCTGCCCGCAGGGACGGACCCGACGGTGGTCGCTGGGTACAAAGCGCAGCTGAAGGCAATGTCGGCGTCGATGGTGGGCAAAGGAACTACGTTCTTGAATGCAGTTCTAAAAGGTGGTCCGATAGCAGGAGCTCTCTTCAACATGCATCCTCTCAGCCGCGGCACCATCTCCATCGACCCATCGGACCCCTTCGGCAAGGAACCGCTTGTGGACTACCGAGCCATGACCAACCCGGCCGACGCCCTCATTATGGCCGAGATGGTCAGGTTCATGCGGCGCTACTGGTTCAATACCACCAATGCTGCCCTCGGTCCCGTCGAATCTACTCCCGGCTCCCGGATCCAGACCGACGAAGACATCAGGAATTGGCTGGCCGAAACCCTCACCCCCACAGAGTACCATCCTGCCGGCGGCTGCTCCATGCTACCTTTGAGCCTCGGGGGTGTTGTCGATCAGCGTCTGCGCGTCTATGGCACAAAGGGCCTGCGTGTCGTTGATGCCAGTATTATGCCTACTCTTCCAGGCGCTAATACCTGCCAGACTGTCTATGCTGTCGCCGAGAGAGTAAGACCATCTTTACGTTCCGTCATTAGCTTCCCACCCAACTTGTCCTCCCCCCATCTTTTTCTTTTTTTAATTCCATCAATGATAGCTGACATGACGCAAAGGCTGCCGACTTGATTAAGGAAGACGCGATGGCACTGCTATAGCGATACTCAATAGGCTTCCACGGCACACACTTCGCTACTAGAAGATGAAGCCTGTATTCACTAAACACGAGTATGGAAGATTAAATGCTACTCTCGGGGGCCAAACTCAGCCTCGACCGAGCCGAACACATTGGGCAAGCACAGGCAAGCACACCTGCTAAGCAGGTTAAAGCGGTGACAGCACAGGCGCACTCACGAAAGAAGGAGCTCTCAATGATAGTTTTCGTCGCTTATGTTAGGCTGATATCAAAACTGCAACCTCGAATCTCCAGTTAAGGGTCTCTATAAAGCTCCGTAATCCGTTTAGTACAGTGCATCTTGGAAAATAAGAGAGTGATCTGGCTACAGTCTTTTTTCAGGTCTACTTGATTTGGCTTTTACTCTTAAATCAGTGGTTTTCAACTTTTTCACGTAGAAATTTGCTGAAGACTACACTAATATGACCTGGCGTTCTGGATTATCAACTGTCTGGGGAAGTTCACCCGTGTGCCATTGTATTGTGTCCGTCAGCGGTGGACACTGGAGATGTCACGTGAGTAGAATTTCCGACGCTGGGTCTTGTTCAAGACGGCAGCAGTCAGGACGTGTCAGGAGGAACAAGGCGGCATCGAGGAGAGAACGGCAGCGTTTAGGACAAGATGGCATAGCAGAAGTTCAGTTTTACGGGGTGGTTCCCGTAGATCAGTGTGTCTTTTGTGTTTAGGTTTAGGAAGAACGGTCATTTGGGCAGATTTGCCGCTTTGTTTTACTGGTTGACATCGTTGTTCTTTGGACGCGTCCAGTCAGGGACGGTCGTCACGAAGCGTTCGGATTCGATTGATCAAGGGGATCAGAATCGCGGGAGCGATTCTGACGGCGCGGACGGCGCGCCGTAGCATTCTTCTTGGGTGCCATGGTTTGGTTTTGGTTTGTGTACTGGGCTTACTCTTACTGATTTATTTTGTGGGGCAAGGTGAGCCGATGTCTGCCGAAGCTGAGCCGGGCCTGATCCAGCCTGAGCAAAAGCGGCGAGCGGTCATATGAGCCCGAAGGGGTAGGACAACCAGATTGGGGTCATAGAACAAGCCATTTTCCATCTTCATTAACATGACCTTGGCTATGTTTGCGTCTATACGCACCTCCACCTCCCTGACTGGAATTGGAGACACGACCTCCACGATTACTATATTTGGACTGGGGTGCGGAAGCGACTCCATTGTAGTGTCGGCCATCATGTTGGTGATTGATGAGACTAAGGTGACCTTGGACTAGTGTTTGTGTCAGCACTATGATGACGACCAAGACAGTCACCACCACCACCGCGGCTATGATAGGGTCTTACTAGCTGACAATGTCATCTACCAAGTTGTGTCAAACGAGGTGAATGACGTAGCAAGCTAAACAAACACGCGAACACGCAGCTCTAGCTGTACGCCTATACAAAAGCCTTGTGAATATAGACACAAACTTGGCGCAAGCAGTTGCGTGAGTAGTGGCAGAGTTGCGAGCTTGTTCTGGTATAGGTTTGTGAGTATGTGCGAGACTGCGTATCTGGTGTTGGATAGCCTGACAAGTAGCATGTTAGCTAGCGATTTGTCTATGTTTTTATTGATAAGTGGGTTGAGGTGGGTATTTTCGAGGATGGTTGTCAGGAGGTACAAGATCCTTTATAGAGACATACCTAAGCATGAGAACTGGATAAGGACTTTGATTGCGAAGAACTATTTGGTTGTGCTGGCTGGCGCTGGCATCTGCACCTTTGCGTTTAGGGTTAGTATGCCAATTACGTACTGGAGAGCTAGGTATAGCAAACAGACTATTAGACTGTAACTGCTGATTACACTGGTTACCAAGTTGATTGGAATAAGCAACATTGTGTGGAATACTAAATGCAAGCAACGTTGTGTGGCGGCTTATCTGCATGTTAATGCGTATGGCAATATTATTAGGACTGACACTACAAGCGTAACATAGATATTGCATATGACAATAGATATCTGCAGCAATAGCGTATGCAATATGCTTAAGTGTATTGATTAGACGACTATACCAACTCTTGCAACGTAGCCAATATGCTTGCCTATAACAGACCTAAGCATTAGATGCTAGGTGGTTAGTGGCTAGATGGTGGATTTGATGCTAAATAGCAGCAACATCTGAGCTATTATGAGGGTCGACTTTAGTAACAGGTATTTTCCGCTATGCCTAACAATTTGTCTATGTCTATATATCACCTAGCACGCTGCTTGCAAGTACAACAAGGATCACATATAGGCTAGCCTCCCATTTGGTATATGACTTCCTGGCGGTGCAGAGGGAGGTGGCTAGGCAATGCATGGCAGGCAGCCACTTCCTAGTTGGTTTTGGCATCGGCGGCTCGCAGCTGTAGGTTAGGATATGCACGCCCTTAAAGAACGGCAAGGCGTTTGGCTCGCTTCGGGATGTGAAGAGGCTAGGGCTGAGAACCTACCGAGCAGGCTGAGAATTAGGAGGGTCAGGAAGAAGGGGAGGAGCGTGGGGAAGTGGGACGAACCCGCCTGTCTGCAGGCCCCCCTTAAATATGTAAACGTACCATGACGCGTCCGCTGCCAAAGCGCTCCAGGGCGTCGCCGCAGGTCGGCGCGGATGTACATCTTCTTGTTAGGGTGCTCGACGCTCTTCATGTCCGTAATGTACCCCTTACTCTCGAGGTGCTTGATGCATTGCTTGATGACGGACTCGTACATCTTGATCTTGGCCCGCTGCGGCGTGCAACATACGGCAAGCAGCGCGCGGCGCCGAGCGGTTCCGCGTTGTCGTCTGCACCGACTCGCTTGACGTGGTGGACGCCATGTGCCACCGCCTCTTCTGCCACTGCTGCTGCTGGAGCCGCTGGAGCCGCCTTCTCGGTCTCCGCTTCGCGTGCAACGAGGATGACCTGTATCTCGGGCCTCTCGAGCTCCATGAGCAGGGCTATGCCGATGAGGACGCGCAAAAGCCCAGCATGACGCCAACGCCGACGTGGTAGTTGATGACATGCGCGGACGAGCTACCATCAAGTGAATAAGGGCGACTGATGCCAAAGACCCCGCATAGGTAAGCAAGCATTCGAAGCCCTAGGCTCTAGGCAGGACAGAAGAACTCCCTTGCTTGGGAGGCAGACGAGGTATCTCAAGTCCCTGAGATGGGCTGATCGCGGACGAGTATGCGAAGTGTGCCCGTTGAATATTTCCATTTTCAATGCAGCAACTGCTTTTGGTAACGGAGGACGGCCTCTTCCACCGCAGTAGCTGTTATCGCAGTAGGCAGAGAAGCAAAATATTTGTTGGTTTCGGGAGAGCATCAAGCAAACGGTAGACCATAGCGGTCGACGAAGTCAACTACGAGCTCTCAGCAGCTGAGCGCGCTGCCTCTCCTCCCAGGATGTTCGGCGGCCGAGCAGAGGACAAGGTCGAATGGGTCTTGACTGCCTCGTCAATATCGTCCTCTAGGGGTGACAGTATCGTGACAGCCGACGCACATAAGCTAGGTGCCGACACAAAACCGAGCCCGAGCCCGAGCCCGAGAGCCAAGGCAAGCACGCTTATTGCGACTAATCCCAGAATGGTTAACTTTCGCTAAGTTTGAGTACTTAGATGCGGGGCAACAAAGTCTTATATGCTGCGAGGGCGGCGCTGGCAAGGTTTCAAGACTGCACGCTGCTGTGTGTGTACGCCGTGGTATCGGTCCATGGAGTCGGGTGGCGCCTAGGAGAGGTGGTCTCGGTAGAGGACATCGACATCAAGATCCAACGCCGTCCACATATCCCAAGGCGGGCGCCGTCGTCGCCCTTGGGCTGGTCTGGAGCCTCAGGCGGCTGCAGAAGAAGTGGGAAACAGCGAGGAGCTACTGGGAGGGTCAACTTCGAAAACCACTGCAAAAGCACAAAATAACATCCCTGTTGCTCACACAACGCCTGAAGTTTGCAAGTACGCTGCCAACCCTCTCAGCCCTCGGGGGCCTTTTCCGCACCGTTTAATCATCATCGCTTTGGATGCCAGTCCATTCCCCGTTGACTTATGGTCTTTCCGCTTGTCAAGACCTTCCTAGTCCCAATCTTCAGCTCCCTCCTTAGCTCCAAGCGCTCGACCCACAAGCTAGACATCACGCTCAAGGACTGGCACACCTTCGGCGGTAGCGGCGGCCAGAGCTGGCGTGGCCACGGCCCTCCCACGGCGAACCCTATTACCAACGTAACCTTTAGCGAGAGCGAGGAGTGGAGAACAGGATCCACATGCACGATATCAAGATGTGGAGCGAGGAAGTGTAAACTCCCGTCTCAAGAAGACTTAAGGACGCATGCGTGCTACGTGACAGGCAATTGACTCGAGAAATTGGTAACTTGGCTTCACCTCAGCTTAGTTCAATTATAGGATATAGCAAATCATCATTTTAGTACCATCTAAAGTTAGACAACCAATTCCTTAAGTGAGACCAAGAGTAGCGGCGCCACAATCTCATCAACCCCAGCACTTGTCATTATTAACATCTCCAACATTATGTCATCGAAAGGCCTCTTCGCATAATCTCGATCCTTGACGGTACGTTCAAGGACCTTCGTTGTGGTGTGAGAGCAGTCACAAGTCCTTGCCGAATAGCTGTAAGCGCTCTCGAGGAGATACCCCCAAGTCAAAGGAGCCTGCCCTGGAGGAGGAGGAGTGGTGGAACTGCCTGGTCTGCAGCCGGCCCCAGGCCGCGGACGAGACGGGGTTCAACAAGCACATCAACCTGTGCCTGTCGCGGTAGACTATGGGAGACAAGATGCGGTAGACAGCTGCCTAGTCGTGGGCGAGGCCTCGCTACAGATCATGCCGTTCGGAGCGACCTTCGGCGACGCCCGCAACCCCCATCCCGTCTTCCGCGTTGTGAATCCTAGCAATGTCGGAGATGTTGAGATTTCAGACATGATGTTTGCCATGCAAGGCCCCAACCCCAGTGCCATCCTCGTCAAGTGAAATGTACACTTCGTATCCCTTTGCCTAGATAGTGATGTCCCCGACAAACTCGATGCCGTCCTTCCACATGTCTATAGAGAGGTATCCCTTGTACTCGATCTGCATAGAATCTCCAAAACTCTTCCAGAAATAGCCAATGGCGTTGATCTCCATGTGGTTAAGGGGGCGCCACTTGCACAGGTTGATGAACTAGATGGGCTTGGTCACACAGACGGAAAGCGTGTAGAGGAAGTTGACGTTGGAGATCTAACCAGCCTTCTTGTAGTGGCTGTGGAGGAAATTCATGCGCGAGATGCAGGGTCTAGAGGTCGGGAGGTTCAGTTGGAACCTGTAGGCATATTTGGTCCGCGGACCAATGGCCTAGACACCTGACACAGCCAAATCCTGCCCGATGAGTTCGGGGATTTGAGGAGTCATGGTCTCTGGGCAACAAAGGCAAAGGGGTCACCTTGAAGGCGGGATCCTTAATCCCAGGCGACTGGGATGGTTTAGCAGGGCGGAAAGGCAGAGACTCAGAGGCAGATAGTATCTTCACCCTTTGATCGAAACTAGTCCTTTGCACCACTTGATCTAGCAGTGTCCATTCCTATTTACAAGGTAGGTCCCGCCGTTGTCGCCACGACGACATCCGGCCTCGGCGTCAGAACCGTGGTCAGCGGGAGGAGGCTGTCTCGCAGCTCGCGGACAGCTATTTGCTTTACACTCTCCTACAACCTCTTCACAAACCGACAGGGATTCCTTTTTAACCCCCTCTGCCAGCTTTTGGAGCTCCGCCACACACGCGCCGACGTTGAGCACGAGTTCAATTTGCGGCCTAAGAATGCCACGAAGGGAAAGATGGTGCAGGACGAACGTTATGGCGGCTCTCACGCCAAGACCTTCGCCTTGGTCTTTGGTTCTTCGTAGATATGCGAGACGTTGGGATGAATTGACCTTGGGATATTGGAGATGGTGGGTGGCGTAAGCAGTCTTGAGGCCATTCGTTACAGCTGCCTCGACGGTGCCCTTAATCCCAGGGACGGCGCTTATCCCAGCTGCTGTGCCGTTGGTGATAGCCGCAAGCATGTTGGGGACAGAGGCAGAGGGGAGTCTGGCTGACACGGCGGCTTCTACGACGTCGTGAGGAATGGTAACAGCAAGACGTTTGTCCCCAGCTGCAGCTAGCCAATCCTGATGCTTAAACGCCGCAGAATGGTGACTGCTGCGCTGTTGCTAGCCGCTGGCGGATCTTTGGCAGAGGTTCCTCCGCTGGCCCCGTGGACCATGCGAAGTACAATTGGGAGGCGCAGAAGCTTATGTTGGCATTTTCAACTGGCCTGGAGCGCCAGCTCGTACTCGTGCAGTCGAGGTATTGGGGCAATCTGGTCAATCATCATAAGCCTCGAGAAGTCATAGCAAGAAAAGGTTGCCGTGCGATCAAATAAGACATGGCCGCCTTATAGGGAAGAGTCGGATGGGTTGGGCAAGCAGAAACGACTAGAAGATGACCCTTACCAGAAGCGTCAGGGCTGGCATTCTCGCCCGCGAGAAGACATGCACATTCATCTTAGGCACCGATTGTTTCACCATGCAGCATATGCTAGTATAGTTGACGTTCCCGTTGGCGACATAAATAACCACGCTGCTGCGGTGTCTGCCTCCAGCACACCGACCGCATTGCTGCCCCGCTCAGTCAAGAGCCGTTCGACCTCCGCCTTCTCCCGCGAGGCGCCGGACCAGGACCAGCGAAGGCCCTCACGCAGCTTCAGATCGCTCTCACCCAAAATGTTTCAAAACGGGGCCGGGGAAACCTCGCGCCCCGGCGACCAGCGTCCAGAAATTCCTGGCCGTTGCTGAGTTTTAAGACATGCACCAGCAATCCCAGGTGAACCCACCGTTTGGCAGCGGCTAGGTAGATGGGCTAAATTATCAAGCCTGTGGCGAGAACCTTACCACGGGCGGCGGGAAGCCTCAGGCAAACCTCGGCGATGGTCCATATCAGGTCGTCTGTCGCCACCCTCGTTCTGGTCCTAGCTGTGAAACTCTAGACGATGACTTCCTAAATGTGGCTACACTTGCTGCTAGTGCTGCTGCCGGTACTGCCGGTACTGCCAGTACTGTCAATACTGTCAGTACTGTCAATACTGTCAGTACTGTCGGTACTGACGGTACTGACAGTGCTGTCGGTACCGTCGGTACACCCGGAATTGCCCGTCGATACTGTCGATATTGAAAATCTGATGCTCCTGACGGTACTACCAGTACTGCCAATAGTGCACGTGCATACAGCTCTGCGATGGTCTCGAACGTCAAAATACGCTCGTCGCGCGTCCTCCGATGCTGATAAGAAGCCCGGTGCGAAAGGGACGCGCGGTTCGCCCGCCCGTCGAAGCGTCTCGAGCCGATCGAGCCGCCCGCGACTTAATTATTAGGCAACCTAAGACTCGACCTAACCGTCCCGAATTCCCATTTCCAAGCTCGGCGACTAAGAATGGACGTCTGAGATGGGGCTCCGTCGAGTGCTGTGAGCCCCTACTCTAGTGGTCGGCTAGTTCAAACACCCAGGTCGTCTTCCAAAAGTGGCAGCGGCAGCGGCGGCGTCCCGGGAGTCTTTAATCACAAGAGCTGCAAGAATATGCGCAAGGCGGTACATGTGGCTAGGCTCCTTGGCCCTGTACAGCCCTATTCGCCTCATCCGTACCATGTGTTTCTCGGAAAGTTCCTCCGAGAAGACGGGCTGGTGGCCGCTGCGGATGTAGTCGAGCCACTCGGGTTCGTACTGGGCCAGGATGATAGAGATGTCCAATCTGTACTGCGACAGCATAACCATGCTAGGCAGGACGCGAGGTTGTTATCAAGATATGTTCTTGCACACAGATCTAGCATATAGATTAAGATCGAGGTTGAGGTTACTTGACTTACCAATGTTTTTCTTTTTGCCCTAGACCTGCTCCTTCTCCTCCACTGTTTCTCGATGAAGATACTGCAGCATGGTAAGTCGCCAGAAATGCTGCCACCTCGGCTGTCTCTTGAATCTCAACGGTTCCTTTGAGGTCATCGTAAGGGTCACGCTTGAACTCGCTTAGAAGGAGACAGTTCATGAGCTTCTCTCGAGAGCTGCGAAAATGGGCCGATGCCTTTAACACATGGAAGTATTAGCAGGGCTTACAGAATGGACATATAATTATGGCTAAGAAATAAAAGACCGCGGTTGTATTGGGAGCAATCCACCCCAGCGAGGAAATGTCGAGTCATCCAACCTTCGTTTTCACAACGGCATCCACAGCAGCGTTGAAGTACGGGCGGCTGGTAGAACCAGCATCCCAAGACCCGCACTGGAACTGCGCTCTGATCGGCTCCATCCGGTGGTGGCTGCCGCTTCGGTGGATAAGGGATGACAAGGCGGCGAAAAAGCTGGTCGCGAACACGGTGACGTATGTTTCATCTAGCGAAGGGGCCTCGGAGCACGAGGCTGTTTCTCTTTCCTTATCTCAACTATGGCGTCAACTAAGAGCCACATTTCGTCGACAAATCTCCACTCTCGCGCAAACCCTGCGCAGCCACACCCAGACACCGCGTATTACGCACTCCACAAACTCATCCAAGCCATCGCCCATAGTCAACACGAAGCACAAGCACTACTGTTTCCTCATGACGCAACTGAGCTCGCGAGACATGCCCTGTGCGGGATCATATTCCCTCCCGTCACAACCCAGCCAACCATCATCTCCCGTCTCTCCGATGCCCAGCTCGATGCCCTGCTCGATGCCAAACCCCTCGAAGGACGATGGGATCCGCGCACGCCTCAGGCGCAAAACCTAAAAGACAAGGCTGCCAACTTTATTACAACCCACGCCTTCATAGCCGGTTCTCTTACATGGCGGTGCTTGGAAAGTGAGGAGAGCTTGAAGAGTGGCCTGGTTGGATTGCATCCGGCGCTCTCTCGACGACAACCGTATGTTGTCCTGTTCCTCAGTCCAAACAGGAATTGAAAATTCCGACTAACAAGATTTTCGTTAACAGGTTCAACTTTCGAGATCCTTATCACTCTGCGTTCAACCAAGGGCAGAAAGACAGCGACAAAACGAACTTTGGATGGTCTGGCTTGGCCATGATGCGAGGTTCACGGTGCTTAGGCGGCATCATCGCAACCGATACCTACAGTTCGTCATCTGACTTAGACAATGAGGACGAAGGTCTCCCTCCCGTCTATCAGAGCGAGATCTGTGCCCTGGCAATACTGCTATCGCAGCAACTAACTCGGCAAGTCGTCGAGCCAGTTCGCCGCTTCACGGTTCGTCGCACCCTGCCACCAAGAATCCCTCGAAGTCTCTTGCAGCCATAGTAATATCCGGAACACTCCTTCCTGACTGCTTAAATATTACCAGGCTGTCGTAATCAACCTTACCCACACACACGCCCGCATCCTCGAAGGTGCGGTCGATGACCCCCGCAACCCCAGCATAAGTATCTTCCTCTGCGAGAGTATCTGGCATGGCATAGCTGACATTGCGAGCACAATCGCCAGTGACCAGGGGGGATGCGAAGCAGGGCTCCGGCAGCAGAAAAAGCAGGTTAGGTGCGACATCTTGCGATGGGCGCTCTTCATGGACAGCGAGCTTTCATCTCTCGATGTCCCGAAGCTGCGGGTTGCTGCTAACCCTGGCACAGTGATGGGTGCAGACGAGAAACTCCGGGATGCGAGTGGCACGACGGTGGAGAGTGCCTTTGCGTCGTCTAGTTCCCCGGCGATGAGCTCGGGCGAGTCGGATCCTGACGCGTGATTGCACAGCAGAGCCCTTATATGCGTTGTTGAGTTTAACTTAAAGATACCCAAGGGAGAGGCTTTTCTATATTTATGCACTAGGGACTTGGAAGTTGCTTGCTAGAGATTTTAGAAAGAAAGATACGTGATCTCATAGATGCAAGCGACACCGCCTCTGCGATCGAATACTACAGACGCTGTATTCTGCATTTGTAAAAGGCTTTGGCACAGGCAAGATCGACAGCCGCGAGAGGAGTTTCCACAAAAAGTTAAAGCGACCCGATACGGCACTTCATAGGGATCTCGACAACATGCTCTACCAAACCCCCATCGTCGATAATAATCGCGTGTCCACTTACCGCCGACGCATGCCATAACCCTAACTGCGGCGCCTCACCACCGAGGAGATTGCCAAACTCTTGCCTTCCAACTCACCCAACTTTTAGACCAAGGTTGTCCAACTCACATCCAAGGTTCCGTTCGACGCCGCGGTCAACGCCCTTAAGAAGAAACTATACAAGGGCTGAGAGTCCAAACCCACGAATGAAGCGGTCGAATTCGCCCCAGGTAATGTCAATCACGCCGCCAGCGTCCTAGGCGTGACCCTGAGACACCGCTATACCTCAAAAGCGACCAGCTGCGCGGGAGGACTACGTCCAAACTCCGTGACGACACTGACGAAACGTGGAAGATCCATTGATGTAGTCCTTTGAAGATGGCTAGGTATGCCTAGTCCTGTTGGTTTCGGCTAGAATACTGACGGTACCGACAATTTTGACGGTACCGACGGTACTGCCGGTACTGCCGGTACTGGCAAAGCTGCTAGTATTGCCGATACTGCCAGTGCTGCCGATCTAACATAGACGTTGCGTTGCCACAGATCAACCCCGCGTCCATCAACCTTGCCCTTTTGAGAAACATAACCGCGGATACCCTCGAGGCAGGAAACCTACGGCCAATCCTTATTAGAGCTGGAATGACACAACTTTGTCCCCCCTGGGCTCTCGAATCGTTCTGTGTCTGCGTATCTGTCTTAGACGATCATTAGTATCACGAACAAGCTTAGATTCTCAGAATCTAAGACCAGCTTGATCAACAACAGCATTAGCAAGAGAGTGATCGTGTGCAAGAATTTCGGGTTAGGTTGCTGTTCGATGATGACGGCCCTTACGGTAATAACTCTTACCGCTTTGTGATGTTGGATGGCCTAGACGTCTTGATCGTCAACTCTTTCGCCACGACGCATACCGTAGTGCGCCAGAGCTGCAGCATCCCCCAGGTAAAGCAGTCTGACATAACGACCAACTAGACAGTGCTAGACAGCATGTTTGACCACTTGGAAGAGACTGCATGTGTATTGCAAACGCCTGCCAGGTTTGACCAAGTGGGTGCGGATCAGGATCGACAATGCCGAGAATACCGTTATCCGGCTGCCAGCCTAGGTCAGGGACTGGCTTTCACATAGGTCGTGTTGATCCAGGTCGCCGACGAATTGCTAGTCTAGCCGGAGCACCACCTGGAGCACCGGTCTGGTGTGAATCATAGCACAGGCGTTACAAATATATTGCTTAGAAGCATAGCAGCATAGATCTTATACCACAGAAAAATCATTAATTCAGAGACCGGAGCTTTGTCAAGCAGCTAGGAAAACAACATGGTTAGTTAAGTCAGCGTTCTAGAGAAACCTTGTCTAGAATCGGGTACTTCAGTCTCTGCAGCAAGAACCCCTTGACTTTTCTAAATGATCAAGCAAACAACCAGGTGTGGCAACAACGACGTGCGGCTTCTTGCCCTTACCGACTAGACGCACGTAAGCGTGTGTAACGTGTGACGAGACAGCGTGATCCCGGGGATTGGGGTTCCGCGAGCCCCTCGCCAGGCGCGGTCCGGATCTCGGTGTGGCCCACTGACATCTGCGGTACGACGGGCTCGCTCACGAGCGTGGGGGCTGACCTACGCCGCCCGACTCGGCGCTCAGGGGCACAATCGGGTCCCGCACGGCTGGCTCGGCTTGTTGGCGAGGGCCCTTGGGCTTCGCCGAAGGTGGTGGACCGGGAGCTGTGACAGTGCCAGGAGGCTGGGCCCGGAGGGATCCGGGTGCGGCCTTCCACGCAGCCTCAATCCTAGCCTGCAAGATCCGCGAAGGCCGGGCCCCGAAGCGGGCCGACGACAACAGCACGGTGCGTCACCCACCCTTTGCCCCCCCTTTTCCTTCCGTCTTTTTCTCCCCTTTTTCCTCCCCTCTTTCCAAGTTGCACAATCATCCCCCAGCGCCGTGCCAAAATACAAGAAAACGTGACTAGCAAAGTCAACAATGCGATAACTAATTGCCCCTAGATCGAAGCCCTTTCATCATCCTCACCACTGCTCCCACCCGCGCCGTTGCGGCCAGTGCCGGAGCCGGGGCTGGCGACAAACAGATTGGTACGATCGCGAACTAGCCGGAGTTTGCGGTCTCGGGGCCCACGAGTGGTCATGAGCAGGCATGCTTATGCCGCCCCCCGTTCACCTCCTTTACTTCGGCGCCATTCGTGATTCTCATACCATTTGGGCTATTCACGCCGCTCCCCTCTCTAGCGGCGGCACCGATAAGTCCCTTGGGATCTGCAGGTAGACCTGCAGAGCCGTCGCGCGATGCCAGGGTTCTGGCTGCATTCAGGGTCTTGGGTTTGTTGGCACCTGGGCGCTGGGCGGCCGGGGCTTGCTGTCAATACTAACAGTACTGACGGCACTGCCGGTACTACCGATCTGATACTGACGGTACTGACAGTACTGCCGGTGCTGTCGATACCGACGGTACTGTCAATGCTAACGGTATTGACGGTACTGCCGATACTATCGATAATGACAGTACTGACGGTACTGCCTGATAATTGAAGCTCGTAATCTTCGACGAAGTATCCCATCCCGTCCAGAAACGAGGTTGGGCTCCGGTACTGGCCAAGGGCGGGGCTCTAACCACATCCCATAACAACTATTGCAGGCAGTAACCTAGAGCCTATTAGTTTCCAAGCTAAGGGGGCGCTTGGTTAAGCTTGATGTGCGGCGACGCGCTGGTTGACGAGTACTCTTGAGGGGATATCTAGCCATGCGTGCCATGCTGGCTGTGCTGGCTCATGCCACTGCTCATGTGCAGCCCGTCATTGAGACTATGTGCTGTGCATAAGGAGCTTCCAGGCTGTGCTTGCTTTGGTTTGGCGCTTTGACTAAGATCATCTGTCCAAAGCCTCTGACTTTCCACAGCCACAGCCCCAGACTCTCCGACAATCTGCGGATCCTGGATAGCCGGGGCATCCTGTGTGGGAGCCATCATATTAGACGTGGCATTCAAGTTGTGCGCATTGGATACCCGCAGATGGTGCCTATGTCCAAGAATTGTAGGCGCTCCCGGCTGCTGGGCTCTATCCACTCGTAGGATGACAGGTAGAGTCGGACCGGCGGCAGGTCCAGAGTCGTCTCTTCCAGTCCTCCCGAGGACCCGCCTACCCCGGCGTCTGACGGCGAAGCCGAAAGGTGACACTTTTTCGGGTTGCGATTGGGGCAAAGCAGATGACGGTGGGCGGCGATGCGCTGGAGAAGCCGCTTGACGAGGCCGTGACAAGCAAGTCGCAGTCGCAGCGGTCGACTGACTGCCCGCAGCCCATGGGATGGACGAGCGAGAACGTTGTAGCTCCACCTGTTTTATCAAGATCCGCCGCATTCCATTCACTTCGCCAGGTCTTCCTCCTAGCCGGCCTTGTGCTTTGATGCTTCGAGGGCCAGATCCCCGGCTTTCTCTTGCCCGCCGAACACAAGGGGTCCATCTCTGCCGCCAAGACGATGACGTCCACCGCCTTGAGGCCCAGTCCCGCCCGGCCTGCCTTGGGAGTGGCAACCTCGACAGGTCTTTTATCCTTGGGTTTAGGAATAGCCTCTGCTATAGTCTCTGAGGGCAGGATTCTGCTTATCCTAGATCCAAAGCATCCTCAACTTTAATTTCCTCAGAAGGCTAGGCAGGCTTAAACATCTCCTCGATAGCAGCAGCAGTAGGTTCACATATCGGTTCCTCTATACTCTGTCTCGCACTCTTGCCCTTCTTTCCCTTCTTCCCTTTCATCGCCAGCACTCCTTCTACCGCGTCACTTCTCCATCCTTCCTCTCCCCATCCCTTCAAATGGCTATGTTAGTCAAACAGATGCACAGTCTCAAATTTCCAGCCCAAGGTCAACGAATATTCCGACAGGGATGGCACACTACCCAGCAGGGTGGTTACTGTCTCGAACCAAGAACAAACCGAAGCTGCTAGCCGTCTAGGGGCGCTTTCTCTGGATCGCCGGGCTGGGAGACTGGTGCCAACAGCTGGAGCAACACAAAACTAGACTGCTGTGGAGAGCTTGGGGGAGTGGCGTGGTTGCGACGGGGTTCCCGCCATCTCTGGCAAGCAGAGGGCCATGACATGGGCTTGTGGCTTGTAGCACTGGCTGGGAATGCCTCTTTTAGATCTTTTCTTTTACCTTTTCCCTTTAACTACGCTTGTGGCGATGGCATCATCTCTAGGCTCTCAAGCCATCGCCAACGATGTGACGTTCTGCCGGGGCTGTAGGAGTAGTGGTTCTCACCTAATATGTAATTACTAATTAATTCTTAGACGAATCAATCCCATGTCTATCGTCCGTCTACTTATATTCTTGTAAATCTTTGCCTAGGCTAAGAAGTAAATCGCATACCACCAAGTGGGTTTCCTTTAGAGAATCGCCGTCAAGTGCATATGGTGTAGACTTACACTGTCTTGACTGTCGTCGCCGCTAGTTTGAGCTTGCTCCCTCCGCCGCTGGTTAGGAAAGGGCTGTGAGCTCTCGTTTCAATCCCCTCAAGCGACTACAGCAGGGTATACTAGAGCTAGCCAAGAGGGATCCCTACAAACGCTCCTTTACAGCCGCCGAGACCCGTTTAAAACGCACGCTTGCTGTCAGCCGCGAAAATCTGGTATTAGACAGCCTGTCGAAGAAGTCAGTTGTTCGAGACTCGCTTTGGAACCTCGATGTCAGCTACGATAGCAGCCGGAATGCAAAGTGAGAAGTTATCGGTTGTTGTTAGTTGTTGTTGGATGGTGAGGAGCTAGTCTTCAGAGGGGTGGTAGGAAGTAGATCGTGATGACGCCGCCTTTGTCTCGCAGAGCGGCGACTTAATGTAGGCCTAGCGTTATGTGCTGGAGTCCTTGCTGTCGTCACCTACATAGAGGCTTGAGCAGAGGCCTCCCTCCCCTTTCGATAAGCTAAAGAGAGTGCAAAAGTAAAGATTCTAACCAAGTCAATCACTCTTTTTCTTTACCTAACTAGAAAAAAACGCTGCACAAGGTTCTTTGACAAGGATTTGGCGCCAGTCTTGTTCGGAAGCAAATTGGAGGTAGCTCTCTAGTCAAACCATCAACCACGCAGACTTCCTCCTTCTACACAGTCATCCAATCGCCCTCAGCACCAAGAGCAAGACGACAGGCGAGAGCCAGGACAGCGCGACCTTGCAGATAGGCGTGTGGCGTGCGTTGGATTGTGGCTGGGATCTTGGCGGCGAACTCTTGGCTGAGAGCACCTGGTTGCTCCAGTGTCAGCATGTTTGCCTTAAGGGCCTTTCGCATCAGAACCTTGCCCCAGACATAGCTCAACGCCACTTATCAAGGATCTAGTTGAGAGCCGTTATCTTTTGCCCAAGTCGTTCAGAAGAGGAACCGTATGCCAAGATGGCGGCCGAGACAAACAGATCCACTCGGCTCGGCTCGGGAGGCTGGAGACAAGGTGGTGGCGAAAAAGATCACCGAGTGTGCCAGCAGACTCATAACAGCTACCGTGTAGCGTCATGACACCTTAGCGGGGGACACTGTGGCCGGTGAAGGCGCTCCACAGGGCCATCTACGCGCCGTTGAGACCACCGCCATCCCGTCGCCGTCCCCGCCGCCGCCGCCGCCGAAGAAGCAGCATCGATATCAACATCAACCCAAGATGGTGTTCCCCTCCACGCCCCAGCAAGATCCCCACCGCCAAGCCCGTCTCCATTCCAATGCAACCAGTCCATTCTCATTTGGTCTTACAAGGCCTTCCGGAGGTAGAGATTACGTACATCCATACTACAAACTCATAGTCAATCTCATCCTTGACATCGCCAAAGAGAGTGAAAGCCGTGACGACGCCAGCACCTCTTAACGTCTTCATTTTTGCCTTGACAGTGCTAGCAAAGTCCTCTTCATTATGCCACTTGTCAAGCTTATACCATTAATGCCTTTAAATAGCTACCTTTAAATATAGGTTAAGGATATATTTGTTCAAGGCCGCAAAGCTCGCAGGCTTCTCCTTCTAACCCTTCGCAGCTCGCTTCTCGTTTTCTTCCTTGAGCGCAGCCTTGGCGCCCGCAGCAGCGTCGCCAAGGACTGATCAGGAGTGTCTTACATTATGCCAACCATGCCGCCCATGCGCAACTCCCTAACCTCCCTCATCAGCGCCCCGCCACCCACCCCACTACCCGCAAAATCCTAATTCAAGTCCACCGTCTCCTCGCCCAAGCTAACCAAAGATAATAGCCTTCGCCTCCCATCCCTCAGTGTCGCGCATCCTTATCACCGCGTCGATCCAAGGAAGAGATCGAGGAGCTCAAGAAGAGGTAGGAGCAGCGCTGGCTGAAAGGACATAGACACCTTTAGCAAGACTTATCGGCTACCCAAGACAGGCATCAAGCTGTGTAGCCCTTCCGCACCAAAGCTTTATGCTCCTCCTGCAGTTGGTTCCAAAGGGGGGTCGGTATGGAAATATGAAATGTGCTAGGGCTAGTCTACCTCCGCAGCAAGGAGATGATAAGCTTCCAAAACAGACAGAAGCAAGAGAGGCTGCTCTTAAAGCATACTATCGTTGAATCAGGAAACGCAAGTCGTTAGGTATAGTCATTGTAGTTGTAACTAGCTTTGCAACTGTCTATGCAGGGGCTATAGAAGGCCACTAGGTCTCTTAGAGGTCTTCTAGCCCGCCTTCTAGGCGTCAAGATACTCCTAGCAAGCCAGGTACCTGAGAGCAGTGTTCCTCCGACCCAAAGTTAGGTCTCTATAAACACAAAGCTATTCAATCCCATACCCCAGAGTTTAGATTACGCACATAGTATAAGAAGTCAGAGTAGTCATCACATAACCTCAAGCAGATTCCCTCCCAAAGATTCGCATTGAACAACTCATCGACTTCCTCCAGAGATCTGTTCTTCAGCTTGGGAAGAAAGCTAGCTCGATGAAACCAACAAAGGGGGGGCCCGACAAAGGTGAATCCACAAGGTGGCAAAAGTGGGGATGGGATTCCATTTACAAGTTATAACAGTATTTCCATGGCCATGGTTCTCCTAGTTGTGGTACAAGCAGGTCAGCCTCTGTGCGCCGTCCTTCTCAACTAGCACACCGGCTGCGCCCGTCAAGTGCACCGTTCATTGTGGTTTTCAGTCTTCAGTAGTCTTTGCAATGTGTCGTCAAAAACCCCAACGCCCTCCCAGCCAATCTTCCCACACCCAAGACCCTAGTCCAGACTAATCCCCGCCCCGCCGCCAGGACAGGTTTCCTACATATGCAAGACTGGCTTAATTATCCCTTAGTGATCAGTAAAATGTGAAGGACAACAGGGGAAAACGATATTCTCAGCTCAGTCGCAGCAGTTAGGGAGGAAAGGAGGAAGCCAATGAACGTCGGGTTACGGAAACTACACGCCACCTGCCAAAAACCCATCCGCAAGCTTCCTATAAACAGGGGGCGAGTAATGATAGCTGCTACAGAGGCGCTGGTTTATTTTCCTGTCCTTGGATCGCCGAGACTAACGGGGGGGCAAGCCCAAGCTCAACTAACCTTATGTTCGAATCTGACATAGAACTCGACCTAGAGGAACTCTTGCTGCTATCGTCCTCTACCTCGTCTACTCCATGAGGTCATGCCATGTACCGTTGCGACCTAACCCAGAAGCAGTCGATGAATAGGAGGCTACATTTGCAGATATCTATATAATGGGCTTGCTTGGGTCAGTCATAGTTAATGCGGCATCGACTGTCCTTCGCAGTCTCTACCAAGGCCAGAGCAATGATGATATCCAAGTCTAGCTCCTTCTGCTCTCGAGGGCACCAGAAACAGGCTCCATACCCCAGGGCCATGCGGGTTGCTGGTTGCAGGCCATGCATCAGCCTCGCAAAGGACTGCTAATAAAGCCCGGCGAGGTCAGCATCGGCCAAACCTTCCGGGACCCTGGATACATCCGTAAGTGCCTTACTCAGGGCTGCAACACCTCGCTTTTGCCATTGAAGACGCCTTAGATTTTGCAAGTCTAACAATCTACCAACTAGTTTTGAACGATAAACTGGCCAAGGGCTTTCATTCTTCTTCTCTAAAGGTCATCACACTCGCGACAAGCATCATTGGTGCTCGAGCCCTCTCTGGGCGTTGATTATTATTCAAGCAAGCAATTCCGCTACGCAAGCCCTCTCTTCCCATTTGTTTGACTCTGGAGCAACCGGCTCTCGTGAAGGCAAAGGAGGCGCCTGGCGAGGATGCGCACGCCTACGTAAGTGGTAGACCCTAGTTGATGGTCTGCCAATATGCAGCTGTGAGGCACAAGCCACCCCTCCTCATCTTTACTTAGCTGGTGAGGTCTTTCTTCCTCGACGAGCGACGATGATTAGTCTAAGGTAGCGAGCTTCACTGCTTTTGGCTAGATCTGCCCTAGTGCCATTGTTAAATGGGTAGGAAAACGTTAGTTACCTTTACTATACGCTATTGGAGCTGGAAGCACCGCGGCTGCTGTCACCAGACTTGCCCTCCAATTGTTCCTTGTTAAATGGTTCAAATTGTACTCATTCCGATTCCAAAACCCAAAGAGAAGATTACTTACAGCCCGACCTATCTTCCTCAACCCCGGCCTTCTCAGGGGCAACCCAGAACCAGCTAGTTACTCTGTCGTCTTGGTTCCCAAATTTCAAGGTTTTTCAACAAAAAAACAGAGGCGGAAACTACAATTTTTGTGTCCCCAATTCAAAAGTTAATCCCGCAATAGAATCCCCCAAGCCCCATATGGCCATCATTGGCGCAGGCATTGCAGGCCTTACCCTACGGCGTCGATTTTAAAAAATGGAACCAACTTGCCCAGGCCTTGTCTACGCTGTCAGCTGCCTAGCCCTAACACTTTAAGTGCATCAGGTTCTTCGCAAGGGTTGTCTAAAAATCCTCCCCATTCTAGCTAAACCATTCTTATCTTGCAAGGCAAGGCAAGGCTATACTAATTACCGGCATCCATTCGGGCCACCGCTTCTTGAAGAGCGTAGATCTCAAAGACGTGGTTCATCCAGGGGTTGGGGTTGGCCTTTGTGCCGCCCGTCGATCTCCCCCAATGGGAATACACCCTTGACGTACGATAGAACCCCTTGCTGACTGCTGCCATGCACGCACAGCAGACCTCAATATCAAGGAGGTGCACGCCCAAAGGGCCACCACCACCTCTGCTGCAACAGCAGTTGCATTAGCGGTAGTTGGTAAACAGATTGAGCGATAGGCAAGTAGTAATAGGTATTTAGTATCTGAGATGCAAACGGATCTTAACGGATGATATTAAACAGCGAAAGACGGTCTTTATATGTTGCTCTGCCTAGCAGGTCCGTGTCGTTGGCTTTTACAGTGAAGTCATCCATGGTACATCTTCTCGCTCGTAGAGACCTCCAAGCCCTTTAGACAAACGAACCGCTCGCAGTGTAGGCCTATGTGCAAGTCAGTCCCGTCAGAGACAAGCTTGTAGCCGAGGGACTTAAGCTTGTTCTCCAGCGCCTTGGCGTCATCGAGGAGGGTGAAGAGGTAAGGGATCAGTTCCGGCAGGTGGGGGGTAACCACGTCCATACAGCCCTGCAGCCTCTTAGTGTAGCCATTTATCATGCCTGAGGTTAGCTTGGAGGTATACGAAGATGAAGGCGAAAACGGAAGCGCCAAAATCGTGAGCATAGACTCGAAGATTCTACTGCGACAGTAATTGCTCCTCAGCAGGCCGAGAAGAGAAAGCTTTGGAAACCCGACGAGCAGACTATGCTATCCAGTGCACACATCAAAGAGCAACAGGACGCCCCAGGCCACGGGCGAGAGGCTGCTTAGCCAGCTGCCGTTACGGATGAGGGCAATGTCCGTCCACCTGAGGTTGAGGTTGCTCCGATATGCTTGGTCAGAGGAAGATGATGGGGACAGGGATGGTGAGACCATGTTGGACACAACCATTCTCGTCGCCACGGGCGGCGGCGGCAAGCCCCGAGATATTGCCGAGGCAGATGTCTGCTGGGATATCGACAAGGGAAGATTGGATTTGTCGAACAAGCATGCCAGCCGGGGGATTTCGGTGGAGGTGCGAAGTAGAAGGCAAGGCCCTAGTAGGTCAGCACGGTAAAGTAGGAGAACTCGTTCTGGCAGCAGCGTCACATCTCACAATACCTCTTCAGATCACTCTGTCTAGGAGAAAAGGTTGGGCATGCACATAGGGACGTAGGTAAAAACGACCTGACACTCTCCCCAACATCCACGCCTGCGGAGACGTCGCAGAAACCCACACGCCGGGTATGTTGTCGACCAGGTCGCTGGAGGGAACCATATTTAGAACCAGGTTCATCAGCGCGTCGTAGCCTTTGAGCGTGCCCGTCACTGTTCCGGGCGCGACATGGGTGGACCGACCTGGGCTTTGTCGTCGCGCCCCATGTTCCCGGGGCCCAGTAGCGGGTGCTCCCTGCTCCACGGCATACAAGTGCGTCGAGATCTGGGCCCGTCTGGCACATCGTCGCAACGCCTTAATCGGCTTGGCGTTATCCGAGACTTCCGCCGGTGATTCTGTCTGTCCCAGGACTGCCTAGTCTCCAGTGTCGGCTCTGGATTCTTCAGGAGCCTGCGCCGGCTCAGAGGTACTTGTCTCCTCGACAGCAGTAAAGTCAGCACGTGCGCCTTTCACGCTCTGCTTCGCTTTCTTACCTTCTTCCCAGTTGGCTCGAACGAATCACCTTCAAGCAAGGGCTCATCAGGCAGTGCAGTGTAGGCAAAGTCATAGCCATCCCAGTCCTTGTGCCTGTCGTTGAATTCCATTTTGGAGCCAGTCCTGGCATCCCGGGTGGTGTTTACGTCGCTGGCGCCCGAGGCACCGCCAAGCGATTGGCGGTCTCGCATCTCGGAGGTGAAGACATTGGCGGCGCTGCTGCTGCCGCCGCCGTCGTCGTGGGTGTGGTGGGGATGGTGGTGAGGGTGGTAAGGGTGCCGGCCCTACCTTTTGCTCTGGTGGGGGTCGATGTTAGCGTTGAGTATGAGGATATCATGACTTTCAAACCCTAAGCTTCCTAAATACATTCATTCATTCTGCCTAGGACCAATATCAGATATCTATGTGTAGCACTAGCTAACAGAATGGCTCCCGCATCTAGCCGGCGAAGATACAGGGGCAGACATTGTCTCTCACGTCGCCAATGAGGATGATGTTTGGGCCTCCATCACTGTTTGCCCCAGTGACACGGAGAGCGACAAGTATTCTGAGAATCCCAGCCATGACAATTACCCCGCTGCCAATACCTCCGACACCCGTTCCCGTTTCAGAAGATCGTCGGAGCCCGCGTCCACGCCCAAGAAGAGCAAGGTCTCCAATGTCGGCCCCCAGCGACAGGTGTCGCTGCACCTAGCCGATGTACCTGCTAAGCAGATGACAATCACATCTGCCCAGCCAGAAAGACATTCAAGATATTCGGCAAACTCGCCAATCTGTCCGCGGTTGTCTAGCAGCAGGCATCTTTGAACCGCATGAGAATTCAGACCATAGTTCCGCCCCTCAATCCTTGATCGACGTTACTAGTTGGTGGGCCCGCAGCCAACCACAGCCACCCCGGCAGTCAAGCCGTCGCAGAACCTCATTGCTGTCAAGCCCAGGCGGTCCAAGGCGCAAGATATCGTAGCCAACATCAGCCGCCCAAGGCGAGAAGCCAAGGCGAGTGCCGACAAGGAGCAAGTTGGGAAGAAACACAGGGACAGCGTCAGTGGCCCCGTTGCTGCCAGTACTAGTGCTGGCTCTGGTACCGGTTCTGGTGCCGAGGTCTCCAGAGTTATCAGCCCTCCTCCCAATACGAACTCTGTCGCTGCTGCCAAACCTGACACGGTTGACTTTGCCAATCCCAACGTAAGTCAACAATGCCAACACCAACCCCATTGATAGTTTCAACGCTGTCTCTAACGGGCTATGCCGGCCCTGCTAAAGTCAAAGAGGATCTCGACGAATGGGTGGTTAAGTTGATAATAGACATGATTTTGGTACTGTGATGTGGTGATTTTGGCGGTACCATAAGTGTGGCGGCACCTGTGATTTTCTCGGGCACTTGATTTTGGATTTTGGACGGTACGTACTGTGGTTGTGGCGGCACTGCGATTTTGGCGGCCCCGTGATTTTGGATTTTGGCAGTAGCGTGATTTTTGCGATCCTATGATTTTAGCCGCACGTGATAGTTGGGCGGTACTTGGATTTTGCGGCACTGCGATAGAGAACCGGAATCCAAAAAAATGCGGGGTAGGTCGATAGCCTTTGGCGGGTGTAGTGAAATCGAGGTGATCGAGGTGCCAGCTACAGTGGACAATACTTGGGGGTCTGTGCGGCATCCTGTGATTTGGCGGTCCCGGGATTTTGGATTTTGGCAGCACTGTGATTGTGGCGGCACGTTTGCATTTTGGCGGTACTGTGATGCGGCGGTACTGTGATTGTGGCGGAACTGCGATTGCGGTGCATCGTGATTTTGGATTTTGGCGGTACCGTGCGGAACGAACCATTTTCGATCGTGGCGGTACGTTGATTGGGGGTACCCTTTGGCAGTGATTTTGGATTGTGGTGGGACTGTGACTTTGGCGGTACCTTATGTGTGGCGGCACTGTGATTTTGTGGGCCACAGGAGGCGGCGGTGCTTTTGGCGGTACTAACCCCGCGGTAGTACCGCAATGATTTTGGCGGGTGCCACAGGTAGGAGCATTGATTTTGGGAGTACCGTTGGTAGCGGCACTGATTTTGGCGGTACTGCCATTCAATTGAGTGCCGCCGATGATAGGGATGTAAATTTTCGGCAATCATCGGCAACTATCGGCAGTGCCTGTACCGTCAGCCGCTGTCGTCAGTACCGTCAGTATCGCAAATCTCCTGCGCGCGCAGCAGTTCTCATGCGCTTGGACACTCCGCACCTTAAACAATACCCTCCCCGCTTCCGATATAAGACCTATGTATGCATGCGACACATAGGCCAACTTTTTTTTCTCGGAATGAAGTAGATGCGGGCCCACAGCGCTGCCGCAACCTGCCGCTGTGCAGATTCCAGCACACAGATACATTGACAGGCAATGACAAAAAGACCTGCCTAACCAGCTACACTTAGGGTGTAGGAAAATAAACTATATCTGTCTGCTCCTTAGATAATCGCCGTCATAAATACACTCTTACTTTTTCCTAGAACTGATTATTTAGGCTAGGTTGCTTGATAGGACACAAAGTGTGTACATTGAAGATATCTTGCGAATAAGTCGGTAGCTGGAAAAAGTGGGACCTATTTTAGATTGCGATAAGCAATGCAGGTCCAAAACTGAAGAATCTGGTATCATTCTGTGTGGTTGGTGGTTGAAGATTTTCGCAAAGTTCGCAATAGCTCGGTTCATCCTTGGAATATGGAGGCCAAAGTTCGTACCCGTGCCATGCGCCACTTCATTTGGCCCTCGTGGACTTGGGACGTGCGTGGCACGGGTTGGAGGCACAGATCCGCCGCACCTCTCCCAAAACCGAGGGCGCGCATTTGAGACTGAGGGGAGTGTCTTACAAAAGAATGCGAGGGTATATGCTTCTGTACCACTCTCACATTTGGGGAGGCTCTAGTCCTTGCAGCTCCGAGAATTGAGATCCACGTGATCACAAAATTTTAGGTGTGCCACGGAGCGTCTTATGTAAGATTGCTGGGGTATGTACTTCCGTAATCTGGACCTCTCTCAAATTCGTGCGTCTCAAAACCGAAGGCGCGCGTCTTACGTAAGAATGTCATGGTACGTACTTCCATCTCCAAAAATCAAGACCCACGTGATCAAAGCCAACACAACCCCGCCAATTCCAACGCGTCGACGCGTCCCCCACCCATTCATCCCACTTTCCCTCCTCCGCGCAGGTATTCACTCGGGCTCCCCCCAATCGCGCAACACTCATTCCGGTCTAAAAAATACCCTGCGATACTCAGCACTCAATCTTCTATCTCCCCGTTATATTTTACCCCCGCGCAGATGCGGCGCTCGACGCGCATCTCGTCGCTCCCCCCGCCCGGCCAATCCGCCTCTGCTGCGCGGTCACGTGCCGGGGTCCAAGCGGAGCTCCAGGCATGCATCCGCGGGCTCGAAAGCGCATATCTTGAGCAGCGAGACAAGCTCCGGGAGAAATGGCGGGCCGTTGTGCGGGTCTCGTCGACGGCCGAGTGGTACGACGAGCCATTCGGGGCCTGGGCGATGGACAACATCCACCTACACCTCCTCCGCGCGTCTCTCGAAGTCGAGTTTGTCGATCTGTGGGAGGCGCCCGACACGATGAAGAAGGCGCTCAACGGCCTCGCCTCCAGCCTGGGGCTGCCCTCGGCCTGGCACCTGTTCCTCCTGTTCGGCTCAGCCGCTGCCACGTCGGAGCGACTGCGAAAGAGCCTCCGCGCCCTCAAGAACCGGATGGGCGAAGAAGACGCGTTGATGGACCTGTATCCCGCGATACTGCGCGCGCGGAACAGGCGTCTCGGCCGCCTTGTCGAGGACGACATGTCGGACACTCCCTTGTTTGCGCGGGCATCATGCGACAAGAAGGTCTTGATCTCGCCCAACGATGTTGACCGCGTCAAAGTTCAACAACGTCTGTTCCCTCGCCTTCCCTCCTGCAAGCCCCTTGACTAACTCCCCGTCTCAAGCAGGCACCCAATCCGACCCAGGCCCACGATCTGGCCCAGGCCCCCGATCGGATCCTGGCGATGCCGTCTCACACGTGGACCGCACGATTCTGATGGCTACCGCCGATGACGCCCGGGTGCGAGTGGCAGGCCCGTCTGTTATCCCGACTTTGGAGACGCATACCCTAGCCCAGCATGTCAAAACCCCGCTCCACGGCGGCGACCCCCTCGTGTCCGAGCAAGCAGAAGGTGGCCAGGACGGGGAAGATTAGGAACCCCCTGCCGATGAACCTCTATCGCCCTTGGAATGCGGCCGGAGTCCCCAGTCGCCGATGCACGACGAAGAAGCCGCTTCGATTCTCTATGCCCAGCGCAGCCACTTGTCGCCCTCGCCCGTGCCCAGTCTCGACCTTGGTGCAGAGCCCGAACTGGACCCCGAGCCCGACCATGTCGAGCTGAAGCTCGAAGTCATCGCAGAGGCCAGCAGCACCCGCGCCGCCACCGCCAGCATGCCACCGGCGACGACACCGGCAAAGAAGAGACACCTCATCGATCTCGACAACGAGGACGCCGAAGAGGAGAACCAGGTCCCTCGCCGGCGCCGCGGATCCTCCACGCTGTCGTCCCATCCCGTTGTCAGCCGGCTGCGGCACGTGGCGTGTCTCGAGGGCACGAACCTCGTGGACGACGTCATCGTCAACCAGCTGATCCGCCAGTTCGCCGCGACGTGTCCGCGCCCCACGGGGCTTGTCGATAGCCTCACCGTGTCGAGCATCCTGTCTGAGTCGGCGCGGCGTCCCAACCGAGGCCGGTTCCGCGAGCTGGACGGGCAGGCCGCCTTCGTCATCCCTATCCACCGCGACTCCCACTGGTGCCTGGCCTACTGGGTCGCTGGGACCGGCGAGGCGGCGTACTACGACTCCATGTCGCCGGCGTGGGTTGCTCCGGCGGCTGCCGAGCGGGTGAGGCGTGTCATCTGCTGGATTCGAGGGACCGACGATGCGGCGGAGCAAAAGGAGGTGGCAGTCATGCCGGCCAAGGTGAGCTCACCCCATTCCCCCCCATCATCTCCCCAACTCACAAGTGCTTGTCTGACTCCTCCTCTCTAGTGCCCAAGACAAGTCAACATGTTCGACTGCGGCATCCATCTCCTCGCCAACGCGGCACTCCTCTGCGGCCATCGCAGTGAAGGCATCGAGAAGCAGGACAACACAGCCTCCCTTCGAACCCTGCTTGCGGCCCAGTTCCTCGCCGCCACTTGCCGGGCCGCCCCCTTTGGTCTTGAGGCCTTTATCACCGCCACCGCCACCGGCAGCAGCCACACCACCACCAGCAACCGCGGCGACGCGAGGCTCACCAGCCACCAGCGCATGTCGTTCCTGTGCCAGAAGATCCGCGAACTCCAGCAGGGCGGCTTCGTCCCGCAAAACGTCATCGCCCCGCTGCAAGCCGAGCTAGACACGTACTCGACCGCGTCCGTCCTGGTGCGCCTGCTCGAGTACCACCGGCGCGTGCTCGGCAAGCTGTTCTCGGTCGACCCGCTGCTCAACCTCTCGGGGGACTTCCTGGCGCTTCTCTCGTCACGCGGCGCCCACAACGACGACGTGGTGGACGACGACCTGCTCCCCGCCGACAGCCGCTTCGCGCTCGCCATCATCTGCCAGAGCTGCCGGCAGATCCTCGCCAACGACGGCCGGGGCTCGGCGTCCAGGGGGATGCAGTGGACGAGGAGCTGCCAGGCAAATGTCGCGGTTCGGGTGTTGGTGTGGCTGCTCGTGTACGCTGGGCAGAAGTTCACTGCCAGCATTGCTGCGAGGAACGCCTTGACTAGGCCGTCGATGTAGCTTTGGAATCGGGAGTTGGCATGTCTTTGACTCTGTATTTATTAGAATACCTTAGCTATAACCTTGCTACCTTGTCATGGCTAAACTGTCGATGCATCCTGCTCTGCCGTCTTACTCCATCCCCCTATGTCTCATAGTAGGGAGTCTACTACGGCTTTAGTTATATGAGCACCTCTAGTCTTGTCGAGAAACCTGCTTGGCCGTGTCTCTATGTTGGGGCCTCAAGCGTCTTCTCCGTTGTATATAGCCAGAAGTCCCAAAATACCAGCTACATAACCGTTGACTCGACGTCTCGAATCCCAAACTGATTCCTCTCTAACCCTCCCAAGTGCCTGATCCTGACATGTTCTTCTGCGCCTAGTGGCACTTCCTGCCAAGCGTGCGCATGTAGTGTACCTGATAAGGGACTGCTAGAGGTGGTGTGTGCATAGGATGCTCTGCCGTTCAAGCTAGAGGCTAAGGTATCCATGGAAACAGTATCGATCCCGCTTTTCCTCAGATAGATAGCCTAGTTGGACAGCCACCCCAAGGTTTTAAGAGACACCCCCGCCATGCTCACCTCTCAAGCCGCCCAACGGATCGCAGGACATGTGGAGAGACAATATCCTCATACTTCAACTTATAACCTCAGCGCCTGTCACAAGCGTGAAGAGCTAGTTATCTGGTGCGAAGTAGGAGTAAGTATATAAGGTTAAGTTTGTACTGTACTGCGAACTCGTTTCTACTTCTGCGCGTGCTAGACTTAGGCATGTCCAAGACTACGAAAGGGTTTCCAAGTATAATTATAGCTCCTTTACCAGTACGCATAAGATTAAGCCTGTTGGAGTATAACTTCAAGATGCCACTCCTACAAAGCTTCCCAAGCCGCAAGAAAACTCCAGGAGCCCCGCCTCCAGTGACGAGATAGAATCGACAGCCCATCCAAAGCCAAATCTAACAGCTGCCTCCCACCATCCACCCCTTAGAACCAATCTTATCTCAATGGGACCCACGCTTGTCCCTGCGCAAGAACTAGGTCAGTAGAGTGCTCTATCTCCTTCCTGCAAATTTACCGCTGCCTAGAGAGGCTCCACGGCAGCGCGCCAGCACTAGTACCGGTACCGGCGGGGAACCTGGCAAGGAGCGCCACGTTGGCAGCCTGCTGGACCAGACAGACGAAGACGGGCTCTCCTCGACTCCATGAATTGGCACTACTGCCATATCGGCGGTATCGCGTACCGGCAATATCAGCAGTACCGTCAGTACAAGCTAGACTGGCAGGACTGGTAGGACCGGCAGGACCGGCAAGATTTCAGTACTAGCAATACCGTCAGTACCGTTAGTATCGGCAGGTATCGGCAGCACTCTCAATTCTGGCAGTACTGGCAGTACCGGCAGTACCAACAGTACTGTCAGTACCGGCAAAATCGTCGGTACCGTCCGTACAGTACCGAGAAAATTGTCGGTACAAGAATCCTACTAGTACTGACGATACTGGGAATCTTCCCGTACTGCTCGGACTGTCAATCCTGCTGATACTGCCGGTACTGAGAATCCTGCCGGTACTAAGCATTCCGCCAATATACGGTCAGTACCGACAGCTTCTTCAGTATCGTCAGTATCCTTAGTGCCGTTAGCTTTATTAGTAACGGCAGTACCGGCAGTGCCGCAGTGCTGGGAGTACTAGTAGTACTGGTAGTGCCGTTCGTAGCATTAGTATCGTAATGATTTTCAATATCGACAGTATCGACGGGTAGTTCCGATGGTACCGTCAGTACCGTCAATTCCGTTGGTATCGGCAGTATTGTCGGTACCAACAGTACTGGCAGGATTTTCGGCACTGTCGAAACCAGTAAAATTGTCGGTACCGTCACCGTCAGTGCCGGCAAAATTGCTGGTTTTGGAATCTTGTTAGGACTGACGATACTAAGAATCTTGTTAATATTGAGAGATCTGCTAATATACCGTTAGTACCGGCAAAATTGTCGGTACTGGCAGAGTCTTCTGTACCATTAGTATCTTCAGTGCTGTCAGTTTTGTCAGTACCGGCAGTTCCAGCAGTATCGGCGGTACCGACAGTACCGACATACAGTTCAGACAGTACCGACAGTACCGACAGCATCGGCAGTATCGACAGTATCGGCAGTACCCGCAGTACCCGCAGTACCCGCGCGCCCGCCGCCAGCCAACCTCACTCCGGAGCTAGCGCTCGCCGTACCCAACGGCGCGGCGCGACGCGGCGCGAGTCCTGATCATGCAAGATGCGACCTGCAAGCCGCTAACTGTGGTGTGTCGTGATCTGGAGCTCGATCTCTCCGTCCACCTCTGGGCGTCGCCGGCGTCCTTGTGCGCGCAATATGCCGATACTGCGCCCACACTACCTTGTCCACGGTGATGATGATCAGGCCACCCGCGTGCGGTTGGAGGCACTGCGCACCAGGTCCCCGCCGGTGATGGACTCAGCCGACGTCAGCAACTTGTCTATCATGCCGCTTACGACGATGTTGCCACCGTGCTCGCCTGAAGGTCATCCAGAACTTCGTCACGGATAACAAAACCAATCTCGTCGCTGTGCAGGGCCGAGGGCTACAGCGCCGCATTCACCTTCTACCGCGACGTTTATCGAGCTTGGCGGCCAGCAGGCTGACAATATGGGAGGTTCTGTCGTCGACTGCGACAATTAGCCGCCGCTGGCCCTCGTCTAGGATCTCACCGAATCTCTTGGCCAGGTTCTTGACCGTCGAATCCTCTAGGGGTATACAGCTGAAGGAGCCGGCACCGCCTTTGATGGCCTTGACCGCTGCTGGCCTAGTGATCGTCCCGTGCGCGGTGGTGGTAAGCATCGCGCCAGCCTTGCTCCCGTCCGGGACCGCAAGGTGGCGCAATGTGTAGCTGTTACCCAAGCTAGTCAGCAGCTAGAGGTTGTCACCAGCTGCGGGCTGCGCCGGCTTTGTTGTCGATAACCAGAAAGGCGATGCCAACCGCGTACGAGTCGACTAGACCAGCGGTAGGTCAAAGTCAACGACTGCGCGTAGGGACTCATGGACGAGCGCGGCAGCGGAGACGCCAATGGTAGCGAGGACCTCTATTCGAGCTCGGCGTGCCGTGCATGGCCGGCCGGTGAACAAGCTGTTGCCAGCCCCTGATTGTGATGACGACAGTCAAGTCGCCCTGCACCTCCACCTCGAACCGTTCACCGGCCTTGCCGAGTGGCCGCGACGAGGTGGTGCTACTCGATGAACCGGGAACTACCTCGACGTTCCGAGCAAACGTTAGGTTAAGGAGCGGCATGTGTCAAACAGGCACAATGTTTGAAAATGTACCTGACGCTGCAGATGCCTTGACCTGTGCGGCGCGCGCTCTAGCTTTTTCCACAGTCGCAGCATATGTGCCGCCAGCTTGCCGGAATCACTAGTGTACTCCGGCTCCCACATTCTATCCAGGATGACGCGGCTGGTGAGCACGGGGTCGGCGTTGCTCATAAGTAGTTTCAGCAGCCGGAACTCTTGCCAAACGAGGGCAAGCAAGCGCATGGCAACGGTTACTAGTCACCAGAACCGCGGCGCGGTCAAGCACCACGTCGCTGACCTTGAGCCGGTCTTCGGGCGTGACAAAGCGATCGACTCCTGCGTCGGCCACGGCATCCTGCTTCCCTTCCAGCTCGGACGTCGATCTGCAACTAGTTAGTACTCCAGGCACTTGCCCGTCACAATGAAGATCGTGTGTCGGGCGACGGCGTGGTCGGCGTACCGCTTGTAGAAGCGCCCAAGCAGCGTCATGTCGATAGCCGCCCCGGTGCCTCGCGCCTAGTTCGGCAAAAGCACTAGCGTAAAGCTTGTGCCGCAGCGCGTCTATCGAGTCGTCCTTGGCTAATCATGTCTTCAGGGAATGCTTGCGTGGTGATGCGCTTTGGGCAGAAATGTAAGAAAATCGAGGGAGTTGTCAAGCAACATTCGACAGTTAAAACTTAACTGGAGAAGATTTGGAACCAACCTTGAAGAGGCTTAGTCTACGAATTCAAGGCATTCTCCAAATATCTTTTGTATTTTGTTACAACGCTTGTGTCAGAGTGCGCTTTCGGAAGAAGGGAAAGAATAGCGTGGGGGAAAAGTGTAAAAGCCACCATACCATTACTAACGACTAAAGATATAAAAATACCACTCGAAGGTCTTAATCTACTGCTGTAAAACATTCTGCAAGTATCATTTTTGCTATTAGCAGACGCTTGTATGCCTTAATCTCGTTCGCGAGGACGATACCGCGCCTGTCCACCACGAACCTTGGTAACGAGCGAGCGAGCCACCTCACCCATCTATCTGCGACATCACGTCACGCGCCTTCAGCGGCACCGTGCTCTCTGGGAATGCAGGCGCGCAATCTTGGCAATGTGATGGGCGAGGTCGCCTATACGCTTTAGGTTCGCGGTGAGGTGGTTGTGCTGATCAGCACGAGCAGATTAGTAGCCGCCGGCTGCTGCGGGCAATTGCCTGGAACGCGCGGTCCTCTAGCGAGTCACGCAATGTGTCGACACGCTTGTCCGCCTCGATAACCGCCTCCGCCCACGCGAGGTTTTCATCGAGGGGCTGGTGGCACAGTCCACCTCACCAGCGGCTAGGTTCGTCATCTCAAAAATGGCCTTGCCAATGCTGTCTAGTTTGTCGTGATAAACGTCTCTCATAGATTCTTCCTTCGGTATAGTTGCGAGCGGAACGATGGCTACTTACCCAAACCGTCCCAAGATGTAATTAGTCCTCGGTGCGCTTGTCGGTGGGATTGGAGAAGATCTTGTCGGTGTCATCGATCTCGACTATCTGTCTTCTTAGCTTGCCGATTCCAGCGAGATTAAAAAAAAACGCGCTGGACCCGGACACGCGTGCGGCCTGCTGCATGTTATGCATGACAATGACGATCGTGTAGTCAGACTTCAGCTGCTATATGATGTCCTCGATTGCCAGCGTCGAGATCAGAATGAGGGCTAAGCAAGGGTTGTCCATCAGCAGCACCTACGGCTTCACCGCAATCACGCATGCGATGCCAGGCGCTGCTGCTAACCACCCGACTGGCTAGCACCGGGCTTGCTTAGCTGGTTTTGCGCACCTTCTCCTCGAGGTTCCCCGAACACAGTAAGTTCTCAATAACCCTGTCGAGTTTGTTCTTAGACATCCGCTTCGAGCCGAGCTTGATCAAGGGCAACTGCAACGTTGTCGTAGACTGACATCGTCGGGAACAGGTTTAGCCGCTAGAACACCATGCCGATGGTGCGACAGACGTCGACGGGGTTGACGGTACTGCGTAGATGTCCTCGCCGTCCAGGGCAACCTTGCCCTGGACGCGGGCACCGGCGATCTCTTCGTGCATGCGGTTGAGCGTGCGCAGCACTGTCGACTAACTGCAGCTAAACTAGCTGATAAAGGCCGTGACCAAGCGCAGCTAGATAGTGAAGTTGACGTCGCTGATGGTGAGAAACTTGCTATAGTAGATGTTTAGGTTGGACACATCGATGCGCTTGGCCATGCCAGTTCCTAACTCGAGACCTTGTTGAATCCACCAATTAGCCAAGCGATGAGGTTGAAGATCATGACGATCATAACGATCATGATCAGGGTCAGCGCCGCGTCCCACATCTGATCCGGGACGTAGTCAGCCTGCGCCTGCCAGTGAAGCTGTGAGTAGCTGCGAGGTTTGGCACCTGATCCTTGCTCATCAAGGGCAGCGCCGCCTAGGCACCGTTGAGCGGGCTGGTGTTGGTCCTGAGGTTGTAGTGATCGGAAATCAGTAACGGGCTTGTCTCGCCAGCCACACGCGCGATGACAAGCAGCGCACTGGTGGTTATCCCAGTGAACGGGGTCGGCAACATGATGCGGAAGCATGGTCTTCCACTTGGGAATGCTGAGGGTCTAGGACGCCTCACGTAGCTCGTTCGGCACAAGCTTGAGTATCTCCTCTGTGGTGCGGACGACCACTAGGATTATCAGCAGCACTAGCGTGATCGATACCTAGACACTGCGAACTGTGCACCCAAGTGGATGACGAAGACCGTGTAGAAAAATAGTGCTGCTACGGTCGACAAAACACCAGTCAGGACGTCGACCATGAACGTGGTTATCTTGGCAAGCCAGCCAAGCCAGTACTCGACAAGGTAGATCGCAACATGCAGCGCGATCAGCACGGAGATCACGGAGGTGGTCGCGACATAACGTGACCAGCACGGTGGTGAGGTTGTTCTTGAACTTGCGACGACCCGAACCGCCGGACGCAGAGAGCAGGCTCGGCGGTGAGGCTGGTTATTCGCTGAACTCCTTGCGTCGGTTGACGACTGCTTGCGCATTGACAGCAAAGGTGAGCCCAAAGAGCACCAGGCCGGCTGCGATGTACAGTCCCAGGTCAATGCCAGACTCCGCGGCGCCGTTGGCGATCTTGGACGCAAACGTCTCACTGCCGTTCAAGATCGAGCCATTCAGCTTCGCGCCGGACACGGAGAGGGGACAAGATGAGTGTGATGGCGATGGTTTCACCTAACACCCCCAAGGCCGAGCATCTCGCCGCTGACCACACCGGGGCGCCCGTAGGGCAGTACCGCAAGCCGGATGAACTCCCAACAGGTTACACCCAGCGCCCGCGCTGCCTCGATGTTGTACCATGGCGTCTAGGCGGACAGGTCCCGCGAGATGGCTGTGATGATCGGCAAAATCATCGCGAGGACCATGTCACCGTCGAAGATCGATCCCTTGATAAAGCCTTTGTCCTTGATTAGGATCGCGCCAAAGTGGTAGAAGAACCGCTGGACGGGTTGGAGCTTTGGCGACAGGATCATGAAGCCACAGATGCCGTAATTAGATGATCGACGGGATCGCCGCGAGTAGGTCGACAACGCAGGCGATTGGGATAACCAGGCGCCTAAGCAGGGCGATGCCGATGGCGATCGCACGGTAATGATCATTCTGATGGCCACGGTGATTACAGTCGCCTCAAGCAGCCCCATAATCCCAAAGTGATAGTAGTTCGGATTGCTTGTCCACGCGTAGCCGAAGACGAAGAAGTTCGACTTGTCCTTCGCGATGTCTGGGATAGCCTGGATGATTAGGAGCACACCGACGAGCGTGACCAGGGCGATGACGAAGACACCCGGGGCCCGCCGTTAGGATCCCAAAGATCCAGTCGCCGGTTCGGGCCCGTCCACCGCCGACACTGGTCGACCCGGCGCCGAATACCGGCAGCAGGTGCCTACCGCGAGCAGGTCCGATAAGCTGACGATGATCGGGCCGTCCGACGACGCCGGTAGATTGAGGACATCCGCCGGCGGGGGACTGGCATACAGATCCTCCACCAGGCCAGAGTTCAGATACGGGTGCTGCTCGGGTTTCGGCTGGTGTTCCACAGTCCCTCCGTCTGTTATGGCGTCCTGCTCTCTGATGGACCGCACACATCGGCTCAGATGTCTGAGCGCAGAGCCTGCCGGAGCATCGATCGGTGACCGATCGCCCAGCGGGGCAGCGCGCAGCGGGGGTTGCTGACTAGCTGATCTTCGCTACGCCTGACTGGACCTGCGTCAAGACCGACGCCGGCACCTGACTAGACCGTGGGGAGCAGGTTCTGGCTGGCAGCCGGGGACGTATACGTGAGGAATGCCTTCACGTTTGCACCGATCGTCGCATTGCTATACTTCGAGCAGACAGTCTCGTAGGTGAACAGGATGATTGGGTAGGCACCTAGGGTTGTAGGTATGTACTGAATCTTTAGCGTTAGGTCGTCGCCGCCCTGGCTTGCAATGGTGGCTGCCGCAACATTAGCACCCACGCTTGCCGCCGTTGTTAATCTGCTCCATCGACAAGCTTCCGCTATCCGCATAGGACTACTTAAGGTATCTAATCTAGCCTTTGGTCAAGGTGATGGCCGACTGCACGCCTGCTAATCTACTCTTGCCTTAGCCAACGCCTGTCCACGTCTTGCTTAGCGTAGTTGGATAGTCGGCTGCGTTGGTCATGTTCAGGTACTTCTCAAAGTTGTGCGTAGTACCCAAGAAGTTCGAACGGAAAAATATTGTGATCTTCTCCAACAGCAGGCTCGCGCTAGATTTGGGCGTCGTGATGGCCAGGTCATTCCACGAGGTGATCTTGCCCGTGAAGGTCTTAGCAACGACTAGCAGCAGCATGAGGACCAGCGAGCTGGTACCCTTGACCTTGAACGCAACCGCGATCAAGCCGGTTGCCATGTGGATGTCGAGAGCCGGCGACTCGCACTCGCTCGTCGCGGCAGCCATTTGACCCAGCTTCAAGTCAAGCGCCGAGGGTTACCAGGCGTCGGGCAGGATTGACAGTACCGGCAGTACCGGCAGTACCGATAGTGCCGGCAGGATCCGTATATTTGGTGCTGTCAGCCAGTATCAGCAATACCAACAGTACCAGCAGGATTAGTAGTACTACCATCAGCGCCGTTAGGTACTGTCGGTACCGTCAACTGTCAAGTATCGCTAGTATCAACAGCCAGTCAGTACCGCCAGGTACCGTCAGTGCCATCAACTGTCAACTGTCGTTAGTAGCATCAGCTGTTAAGAATCGCCAGCCGTCAAGTATCTTCAGTATTGTCAGCCAGTAGGTACCGCCAGTACCGTCAGGTACCGTTAGTATCAGTCTTAGCATTATCTCTCTCTCTCTCTCTCTCTCTCTCGCGCACACACCCGTATTACCAAGCGTACGAAGTTTTAAATCTGCGCCCACCTAACATTTTCTAGATTCTCGGTTCCCTTAATTATCGCATGCATCTTCCGTCGGCGATCACCACCAAAATTCAAGCCGTCAATAGCTTATATGCGTTCAAAGAAGTACTAGAGCTTCTTAAAGCGCACCATATTGTCTATTACAGAATTAGTTACTTAACTATCCTGCTAGAGCTGTATAGATGAACTACAAATCGTCTATGCGGGAACAGAAGTATGAGAATCAGGAGACTCGAATTCCCCAAGACATCTCCGGGCACTGCCACCGCTACTGCCGCCGCTTGCGCCTAGGTGGGAGGAAAGAGAGCCTGCGAACCTAGCCTATGACAGATCAAGTGGTGGGAGTCTCTATGTGTAACGTCGTGCTAACCAGACTGCCTGCTTTGCTTTGAGAAGACGACGTTCGACACCACCATTGCGCTTACTGTCTAGTACCTCGACGAGGCCGACAAACTTAGAGACTGTGTAGTTATACTCGATGCTGCTAGATATACGTGGCTCTCCTTGCAGGTTCTGAGGCGTGAATGGAGTTGCAGTGGCTCTCCTTCGACAGGAACAGCAGCAACATCAAGACTCAGTCTGGTTAGGTACCTAAGGATATAGAGATAGACATCGATAACCTGTCAGTCAGATCTGTTAGAACCTGCTTGTTGGACTGGGGAAGCTGGTGCATTAACGCGTTCGGGAGTTAGCCAGGGTATAGTTGGGAATCATTTCCCAAGGTTACCAAGGTGGTAAACCTGGGGGGTGCGGATAAGCTGCGACCTAGAACTGGCTATGATGTCGGGTACTGGTATTTTCATCTATTCGGCGGAATAAGATTGACGAGTGCTAGGAGCATCTACAGAAGGTGGCGAGGTGGGAGGGTTTTGTTCTCGACGCAAACGTCAATGGTGCTGAGAGCCTGGACAAAACTATTAAAGTGGTTGCAGTTAAAAAGCTCATAGTTAAACCTTAGCCCCGTTCTGTTCTTCCTACTGCTTGTCTTGAGCTGGGGTAAGTTGCTTCGATATACCGCAACAAAGCAAGACTACGTCAACCCCATGAGGAGGCCTACCAGCCCCGTCCAAACTCAACATCATCCTATTCTCCACCCTGTAGGGCTCTCTAGAGCGACACGACCTACGAACCAAGGCCGGGGACCGGGAAATACAACATGAGTGGCCTTATGCGCGACCTCGAGACTGTCGGCAGACTTGATGATGACGCCTCGTTCGACAGCCACCCTGGTAGCGGCCGGAACGCGTGCCCGGCTGGTTAATGTTTCCCAGGCTTACCGGCGGCGTGATGCCGTCCAACGGCGGCGGCAGCGGCGGCAGAAACAACACTGACATGCTCTAGAAGAGTGTTGTGAAATTCCCAAAAGATTCAAGAAACTGACTCTGCAGGTAGGATTCTAGAGTCTCGGCATTCCAGGAGGAAACTTTCGACCCACCTGTTATGCCACCATCAAGGGTCCCGTTTAAGCCATACCCATGCAGCTTCGTAATTCACCTGCACAATCTGCCATTAAAGGTAGTCAGAGGATTCGGCTTTTGGTTTCATTTTCATGCAAGAAAGTTAGATAGAATCACCCTATTTTGAAAAGTTAGAGCATTGCTTGCCACCTTGTCCTGCTTTTAAAGTTTTTTGACTGCCAACTTATACTGCTAGGAGACAACGCGCGACCACGGGACGTGGGGGTCGTTAGGGTGTTTGAAACTAGCGTTCGGCACTATTTATTCCCTTTAAACTATGCTAATACTTTTTATTTTCTAGACCTTCTCAGGCTTTAGCATAAGACCGCCGTCTCCTAAAAGGGGACGTTGGTGCGCTGGGGAGTATCACTAGCTCTCTTAAAACCATAGCAAGAAAGATTAGGGCTAGTCAAAGTCTCTAAAACCGCATTAAGGCCAAGCGTCTTGTAGGTGTATAGAAGAGCACCATCAGTCTTGCAGATATGGTTTGCAAAGGCAAACATGCCCTAACCCTCGGAATACAATACTTGCAAAGAGCTCGCAGGTTGGGACGGTGTCTGTGGACACAGGAAACAATGGACCAAGGCACTCCTAAAGAGAGACAAGGAAAAGCTAGGAGAAGTTAAGACAAAGCTTACTATCTCGGCAAAAGCAAATGAGAGACCACACTAGAGACTGGGAAGGCGATGTATCAAGCGCATGCTTGAGACTTATAAAGGCATCTGTACCTATTTATTACTCTATTGTCAATTCTGTTTAATAGGATTTCTAGGTTTGGCCCCTGAATTGGTTCAAAAAGTGCTGCGGCGGCGTCAAGCGCGGCCACTCATCATCCCAGTCATGCGTCACCCCAGCGGACGCCGACGCGCGCTACGCCACCGTCGTGGCGCTGGAAGAGGTCGGTGTTCTCAGCAATGACCTTTTGGTTCTCTCCATCATACCGTTCATTGTATTGGTGGAGACTCTGGAATCTGAAAAGCGTCTCCCTCATAGGCGCAGGGACATACAAAAAGATGCATTGCATCCGCTCTGGCAGGCAGACTGACGCGCGAGAGGCGGCTGGGGGGAAGGTCGAGAATTCTGCTATCTCAGGCTCGGCAGCCACAAAACAATGGTGCCAACGGCATCATGCCTGCTCCTGCGAGCCTCTAGAGCGGCGTGAGTGTCAAAACTTGAGTCTAGGCAGATCTTGCCTTTTTTAGTCAGCTTAGGTTATCTCCCTGCCTGCTAATATCTGTCTCCTATCCTCCCAAAACATAAGAGAAGAGAAGAGGGAGGATATGGCCTGTTGAGAGGCTAACAGTGATAGCAAGACCCCATGGCCTTGCAGATGAGCAAAAATGTCACCATTGCCAATACGGCCGACGTGAAAGCGGTGCGCATAAGTTGTCGAGCGATCTAGGACCACACCTTCTGCAACATGCGCGGCTGGGACAAGAGGATCACGCCGTTTGTCCAGCCAAAGCCAACGACACTCCCGTTCAGCAAGGCCTCCCAGTCGCCCGGGTCGGCGACGCGGCGCTTAAAGTCCCGCGTGTCGGCCCACAGTAGCAAAAGTACCCAGACATGTGGCAGGCCAGATCGACTCAACGTTTACGGCTCGCTGCCACCGCTTAGGGGAGTCATGGACAGAATCGTGTATTGGTTGCTGGCGGGGCTAGACGGCATGTCTAGCAGAGAGGACACTGCTGGCGGTGTCTTTGTACTCGGCGTCACCAACAGACCTAACCTCTTAGACTAGCCTGACTAGCAAAAGTGCATCCTGGTGGCGTGGCAGACAGACTCGTCAGGGCTGGGACCGGCGCCGGAACTTGGTCGCGACGGCGATGGGGTTAAGGATGCGCTTGAAAACCGCAGGAATCCCTACCAAACGAAATTGGATTATATTTTTTGTCGTTGAATGAGGAGGAGAAGGTATACCCCGGCGGTAGGAGGGCGCTGATGCGCATGTCATGGGTGTTGCGTGAACTTCTTCTCCTCTCTTTTTGTCAGAGTTTTTCGATTCGTACTCGAGAAACAAAATGGGGCCCCTTTTTTGTCCCCTAACCTCATCCTTTACCAACCTCCCGCTCACTCTCCTCGATTCGAGAGCTCCATCTCGAAATTTGACTGATCGACCGCCGTGACACGCCTCGCCTTGACGATAGACGTGCCACTGGGGTGCATGAGGCAGAACTTGGTGACGTCGTCTTGCACCGCAATCCACATGTTGCTATCCAGTCAGTGGCCTAGCCTGCACGGTCGTCTCATGAAGACAGGAGGCTTGACTGTTGATGATCTGTAAAGTCGCGCCTGATTTGGTGTCTCTCTGTAAATTGCCATCTCCAACTACCCGGTTGCTATCCTTTGCAATTGTAATTATCGGCAGCAAATGCCGCTTCCCAGGCCATGCTAGCTCGTCCTCTCGGTTTTGGAACTTGCTTGCCCCTCCCTAGAACTTGTCTATATAAGACTTGCAGAGTCTTACAGATGAATACTCAAACATCAAGCCCGCACGCTTCGACCGCGACCGCGACAATCGCTGGCCGTGTCGCTAGGCGGAGGCGCTTATCAACTTCGCCGCTGATGGCATGGAGCGCTACGTGAAGGATAAGGCCATCTTTACCTAAATGACCTGGAAAAACACAGCAGAAGGTAGTCTGGGATGGGCACATCCTATTCGCCTCTCATAGTTTGCCCGTGATGTGACTGTGCATAACAGTGACTACTTGACCTGCATGCTAAACCCCTTAGCCGCATAGCCCTCCTCTATCACCCACAGAGGAAAGTAAACACCATCCATTTATAATTAGAACTCCACACCTACACATTCAGCCAACCAGCAACCTATCCCAGATGGCGTGATAAATATCTTGCCTGCACCTGCCGAGAGCGCGCTCCCAACCACAGGTCTTGGAATCTTGGAGTTTGAAGTCTCTAGTTTCTACAGTCTTTGCTGATACTCTCTTTCTCTCTCCGTCTTGCTCACCCTCTTCCCAGCTCTGGTCTGTGCAAGAAAGTTACCCTCTTGCAGCAACCACGGACATGGTTATGGTCATAAGCACGGTCAGCTTAGGTAAACTGGGAGTGCCAGTGCTTGGCAAGGAGCCAACCTCTGTTAGGAACTGGCACAACGCAATGAGCAGGATCATGCAGTAGGAGTTGGGCAGGCTCTTGACTTGCTGCTCCTTAATGTCCCTAGCCTCTGGACAGGCAGGCTTGTACTTGTGGCTCTATATAAGCCGGGCTGCTCTCCTCTGCGCCAAAGCACTGCTTTGTCCACTAGTGCAAGCCTGCAGGCTTGGGATTCATCTGGGCTGTCCTAGGCGAGTTCCTCTGCGCCAGAGCAGGAGGCTGAGGTCAAGGAGGGGTGGGAGGGCGCAGGCACAGCTCTAGCGTTAAGGCCAGCACTGTAGTGGCATTCCCGGCCATTCTCCGATAATGATAACCAATTCAAACTCATAATCCATCTGGGCCCAGTCTACGGTAGTTTGGGTTGCGCTAGAGCAGCAGCGACTGCGTGATGGCGACGCAGGCGCGACTGCGTGATGGCGACGCAGGCGCGACTGCGTGATGGCGACGCAGGCGCGACTGCGTGATGGCGACGCAGGCGCGTAGCTTTTCGGGGGAAAAAAACCCCACTTCTCATACTCCTGCCAAACATGTTTTCTAGCAGTCTTTCTATGCTTGTCCCTCAGGGACTCTCGCCGACAGCCCCGACATCTAGTGTACCTACTTATCAAGCTTAGAATTAGACAGGGGTTGGGAAACTGATCACCGTTGCTTAGGCAAGGTGAGCACCCAGTTCGACGTCGCTCTCTCATTTTACACGCCCGTCACTGTCGCCCCAGCGCTGCACATCATCAACCTATACCGGCAACAGGGCGTGCCAAAGGGGCAGGTCTGGGTTGACGACTTCTTTAATTCTTAGAGCACAGGCAAAGACAAGAAAGTGGCTTACCAACTCCGCAAGGCAGTACAGCTGCGTAGAATTCAGAAATGAGAATCGCACTATTCAGATGTAGAGATAGAAGTTACACCCTGCTCAGGATCAGAAGTCATCAACGCATTTCTACTCGACGAGGATTCAGTCCCGGTTATTGTGAACCAATGGATCTTCGCCTTTTGCCAGTTCAGTCAGATGAGGTTCAAGGTATGTAAGAGGACAGTGGCATGGACAATTCATCGTGGTCTCTCTCCATAGCCTGTAGAGGATTTTGACAAGCATGACTTGAAACTAAAGATGATGCACGAGGTAGTCTCGCTTGCCGGATGCTACAAAACTAGCCCAACTACCATGACAGACACCGACATCATACTCAACGGTGTATAGGGTAGCTATGTCAATCTAAGGTCAACAAATCCCGTAGGATCCTCATGCTTGGAGGCTAGAGTTAGTGGCAGGAAGGTCGTCCTAGAAAAACCACTTGAGATCGTGCATAAACGAGTGCTGCTTACCCAGAAAGACCCCGACTGCCATAAAAGTCCTTGCCCAGTCTTGTTCTATGGCTATGCATAGTGGCGGCGTTGTCGTCTTCTCTAGGTGGCTATTGTTTAAGGAGAAGGGATTGGGTAGCGGCATAGGTATGGGCGGCATGGGAGGCGTGAGTGGCATGATGTAACACACTCTTGATCGGTCCTCCTTGTTACTTTTGTAACAAGCATTCACTTCATGGAGTTGTCGACCATAAAACGTTAACATACTGTAGCACCAAAATGCCTTGCTAGATAGCGAATCTGCAGGTGGCAAGGACAACATTTCGTTAGAGACGTCTCAGGCTTGTTAGTAAACACATCTAGCGTCTTGTCAAGCGCCTCTACAAAAGCCACAATAATTACCCTTCGTCGTCGCTAGAGCCCAGTATAGCGTCTTTGGCTTTTACTCCCCCCTGATTAGCCTCCTTCTGCAATCAAAGACACAAGAAGCTTCCATAATGGAATGCCCGACCTACCAAGAGAGAATGGACTGGTGTGGAGCAAGTCACCAATGTCAACGGGTCTTTGCTAAGCTAGACACGGTTTTCGGTCTTGCTAGGCTAGACGCGGTTTCCGATGTTGCTGCTTCTAACCCACCTTATGTTCTAGCCCGGGGCTAGCGGCAGAAGCAAATCCTTCTATCCCCAGACACCTTCCATCATACCCTCACTCACGCCGAACCACTCAACCCAAACCTGAGGTCAAAAGTAGGGCAAAAAAGAGGAAATAGAGAAAAGCAGGGATTACAAAGCCAAATGCAGAAGAATGCAACCATGTCCAACCATAGTTCTGTCAAACCCTATAAGCGAATAGGCGGCTGAAGGGTGGGGACATGCCTTTCCTAGACGCAAGGAGTTTCGTTCCGATATGATATGCAAGTCGGCCTCCAATGTGCACAAACCTTGGTTCCTATATTCACATATCTACCTAGTCGGCAACTTTGCCTTTAAATACAGGTTTTAAAGTGTAAAGCGCTAGAAGGCGTAATTCCCTAAAAGCTTAACACTAAGGCATAATCACCAGCTTTTTGGTTATGTGTGTAAGTAACGGCATATCAAGGTGAAACTCTCCAGACTCTAGGTTACAACTCTAGTTAGACATATCAGACAACGCTAGAATTAGAAGACTTGTTAGAACATAACTTAGTGTTACTGGGACAAACATAGCCAATAGCTACCAACATGACAGAGTCGCAATCTAGTCAACCATTTTTGCGCAAACAAAGAGACAGGCTTAGCTTAAAAGCCTGTAGTTAGTGTCAAGTAAGATTTAGCACACTATAGTTTGCTGGCAAAGAGTTTTCCAGTACTAGGAGATTGCTAGCAAACTGTTTTCCAAACAAGGAATTTGCTAGCAAATGGTTTTCCAAGGTAGTTAGATATATTTTAATTTACGTTAACTTCAACATAAGTCACCACAGGGTATCTACAGCTATCTAATCACCAGACATTTCTTTCACACCACTTGCCAAGAAGCCTACGCTAGGACGGATTGCTCCGGCATGCCAACCGCTAACCCACTTAGGGATACGCACGCACGTGGGAGCACTTTCTCCTTCTGCTAGAAGTAATCTAATTGCTGCTTCCGTTCTAGGTAAACCCCCAGGCCGTATCCCGGCAAACCCACCAGCTTGTACTTGCTGTTGTAGACCTTACCTGCTTTGGGCCACGCTGGCGCCGCATTTGACCCAAAGCCAGAAAGACGCTTTGGTAAGACTTGCTCTGCGGCTAAAGTCGACTAATTTGGTATTTCTAGATACTGCTGAATGTCTAGAACAAACTGGCCTAAACTGGCTCCAATTGAGGTACAGAGTTGTTTGGAATGCCGCTCTTTCACCTTTTTTGGGTCAAATGCACCGAGGTTTTAGTAGCCTGTGTGCAGCAAGTCTCTGGCGCCGTATTTGATTCAAACCAAAACTAACGTTAGCCAATTTGGTATCTCTAGATAGCCTTGTATGTCTAGAACAAACTGGTCTAAAATTGGCTCTTATTACAGTACTTGGTTGCTAGGAAATAGAGCTTTGCCCCTTTTTGAGTCAACTGCGCTGAGGTTGTGGTCGCCTATGCGCCGCAAGGCGTCCTCCACGAAAGCGGCTTTTGCGAGTGTCAAGACCAGCACAAAAGTGGTGCAATTTGGTATTCCCAGATAGAGCAGACAGGCTGAAATAAAACTGTCCCAAATTGGCCCTCTCTACAGTCCTTGGTTGCTAGGTTATTGGATATTGGTCAGTCTCTTGGTTTGCCGTGGCGTTGAGTGTCCAAATTAAGCGTAGCTGTCTGTAGCTGTGGCTGCACCGCGATGAAAATGGGAAAGGGAAGAGAAAGCTTCAAACAATGTCACGACTAGAAACAAGATCCAGACGGTTGTGTGATATGGTAATTTAAACTGGTACCGTCCTGTGGCATCGAGACACAATACCGTAATAATTATCTAGCCAAATGCAGTACCGTCAGATTTCTGCGGTGGCTCTGTGAGGACTTTGGCTACGGCTAATCACCGGCACTTAAAGTGTAAGCCTGAGGTCCACATTTCCGCTTGCTCAGTGTTTCCACTCCCGTTTATCTACCATGCATGCCCTCTTCCCTCACCTCCTCTCAATCATTTCGCAGGTTCTACTAAGTTTCCTTCATATGTTGGATGCCTTCTCAAGCAAGGAATGGTCCCACTTGTGCAGCGGCAGAGTTAACAAGCTAACGCACGGTTGACTTGATTTCTACTCTGCGAATAAACGTTTGCTCAACTTTGCAAGTATGTGATCCACGACACAAACAACATGCGCCAATTTTCTCGCCGAGCTCTCTACTAATAATGCGCCGTAGCCTCGGCTAGATTTAATTCCTTCCGCCCCCATCCCAATGGAGACCTCAATTGCACCGCTCTCTCAATTCACCCCCCCAACCCCAGGAAGCACCTCCCCCCGCCTCCTCCTCCTCCTCACCATGGCAACCACCCTCTCAACGACCCTGGTCCTCTTTATCCTCTTCGCCCCGCACCTCCCCAACCGCAACCACGCCGCCCAAGCCCGCCTTGCCGCCATCCGCCGCGACGTCAACATAGCAATCCGCTCCACAGAGCGCCGACTCGCCCAGATCAGCCACGACGCGGAGACCCTCGCCCAGCGCATCGATTCCGGAGCAGCAGCCGGCAGGCAAGTCCTCTCCCAAAACATCCAACCGTCCCTCGCAGTCGCGCTCTCTGCGTGCCGTGTTGAATCCGCCGGCCTATCGACGCAGCTCAAATCGCTGTCGTTGCTGTCGTCGCGTGCCACTATCCAACTGGCGGAGGCGAGGAGGCTGGGCGGGGTTCCCGGGCTGGGGCTTGGGGTGCGGGTGTCGTCTGGGTTGGCGGTGGTGTGGGGGTATGTGCGGCGGGTGTGGAGGAGGCCGACGGCTGCTGAGGTTGCTGCGGCGGAGATGAGGGAGAGATATATGCAGCGGGTGACGGAGAAGGTGGAGAGGATGGAGGGTGATTTAAAGAGGATTCTGATTCCTAGGTCAGTGCAGGATGGAGTTGCAAAAGCCTTGGGACAAGATGGTGGTGATGGTTTTGGTTCTGCGGGAAAACCTGGCTCTTCTTACTTAGGTCAAGGAGCGGAGGTGATGAAGGAGGCGAAAGTGGCAGAAGAGGAAAAAAGGGCAAGGGAAAGGCATAGACGGAAACAAAGAAAGGAGTTGGAGGAGAGGGAGAGGGCTGCTTTGCTAGAGTTAGAGGAGAGGATGAAGAAGCTGGGAGAATGGTGATGCTAAAATGGGCGAAGTCCTAGATTGTGGTGCAAAGACGAGCTTCGTGGTATTGAGAGAGATGTTAGTAGGATATCTCAACCATAATGGCATATGTACCCATGTTCTCCTCCCTGTTCTCTAATGCAGTGACATGTTATACATGCTGGCAAGAAGCAAACTTCAATAACTTAGCTCCCCTAGAACTTCCCAACTTCCCGCCGCTGTACATAGCGAGACTACTTTCACACAGCCCCTTGCGCCAATTCATTCATCCCAAACGCCTCTCAACAGCAACACTCGCCCGCCCGCACCTGCAAGCCCACCTCCTTTACATTGTCCTCAACCACACACGACCGCCCACTAGTGCCGCAGCCAGATCCGGCTCCTCAACTCCCACTGCCGGCTCCGGCGTCAGAGGTACTGATACTGCTACTGCCGCTACTACAACCGTGACCTCTTCGGGCCGCCACTGGGCTCGCTTGCCAAGACACTACCTCCTTGGAAGAGTCTTGGTATGCGGATGTCTTATACTATGGCATCCAAAGATGTCACCTAAAGAAGGGCCTTCTGCTACAACCTCCTGCCGTATTCTCCTTACGTCATTGCGGAGTCTCATTGAGGATAAGAGCTGGACAGTTTGATATATGATTGCTGATCGGTCCGAGAAGGTGAGAGATCCTTTTTCCCAGCGGTGCCGACACACCAGACTGGCTGACCCATTCCCGGCTACGCACTCGGTCAAGATTTGACGACGTCTTGTCAAGTGAGACGACAAATCAGAGAAAGCCATGAGGACAGGGAGCCATTAGGCAGCTGGTTTTCCCGCCAACAGTACCGACGGTGTTTGCGATGGGACCGAGTTGTCATATTCCGCGCTGGGCTTGAAGGTGGTAGAAAGGGTTTTCAAGTTGTTAGTCACAATGGGCACACTCGAATGATATACCATCAGCCCTCTAGTTCTCGCTCTACCAGTGTATCAACTTTGACGAGGTCACAACTCTAAAGAGGCGCAATATGGCTCTGGCAAGGCTATTGTAAAAAAGACATAGGCAAAGCGACTAGATGAGGAGCTTGGGTTGGTTAGTGACTTACATGAGCAACTCGTCATCACTCGGTGTGTAAAGCTTCAAGGTCACAACTTTAACGCCGCGATATGCTCTCCTAGGTTGCTGGAGGGACGGAAGCGACGGCACCACAGGTATGGGTAGCAGTTTCAGCGACCTTGATGGTGAGCGCATAATACAACTCCCTGTTACTCTTCGACTGTTGGCGATTAGCTTGATATTCCTTCCACTGGACCATAAAACACAGCCTAACACAGCCTTTAGAGGTGAGAAGGTTTCCACGTAGACCGGAGGATGATCGAGGATTATCTAGCTGTAATCAAGGGATTTACCTCGACAACGTCGTCGGCTGCCGGACTCGTGGCAAGGGTATCGATTTCGCCAAAGCCGCCAAGGTCCCCGCCGAGAATGACGAGGACAAGAAAAGAAGCTGCCAGAGCCCCCCGCCAAGGTGACCATACCAATCCGCCATCGCAGAGGAGGCCGCCGCGAAAGCAAAGCAAGTCTAGCTGCAGAGCGTGCGGGATAATGTTTACAGCAAGGGTCAGAGGATAGGAGAGGGGGAGACGTTGACTAAAGTAGTGGAAAAGGACAGTGCTAATGCGGATAAGGATAAGGACGACAAGTCGCAGCCTACTCCACGCAGGATATCATGAACTATGCAGCATGCAGAAACCTGCCGCGATCAAACTTCGTTTGCTGTCCTTCGCATCCGCCAGTGCTTTCCCAGACAGCCACGCATCTGGCACCTCCCCGCCTTTGCCCGGCCCGCCGATCCGCCCGGCGCTGAGCTTCTCGAAGGGACGGTTGCCGGTTGCCATATGCAACGACAAGTTAGATTGGGGTGCCGAGACGGCAACAGGTTGCGCAAGGAGCTGGTGGAGCGCTATCGTGTACTGCCTTCGCGATTAGGCATTAATTATTGCGACAACGAGAAAGAACCGTCCGCAGCGTCGTTGTCGTGAGGATCGAAATGGTCAGCGGGCGCGACACTGTTAGGCATGTCTTGGGGTTGAGAGGTTACTGACAGCTGCTCTGCTTGAGACTGTTGGTGGCGCTTTACAGCAGAAGCAGTGAATCTGCCAGGTAGCTGTGAAGCAGATGAAATTCGCATTCTTGCTCCAAGATGTCGCTTTTGTCGGAGGAGCGTCAGTCCCAAGCCAACGGTGTTGACCAGCACGTCCTCCCGCCCCACAAGCTCCCCCAGCTTATGGACAAGCATCTGAACAAGCGTCTTAGTTGTGCTGTAGCAATGGGTGTATTGCAGGATGGAGAAGTTGGCGATATTTATTTGCAGTAGTTGTTTGACATGTCAAGCTATACTAGATATCTGACATGTCAAGCCATACTAGATATCTGACATGTCAAGTCACACTAGAAATCTGACATGTCAAGTCGTACTCTGACATGTCAAGTCTAGCATATAGCTTGGTTCTTTTCCTTTATATTTCCATTGCCTTACTTATGTCGACTCTCTTAGTTATCCATATTCATGCAAATGGTAGGCAATTAAAGGGTTAGACTGATTGAATTTCAGTGATGTGATTAATGGCTGATGAAGCACCTGACAACAGTACTTTCTTGGCGTCTACGTGCTTCCCTACACGCTGTCGCTGTCTGCGGCGCAGTGATACACGTATAAGCCTAGGCACAGAAGCTAGAACCAAGCTGTCTTGGTCTCATTCTCCTCCTCCGCCGTCGTCACCACCGCACCGCCGCCGGGACCTGTCAAGGCGCAGCTGTGAATGTTATGCAACTTGCCTAACTCGTCAGGGTTTGTCAGCGTCAGCTTTACCTCGTCGCCAACCCGCGCCCAGATAAAGAGGCTCGGCACGGTGTCGTTGAATAAGCACTGCTTATACTTTTACTAGCTTGTCAGCTGGTCCAGCTTGGTTGTAGTCGTTAGGGGAACATGGAGGAGCATGGGATGGTCCTAGGCGATAGGCGGCGGGATGTGGGGCGCGGTTGTGAGTATCGCTTGCCTTATGGGAGTTACTCTTGATTTATGACCCCAGTATCTATCGTAAGAGAGCATTATTGAAAGTGACGTTTTTTTTTCTACCTTGATAGGGAAGGGCAATCGCTTGTCTTGGGGAGATCTAGCCTTAGGACAAACCTTCCTACGCTAGATCCGCCATGAAATTCATCAATGGAATCAGAGGCCTGTGAGGTGATTGACATGACAGCATCCTAGGAAACGGCAACCGAAGCAACGTCAACTTCCCCATCTCTCGATTCGCTCGATAGTTTTAAAGGTGCTTCTGTCAAGAAAGGGCCACTAATTTACGATGAGGTTCCAAAAATGGAACTCTAACCCAATCTCGACATTCTCAGTCTGCCTTTGCCTCCCCTATGACCCAGGTAAAGGCGTAGAGAAGGCGAATCGCAACCATCGTGGGGTCGATAGCAGCCTGGCTATGCATCTGGCCCCTAGAGTAGACGTTGACCAAAGAGCCACTGAGGCATCCAAACGTTGTTGTGGGCTTCCCTGCTCGGCGAAGTGGAACTTGGCAAGCTTTGGTCAAGATGCATTAGACTATATTCTGCCACCGATTTCAACCTGGTTGGCTTTGGGACAAACTCTCGCAGTATTTTGCGCATGTTGGAATTCTTGTCATGGATGCCGCAGGCCTGTCATGCGAGATCGGGGGCTTGGCGCTGCATGCGCACCGTCACGCCTGCTCTCAGTTGCCTGCGTGCGCTTCGGTTCTTTGTCCTAGACACAGGCTAGCTGCCTAGCCACAGCTGCAATAGGCTAACCAGGTTTACCATGACGGTCAATAAGAAGCACAAGACGCTTAGCCTAGTGTCTGAGACGCGCAGGTCGTGGAAGTCGCAAACAGCCATCTACTTCTGCCTGACAAGCTTGTCCTTCCCAATCCCGAACATATACTCCCAGATGCCAGTGTTCCCGCAAGACTCAATCCAGTTGATCTACAGGGCTTCGGACGCCTGGCATTGTAAGGATTAAAGGGTCATGGAGGTTGGAAGCACAGGGAAGATGAATTGCATCTGCCTAGGGTAATGTGGCTTCCATTGCAACCCTCGTCACTTCTAGCGCTAACGTCAACAGCCTAGACAAAAAGGGCAAAACCAAGGTTGTCAAGATTATCGAGAATCATCAATATAACGCCGTCAAGAGACTCTAAGCCCTCCTCTTCTTAAATACCAGGCATAGGGGCCCCTAGGCCTTTAGGGCCTCCTTCTCGTCCTTGTACGCTGTCTGCCTCCCAACATCTATCCGCTTCTCCAACTCACACCATATAAGACTCGCTCCATAACCCCATGCTTTTGTTGCTGGTATCTCGCTCTAACCTCTATCTTTTTTGTCCCTGGTTGCCAAGATCCAGTATAAGACTTTGGAGAACGCAAGTTCACCTTGACGAGGCATTCGTGGCGTGAGGAAGCCAAGAGAGAGGCAGGGGTAAAACCCGCACGCTGCGTTACTCCAGCCAGCAGCACGCCCCCATTATCTAATTACATAAGATCTCTATTGGGACCTCGTAAGCATTTGGGGGAGAGACCTCGATGTCTTCAAGGCTGAGCTCCTTGCCAGCTTCTTTGGCGACAGCTGCCTTGCAAGTGATTCTGGTGTTTACCCTGTTTCCACCTAGGCGTATAATTGCAAGGTTGACTTGCGTATTGCCAATGCGACTGCGCAATGCATAGACATTGTCTGCTTATGCAACTCACGGCGGCGGGAGGCCCTGCGCCAGGCGACGTTGGTATTCTCTGCTCCTAATTACCGAAGATCTTGCTGTCTTTCCCGGGCTATTGGTCCGTATGTTGGGTTTAGGCTTGGGGAGCGATGCGAAGCTGTCGTTTTCAAACAGCTCCTTAGCTAGGTTCTGTTCTACCTCAGACACCAATAAGGTTACTTTCTCCTGCCTCTTTTCACTTTATAACAGCTGTTAAGCAGTAGCCTTTTCCTCCTATATGGAAACATCCACATTGGAGCTTATGTTACCCTGCCCCTGATAAACATCGGCTTTGGCAAGCTGGTGGGCAATTTCAACGACGACCCTTGAGGAGGAGCCAGCAAAGGCATTCGCACAGGAAGAAGGAGGCGACGAGGAACTGCGGCCAATCTTGCTCGATATTGTCTTACTTGAGTATAACTTCATCCTTCGCAAAGGGTTAGATACGTGGTTTGCAATGAGAGAATGGCCAGCTAGAGTGAATTGTCTCGCAGGCAAAGTTGATGACCTGCATGATCTTGCAGGCAAGACAACAGTCGAGAATCGAGAACTCCGCGACGGCGCCTCAACCTGCCGGCAAGCCCATCAGAGGAAGAGGAACGCCCTCGACAGCGATAAGACCCTCTCCAATGTGCCGATACTCAAGTCATACCCATCTTCAAATGCGCTCTTGGTGAACGCCTTAGAGGGGGAGCTGCATTTCCTGACGCTCTAGCCTTAGATGTAGCCTGCGTTTGTCTGTGGTGCGTTGGAGTGGATAAGCTCTGGCCTATAGGGGCCTCTAGAATATGAAGAGTTAACCTGGTCTTGGGCAGGATGGACTTTGACATGCTGACTGGTTGACAGCAGCTTATTCGCGAGGATGAGACTCGCGACGGTTGGGTCGTGGATGCCGCGGCTGCCTACGTTAAGCCGGACATCCACTACAAAGTAAATGGGATCATGTAGGCCCACTGGTCGGTTCGTTCTGCCATGGCTCGCAAGATGCCAGCGGAAGAAATTGCCCAAGGACGTAGAAATAGACAGTGAGCCCAATTGTATATACGCGAGATACTAGGGACTGCCGTTGAGACTTGCCATGACATGACTGGAGCAGACGAGGAGTAGCCTTCGGGTATACGGATTTTCATTGACCGTCATGGCAGCCCACGAATAATTATGTCAACCGGAAACCCCATACGCCCGCCGGCAGCAGCTATCTTCACCAGCGCGGCGATGTGCTCGTCTTCCTCGCCGTGGGTGCCGGAGAAGCCCATGGACAGCCGGAGATCGACGGGGCCGACGAACGCGCCGCTCAACGCCAGGACGCCCAGAATCTTCTCCGCGTTCTCGACACCCAGTACCAACTTGATTATAGGGATAACCGTTAACTATACGCAGTGTCTAAGATTGTCGCAAGACCTGTGAAGACAAGACCTTCATAATCGTCGTCAAGTCTTCAAGGTAGTAGAGTCGTCCTCACTCCATGTAAAAGGGACGGTCTCAAACCTTCTTCTGCTTTAAAGCAGGCTTAAATTTACCCTGTGGCTTGGTTTTAGGTTAGGAGATTCAGTTCTTGTTATAACCTATGATCATGCCGACCTGGAGAAGGTAGAGATATTGCAACACTACTACGCCCCGCAGGCATCGGCGGCGCCGGGCGCCGGTCTGGCCCCCTTTGACCCAGCAGGCGTGTCGGAGCAGCCCTCAAAGCCCGGCACGCAACCCTCGACCCCTCCTCCCATCCAACACCACCCACCCCATCGCCGCTGGACGAAAAAAGGTTGGCCATGGATCAAAGGCTCGTGTTTCGCCTGCTCCTTCTTTTGCAGGAGTTTGACATGGTACCCCACTCCGTTGGTACGGACAAGAATAATGCATACGAAAAGGCGGCGATATGGGTTCCAAGGTCGACCATTTGCATAGAAATATCTCGCTGCCAATATTGTTAATCATAGCCTTTAGCATTATTATTCGGACCCTCTTTCTTCTAGCATACCAGCAAACCTTTCTCATTGCAAGGACGCGAAGCTGCGCGAGACAAATGTAAGCGCAGTTTCATCTAAGGTGGGGCTGACGTTCATGTCGGGGTGATTAGACAGATTGGATATGGTCTAACAGGGACAGCAGAAGTCAAGGGAATAGATAGCAAAAACCGGTGACCCATTAAACTTGAGAAACTCAAACAATTACATCTGCCTCATCCCACAGAGTGTTGAGAGTATCGAGAATATCGAAGAGATCGCCGCCGCCGGTTAGATTAGGGAAGCTGGCAGGCAAGGGAGAGTGTCGTTTTTTTATGCAAAGCTAGTGTTGTGACTACCCTCTACTGGTAGAATGGACCAAGGGAGAGCGGCCCCACTAGGATCGCAGTGATTTTGTTGCCATCTAAATACTCTAGCGGTAGCATAACACCCCTGCTGCCTCGTCAAAGTCCACCTCCTTGCCAGAGGGCTAATTCAGAGGGCCGCGCTGGAATCCCAAGTCAAAGTGCATGTCAAGTTGCGCCAAAGTTCACCTTCATAGACATGCATGCTATTCTGCAGCAGGTTGAACAGCTTCAGCGCTGGGAAGGTCACGTCGACGGTAAGGGGCTCGCCTGCAAGGACTGCCGGTGCACTAGCCAGTCGGTCTGCTTCTGTCATATAGCTACGAGGAAGCAGTCCTTGGCAAGTACATTGTCTAGCTAAGGGATTGCGCTTCCGATATGCACCCTAGACGCTGCTTGGAAATGGCGTATTGGAGACTTACGCACAAGGTTACCAACACCGGTTTCGACGTCCTAGACGTTCACGCCGCGGTAACCGCGTCGGTTCCCCCGGTCCCAACATCGCCAACGCGTGTGTAGCCCTCATCCTCGCCGGCCTGGTGGCTTTTGACACCGACACGCCGTTTCACACCCTCACTTGTGTCTGCCCACCCCGCGGGCAATGAAACCGGCTATCACGCCGCAGTGGGCGTCTGCGAGACCCTGGAAATTGCCTGTGCATCGCCAAAGTTGGGGATGGACGCAGCATGGCCTTGTTGGTTCTAGATTTAAGACGGCGTGGGCATTGATGTGGGCATTGGCTTGAGATTGGTGTTGGGGCTTGCGGGAAGTTTGTCACAATAGGGGAAAGACAAACTGGGAAATGTTGGAGACGGCAGATGGAGCTGGGTTAAGCTGCTGGGAACTGAAGATTGGAATCTACATATTGCCTTGCTAATGAAGCCGAGCCTGCTTGCTGGCTAGGGCTAAAATCATGATGCTGGTTTCGATTGCCGCTGTATCTGTCGCTCTGGTATTGTCATTTATTTTATATTTGTCTGGCTCTTGTTGTCGCTGCGTACAAAACCTTACCGTGGCCGTTGTTGTGGTCTTAGCTTCATCGTCCCCGTTGTAATCGCCGAAGCCAGTGCTAGTGCTGGCGATGGCGAGATGCTTGGTCAAAGGGGAGGACAATTAGGAACGGCTTGAATAGCAAGACTTTGTCGTGTTTTGTGGTCCACAGGAGGGAAGATAGAGACGGATATTTTGATAGCTGAGGCGTAACCGACTTCTGAGGTTTACTTGCTGCATCAGGACCAAAGTGCAATTCCATGTGACCCCAGTCGTACTAGGTAGTTGGCAAGGATCTCTGCCTCGCCAACCAGCTCCATGGCGAGGGCGTTTTAAGAACTAACAGCTCGTTGCCGTCATCCATATAGGCAACACAGCAAGCTCAAGACCAAGTTGTTCCTAGGCAGCACGGCCGACAAGACCTAGTACCCTCCCTCAGCCTTACCCGCATGGTTTGTCTAGATGACGATACAGACGAAACTTCCTGGCGCTTGTGGCTGGAGATAAACCCTGTGGTTGAAACCGGCTGCTCCTAGGCCCTCTCCGGCATACTATCGGACCCAGCCAAGGCGGCGGCCAAGGCGGCGGCCAAGGTCGATGACATCCTACACCAACCACCACTGGAATGTCCTCCCATTTTCCAACAGCTTTGCCCCGTCAGCCTCCTTGTCGGCATCAAGCCCGTGCTACCGGTAGCCAAGGCCCTTGCCTTGACAAACCACGACACCCCGCAACAGGGGAAGACAATGAGAGTGACGGGAAGGATAAAGCTGAGGGAGGAGACAAGGCTGGAGGTCCTACCTGCAATGTCGAGACCTAGGTCGAACTCGGCGTTCGCGGTTGGAGCCACCTATGTCGGTCTCTGGCGCGGGTGGCGACCGACCGGAAGGGCTTGGCAAGCCAGCTCCCAGCGGTTGCTATATCCCCTCGCCTGTGTATTCGCAATCTTGTCAAACTTTCAGCCTAGCCACATCGCTGATCTCGTCGCACGCCACTGACACGCTGCTGTGATCCAGACGCGTGATCTAGATCAAGGACTAACAATCGTATATAACCAAGCTCATGTAACTTTTTAATCGACAAACAGACGTCTAGACCCTCTGTGGAGGTGTGCATTGCTTGGCGAGTCGTGCCCCGGTCCCGCCATGCGAGGTAAAGACAAGTTACGCGCTAGACGGACTTGCCTGCCATCTCGGCATTGTACGGCGGTGGCAGCTCGCCTCGTAGCCGTCTCCTCGGCGTTCCGGGCTGAGCTGGCGGCCTAGGACGTTTATGAGAGCGAGTCGACTGAAGTCACGGAAACAGGCAGGCTATGGCAGGTGCTGTATGTCTGTCATGCACGACGTGGCGTGCTGCGGCGAAGGAATCCTGAATGGGCATATGGAGGTAGCTGCATACTGTGGGCTAATGACGTTGTAAGGCGCTTGTCGAGGGCAAGTGGCACTTGATAAAGGACAACCCTATTAAGCGCATTGTCCACAACGGTAACGACGAGGCCTTTGCTGCACTCATGCAACGTACTTGAAAAGATAGTCTTCCAACTAACATTTCTAGGATACTGGAAAGGAAATAGCTCGACACATCAAGGGTGAGCACCTTATCACCAGGATCACCAGTATAATTCATCTCAACCCCCTGGAGTTGAAAGTCTTGAAGCGATTTGACATGCCAAACTAAAAGATCTTTGACAAGCTAAGTCATTAAAGATCTCTGACATGCTAAGTCATGCTATAGATCTTTGACATGTCAATTCATACTAAAGAGATTTGACATGTCAAGCCTAGCTAAAGAGCTTTGACATGTCAAGCCTAATCAAAGAGATTTGACATGTCAAGCCTAGTCAAAGCGCTTAGACATGTCAAATCTTATCTAGCAATTATCTGCTGCAAGTTGTCGCCGATAGGGGCAAAGTGCAACTGCTAGCATAGCAGCTTGACATGTCTTTCTCTTTAGCACTTTCCTCTCTCCTCTCAAGTTGCCCACCTCCCAGCGCCTTCCCACCAAACCTGCCCCTGCCTTTGTAGAAGTTAGGCTTAGACATTAAGGAGAAGGTGCAGCTATTCTTAGCCACCATAAGTGACTTGGCTAACAGCGTCCTCTCTTAAGGCCAACAGCTCAAGCTGGTTTCTCATAGGCAGTTTCTTCGTCAACATCGACACCCAGAGCTCCCAGCACTGCTTTCAAGTCTCTAGCGCCAACTTGGAGACTCTGCCAGAAAATACCATTGATAATACCTAGTTACACGCAATGCTAAGTTTATTCTCCAACATAGTCTCCTTTTGATCCTCTGCTTCCGGCATTTCAAGCGTTCTGGTGCCTTGGTGCCATGAACCCAGCGTCGTGATAGTCCAGCTGGTAAGGCAAGGTGTTGTATTTACCACGGTAAAAGCTTCAAGAGGTACGGTGCCGCCGTGGCCGTGGATTTTCGATGATGAGCGTCCGCTGAGGGCCAACAGGTTTCCAAGGCTGGTTACCTTCTCCGCCAACCACACCATAAAGAGCCATGCGCGTCGCCATGAGTAAGGCCGGAGCCTCAGAGCTCGCCACCCTCGCGTCAGACAGCCGCATCCAGGTAGCTGCAATGCCATGCCGCCATGTCAAAATGTGCCGCGCTTGTACTCGTGGAACTGCCAAAGCATCGTTGACAAGACAGACGCCCGCTGCCGCCCAGCCCAATGTCGTCCCAGGTAACCAGGTCGCCAGCACGCAAGGTCGCCACGGCTATCCTCCAAGGCGCTTGCCTAAGGCGGAAAAAGCGCAAGAACATGTTGAGAAGGCTTGAGATATCCATGGTTGGAATGCTAGACAAGTTGTACGGAACAAATGGAGGTATAGGAACGTGAATCTCAAGGCTAACATGGTGTGGTTGGTTGGCGCGGGGAAGTTCAATCGTGCTCTCATTGTCTATCTCCACAACGGATTGACAGTTGTTGCGCGGATTCCTCTCTGTAGCAGGTCCTCGACAGCCCTCGCCCTCTCGGCCATTCATCTCCTGCCAGGCCGAAGACGAGCCGCGCGACCTCGTCCCCGGCGACTCCGACGCACTCAACCAGCCGCCGTACATTGTTGACGATGTACTCCTCGTTGTAGACAGTGCCTTTGCGGCCGCGCGCCCGCTTCTTCTCCCCGCGCAACATGGACGCCGGCAACAGTACGCCAGCGCCGCCGGCCATACCGCTGGCTCCGACGCTGCTATTTTTGTTCGACGGCGGTGCCGTGCCAGTCGCGCTAGATGTGCAAATCATACAAACCATGATGATATCATTGCAGATGGTGCAGCCAGTACTTGCTCACTGATATACACTTACGCATCAAGGACTGGATCATATCACTTGCCTTGAAAAGCCATAAAGCAACAACAATAGAAAGCATCAGGTCTTCAGCTCCGACTCCCTGAGACTGCCAGGTTCCGTCACCAACCACGGCGTCATCCTTCGCACCAAGGACATCCGCTGGGTGTCCAAGTAGCTGTAGGCCTGCGACGACCCTTTTGTTGCCAGGGCAATTTACTGGAGTTGTTTTGTCGGGGAGGTTGCCTGCACGCAAACGTGTGGGCACATTGTGGGAAATCATCGTAATCTTAGCCACGATAAAGCCCCTCTCAAAGAGGCAAACCGATCTGCTTTAACTGCTGTTCTTCGAATTCCGTGGAAGGAAGAGAAGACTCCAGCAGTATCGCCAGTATCGCCAGTATCGGCAATACCGTCAGTACCGTCAGTACCGACATAAACTGTCATTATCAACAGTACCAACAGTACCGGCAGTATCGGCGGTACTGGCAGTACTGTTATCATCAACGTATAGTAAATACTAGCAGAAGAGTGTCATCCCAACGTCAACGATTCTAACGCAAAACCGAACTGCCTGATAAGCTGGTTGCTTGATATCATAACGTCCTTTCTTAGGGTTAGGTTTGCCCAACGGTTGCTGACTTTCTATAGGCTTACCATGACTGACCTTTAGCGCACGAAGCATGGCGGACGCTAGCGTCGCCCTTCGCGAGTAGGCGCAGAAGGGTGTGGTTGTGCGCCTATGATGATAAGGACGAAACTTAGTTAAAGCCCTTGACAAATCCAGAATGTCTGTATTGACATTGCTAGCACTGACAAAGCTCTCAGCACCGACAATTCTGCTAGTACTGACAATTCTGCCAGTACTAATAAGTATGCCAACTGCAGATATTCACGGTGGTGCTAAAACTAGCAGTACAAAGAGTGCTACACTTTAGCTTAAAAGTCTGGAATTTGTTACGCCACACCTAGTTATAAAAAGGTGACTAAAAAATAGATTAAGGAAGAATTAGACCTTTGCCTAAACTATGTAAATGTTGCGTAAAATCTTGCCGCTACTGTTGTGACTTGAGAGTAAAGCTACGCTATGAATATTTTGTAAATGTGCCGCTTTGGCGAGATAGACTAGTTGATTGTAAGATAGGAAGATAAACTATAGATAAAAAAAGCTTTACATAACAAACTTTAACAAATAAAGTTTAGACATTAAGGTTTAGACAGCAAAATTTGAATAATAAACTTTAAACAATAAACTTTAGATAACAAACTTTAAATAATAAACTTTAAATTTCATACTTTAGATATTATACTTTAGATTATAGACTCTAACTAATAAAATTAGATAATGAATATTAAATAATAAACATTAGATAATAGTTTTAGGTATAGCTTAAAAAAATCTTTACTAAGATTTATTAAGTAATTGATGTTTATTTTAGTATAATGCTAAGTAAAGAAGCATCTTAAACAAAAGCGCTAATTATGCCAATAACTTTGATGATGCTAACTCTTGCATGTCTTGCCAAAACTTATCCACTTTGCCTTTTTATACTCTCTTAGTTTGCTAACAAGTATGCTTATTATAGGTTAAACTTTGTCTTTTTCAAATGCTTTAGCTATTGCCTATTGTTAAATTCTAAGTTATTCTTTTAAAGATATTGTATATGCTTGCTAATGTTTTTAATATCCTTTGTTTTATTGGCAATCTTGTTATACCTTTTGATAAGCAAGGCAATATAGTTGTTGCCTTCTAACTTCTAGATGCTAGTAGTATTAGGACTTTCTTTGAAGTAAAGTGCAGCCTTGCTATGCAACTTAAGATTAAAGTCCTAGTTCTAGTTTGGCTTTTTTAGAGACAGAGGATAGGTAACGTTGACAATTGGCATAATTGCAAAAATTGACTAAGATAGTGTTTAATAGGATTAACTAAGATAGTAGTAGTGATATTAGATGCAAAGATATAATTTCTGCATGCTGTGTATTAACTAAAGACTTTATTTTGTATAGCTAGGCATTAGGGTTTACAGTATGATTTACTAGGTTTACAGCGTGACTTATTAGCAACTTGCATTAAGTTTAAGGTTAAGTTTAAGCTTGCGTATACTATGGTAGACATTAGCATTAAGATTTTTTTTAAGGTTATTAAGATTAAACTAGCAGCAGGTACTGCTTAGACCTTGTCTAACGCAAATTAAATAATAAATACAATAACTTACTAATGCTAACTTTTGCATATCTTGTCAAAACTTATCTACCTTGCGTTTTTATCCCTTTTTAGTTTGCTAATAGATATATTTACTATAGATTAAACTTTAGCTATTTTAAATACTATTGCTATTGCTTGTTACGTTTTTCTAAGTTATCTTTTTGAAAACATTGCATATTTTAGATATCTAGGTTAAACTTTGTATCTATCTTTTTTAAAAAAAAAGAAAATAGACAATATTAATAATTAGCATAATTTGAAGAATTAATTAAAATAGTATCTAATAGTATTAAATATAAAGAGAGAATTTTTACATATTATACTTTAACTAAAGAGTTTGTTTTGTATAGTTAAGTATTAAAATTTATATTATAACTTATTAGTAACTTGCATTAAATTTAAAGTTTTAGTTTAAGCTTGCATATAGTACAATATTAGCATTAGGATTTTTTAAAACTTTTCAAAATTAAACTAGTAGTAAGTATTGCTAAATTACATATCTTTACTAAGTATTACTTAAACTTTATCTAATGCAAATTAAATAAATTAAATGAATATAGCAAAGCTATACTATAATTGAAGAAACTGTTAAATATTATTAAAGCTTAAAAGTTAAAGAATAATCAATGCTTTGCTTTTTAAAATTATAAAGTATAAAGTGATTACAATTTTTCTAAAGAAACTTAGTGTTTAATTTTACTATATTACTTAGTAGAATTTTCTTAATTTAATCTAATTATATTTAAAATACTTAGTATATAAGCTGAAAATCTTGTCTTAGCTTTATCTATCATTTCTAGCTAATTACTTTAATGTCTAAGCTTTATCTTCTTAAGCAACTACCTTTGCTTTCTCTTTACTAAATCATCTGCAGTACTTTAATAGCATGTAATAGCTTTTAAAGCTATATCTTGTCTTGCTTAGCCTTGCTTTCTTTTAGTAATAAATGTTTAGCAGCATCTTTAAATGCTTTTACTAATTGTTATGCAAGGTTTTCTAAATGCTATGCTATATTGCTAACTTATTGATAAGATTTAGCTAACACTATTCTATTAGCTAGCTAAATAGCATATATAAAAAGGCAAAGATTAACTAGTTGCTAATTAGTTAGCTTTATCTTAGCAAATAGAAATCTAGTAATAATAAATAAGCTAAGGTTATAAAGATAGTAAGTTTATGCTATTATTTAAATGCCATTTGCCAAATTGTCTTTAAAAATAACAATTAAGTAAAAATTTAGCTTATCTATTTTATTAAGCATTATTATAGCATTAAATGTTATTGTAATTGCAAGTATAGTTGTAGCAAATTAATTGAAATGTAAAAGAATAGAAAGGCAAAAGCTAAAGGAAAAAGAGACTTTATAAAAAGCAATAAGGTTTTTGTTATATATAATAAGAAAAGCTAGTTTTAAATAGGGTTAGATTATAGTTTAGGAAATGCATATTAAGATTTTGTTATATTTTTAACTTGCTAAAAGAGTTATTAGAATAAAATGCAAGGTATAGCATTGATACCAAGTTATACTTACTATATATATTATATTATAATGCTTTTACATTAAGCGTTTTTACTAAGTATTGCTTAGATTTTATCTAACGCAAAAAAAAGAAAAAAATAAATAAAAAATACTACAATGCTTTAATTTGCATTGCAAGTATAAATAAAACTATAAAAACCCCAAAAAATTGTTAGTATCAAAGGCATTAGATTTGCAAATATATAGCTTAAAATACCTAATAAATGCTAAAGAATTTACTAGCTACTAGATTAACCTTGCAAGCTTTAGCTTATTACTATTAAAGGCAGCTATACCCTTCGCGCTAGAAAATGTTGCAGCTTAACGCAATAAAAGTCTAAGGCAGCTACTATAGCTAATTAACGCGAGAGCCGCGCCTAACACAAAGACTAAACATAGTTGTCTCTAGTTATGTCTCTAGTTACGTTACTAACTACAAAAACGTAGCCTAGACTAGGCGTTGCTAGAACTAGACAAGTATCAAGAGGATAATAGCTAAAGGGAGAGCCTAAAAGGCGAGCTAAGAGTAGAGCTTCCACTTCCATACATATAGCAAAGATTACTCTAATTGAGAAAAGAGGCAGAGATTAGTAAAAGTCTAATCAATATCATTATTTGCAAGGCTAGCGTTTCTCTATACCCTCTTACTCTATTTTATAGTTTTTCAAGCCTTGATAATTACATATATACTTTAACCTAAAACACTTTAAATTAAAATACTTTAAACTAAAGTACTTTAACTAATATAGTTTAAACTATATATTTAATAGTATAATAGTGTTAAAAAGCTTGTAAATAATACTTATAAAACTATTAACAACTTAGACTATACAAACTTAAACTATATTAACTTAAACTTAAACTATATCAGCTTAAACTATATCAACTTAAACTATATCAACTCAAACTATATCAACTTAAACTATACAAACTTCACATACAATAACATTGTATATAAAACTATTTTATATAAAAATTAGCAAACTAAAGTTAAACCTAAAGTACTACTGTCTTTTCCAAAGGTTTAGTAATATAAACTATTGTTTTACTTTTCTTAACAGCAGTAATATATATACCCTTGTATTTCCTTATCTACCCTAGCTAGCAGGCTATTGTTGATTTGGAGAATCGCGAAACTCGTCTTCTCCCCCTTTGCTGCCAAAGTTCTCTCCCAATCCCCTATCCCTACCCTCCCAGATAACCTGCCACGCCGCAGACGACCTTACCCACGGAGACTCCCACGCCGCATCCCGGCGCTGCCATTCCGCCAAGGTGCCGCGAGCTTCGTAGCCAATGACACTAGCAGCCAAGTCGATCGCTTCCCTCATCTCAGCAACCCCAGGAAGCCGGTACCGGACGCGGCCGCAAGTCGCTCCCGACACATCCCCCGATCCGTCGTAGATAATAACATACTCCCCAAACCACGCCGCATTATCAGCCGGGCGGATCGTCTCAACGACCCGAGCAAGATCCTTCAGCGCATCCGCCTCACCCCTCTTAACAAAAACCCACCGCCTCTCTACCCCCACACCCCCCTCCACCTCAACCCACATCCCCCTCCCCACCCCCACCGCAAACCCAGCATCCTCCCACTCCTCCCTCTCCACATGCCCAAACAGCGCCTCCGACACCGCCTCCCACTCGGGGTGCTGCTCCTCCCCCGCCTCCCCGGCCGGCCCGACCAGCAGAGCCGTGACGACGTACCTGAGGCCGTCGACGCGCGCCTCCACCTCCGCGGCTACGTCTCTTGCGTGGTCAACGCCGGCGGTGAGGGTGGCCAGCGCTGCGAGGCGGGGTTGGATGTGGGTGGTGATGCGGGTGCAGAGGAGGTGGTTGGGGTTGGGATCAGGGGGTGGTGGTGGTGTCCAGCCGATTTTGGTGCGGAGGCGGTCGCCCCAGGATGGAGAGGCGGGTGCGTCGTCGGAGGTGGGGGTTTCTGGGTCGGGGCAGTCTGCGAGTCGGACGAGGTTGGTGAGGTGGTCGTGGGCGAGGGAGAGGTTGCCTGCGAGGGCGGCGAGGTTGAGGCCTACGCCGAGGAATTGCTGGGAGGGGGTTGAGGGGAGGGTTGAGTCTGGGAGGAGGCGTTCGATGAAGACTTGCTCGAGGACGGACTGGGCTACTCTGTCCCGGCATGTGTCGTTGTCTGTGGGTTTCTCCGAGGAAGATGACTTGGTTCCGGTGTGGTCGGACTTGGTCGTGGCGTTGGCGGCAACTCTGCACGCCGCTTCTTTTGGTTCGAGTGAGCCTAGATTGTGTGACGCCACGACTAGCCAGGATGAGGCCCGGGCAGTGAGATCGTGGGCCAGTTGGGTCTTCTGCTCGAACCAGAGCATGTCGGCCTGCTGGAGATGCCGCATCGCTGCCTCGTATATGTCCCAATGCGCACCCCCTATGCTAGAAGGCAAGATGGCGTCCAGATCCACCAGCACCCGATAGGCTAGGGACTTCAAGTCCACGAGAAGGGTCGTGGGGGACCAAGGTTCTGGCTTCATGCCTGGTTGCAAGAGGAGTGCGTGCGGGGCAATTGTCGAGTGCAATTTGGCAATGTCGATGAGGCTTTGGTGCAGCGGGAGAATTGTGTCGACCTCCTGAGTGCAGTAAGGTGTCCCAGCTGGTTCACAGTGGGGTGTCCCAGCTGGTTGACAGGGTGTGTCGCGGTGGAAAATAATGGACAAGATTATCGACCCAGCAAAGAAAATGGCCCCAGCCTTTCTCAACAAGCGTTTGAGACCGGCCATCGGGGGGGAAGCGGGAGCGGGGTTGTTGACTGGATTGAGATAGATATCTCCGCAGTCGCAGCTGTAGTTCGGCGCCGTGGGCTCGACGATGGGGGGGTGGCGGGTCTGGACTACCATATTCTGGTAGTCAGGACTAGACTGGAAGTGCAGAGAGATGGGATCCCCAGATGGGCGCCATGAATCGTGGAAGCAAAGCTGGACCGGCTGCATATTAGCTACCGGGGACGCGTCATTGGCGTCGTCGCTGTCGCCGTCGCCGTCGCCGTCGTGCAGAGGACCCTCCCCAATGACACTCTCCGGTCGCGTCAATTGGGGGTCCAAGCCAACGCGCAATCTGAGGTAGCTGAAGTTGCGGCGAATATGGTGCTCGGCCGGTTGGGGATTGAGCATGACAGCATTGCCGTCATATTCGTCCTCCACGCCGGCGGGGTATACGTATTCCGACTCGACGACATGATCGTCAAATCCAAGCGGATCATAGATGGCGGCGGCGTCCATAGCTTTGGTTTCAGACCGTGATGTTACGGGGGACTTTGTGTGGAACTTTCGCAAAAGTGGTTGCGCGACAAAGATGGGGAATTTTGGGGCTGCTGGGATGGCTTGCGACAGCTCACATCTGGGGAGGGAAGGCGATTGATTTATACTTGGGGAGTTGAAGCGCTAGAACTGTTAACAAAGGATGTTGGTTGACGCCACATTCCTCCCTTGGACCGAGTCTCCGAGTCTCGTGATCGAGTCCGCCAGTCCCCGATTGTGAGATACGCAGGCGTGTGTGATTGCTGCGTTTGGACGGAAAGGGGAAATGAATATGCTAAATTGACGCAATGGCAATGATGAGGTCGGGTATTTACCAGCGAACTGACAGCGTCATGGAGTTTTGGTGTTTTGGTGTTTTGGTGTTTTGGTGTTTTGCGATTGGAGATGGAGACGGAATGACGGAATACTGTACTTGCACGTGCTCCAGAGACATACGCCGGATCTAGCCGAGCTGCCTTGCCAAATCCGACACCTTGACAAAGCCCAACAACGCCCCTGAAGCCTAATCTCACGTTATCGTCATCCCCATTGAAACCCACCTTTTACCCATCCGCCTCCAAATCTCCCTCCTTCAATCACTCCGCTGAGAACCATGCTTCACCGTCCCATATGACCGTGCGGAATGCACCTTCTGATTTGCATCGGTTGAGATGTGCTTATATTTCAGGGCCTGGACGAGTTGCAGCGGTATAGAACAAACCCTTTGTCGTCCGCTTTCGGAGTCGTCTTATTACAAATGCTCGAACTGAAGTGTTGTCAAAGGTCGGCCCGAGCAGTCCAAAGGCATCGTTGACTTCTATGTCAGTCCACCGTCCAAGGACCTGGACAGCTTGCCCCGATTCCGCCAAGACCTGCCAGTTGACCGACCTCCCCGGTGTAAGGAATCTCAATCTTCTCTTGCCCACGAGGATTCTGACAAGTCAAGTAGTCAAGTAGTTGGGTGCAGCATCCCGGAAGTTGCTCGACTCTTTGCATACAGCCATTCCAGCGCTGGGATTGCCAACAAAACCCAATCCCCCGCCGAGGTGATTGCTCTGATGGACGAAGCTGGCATTTTACATATTCGTCAATCCGCCTTTGCATCTCAACCCTTTAACCTCTAATCCCAAATTTGGTGTGCAACGCCATCTCATTAAACTCGCAACGGAAACGCTCGCTTTGGGATAGGATAAGCTCATGCGTCTCCGTGTTATCAAGGGAACAGAACATGACAGGGTATTATCAAACGACATATGGGATTCAAAGTCAAGCATCGACGTGCGGGACAAGTTTGTCTAAGCTTGTCTCTCGGGAGGGTTTTGCCAACAGGGCAGCTACTGAAGCACCTGACCCTCCAAGATGGTGTCTTTGGATGTGGCCTCAATAGCCCGACAATCGCAGATGGTGGCGCCGTGACATCGATGAGCCAAGGTCCCCAAGCGAAGGGTTGACAGGACGAGCTAGTACCATCGAATCTCGGAGGGAGAGGTGGCGGTGAGCGGCACAGCCAATAACGCCATCAGTCACCGACCAGCATACGGATCATTATAGATACGCCGCCATGCCGGACCTCCGGGGCCCCGATCCGCGACGGAACTCCCGGGGCTCGCGCTTGTCGTTGCCCTCGCCAAAGACCGTGACGTGGCCCTGCCCCAATCCCGGTCTCGCAAGCGAGGACTTAAAGGGTGCCCACCGTACCGTCGCCGTCCTGTGCTGCTGGGTACAGTGCCAAAATAAATGCGGCGCCGCTCTTGGCAGGCATCGTGGCCGAATTTTCAGCCCCAACTACCACTCCGGGCAGTCGTGAGCCGGGGCCCCGCGGAGATGGCCCGGCACTACGTCGGGCTGGCCCGGGCCGCCGTGCCCCGTCTGATGGGCCCCTTCTAATGAGGCATCTTCTCGAGGATGTGCTCCGGTTGCTTTCTACGAGGCTGTCAGCCCTATTTGCGTGTCACCACGTTCCCCATCTCCAATGTTGAGGCTGCAGGCTGGGCGCTGCAGGCTGGGCAAATCGGGACAGTCTCGGCTGACGCTGTCGAACTTCTCCAGCTTGGACTGCTCAACACACTGCATTGCCAGCTGTCAGCCTCGGGAAGTGGTTCCTGTTGTCTATGTGGGAGGTTGCGATGTTGGCGCACCACGGGGTCCGCGACTAGGCGCCGGCGGTCGGTGCTCCTAGACGAAGGCGGCGACGACGACGACGACGACGATGACGACGACGAAGTCGTCTACAAGGGCGGGCACGCATTTGATCTTTTCCAGAGGCTCCAGCTGCCAAGCGATATCCATGGCAGGGCGGTCCCCGGTTCCCGGTCCCGGCCCCCGGCTCCGGCTCCGGCTCCCCCCACCCCCCCGGGCTGGCGACCCAGTCGCTGACCCGCCTGCCCGGCGCGTCGGGGTACTCGAGGGTAGCGCTCGGCACAACGGCGATCGTGCCTCAGCCGCGGAACCACATGTCCTTGCAGAACAGCTGCGGCCCCCATGGAAGCAGTCCCCCTTTGCGCTGCTCTAGAACCGCACCTCCCGGCGGCCACGGGCCTTGCCACAAACGCGACCGCCCCGTTTTGGCACACGAAAATATGGAACAGACATTGGTCGCAGTGTAGAGGAGAAACTAATAACAGCCTTGACCTCCCCAACACTATTTCGCTAGCATACACCTGCATCGCTGCACAACATGACAACGTCAGCCAATGCGCAATAAAAGTAGAAATTCGACGGGATTTGGTGTTAGAAAACTGGATATCCGATCTGTGAGACGTACGACTAATCTCCTGACATATGGCAAACGGCCAGCTCGCGCCATCCAGACCCAGCGAAGATGCTGGTCGCCGCAGCCGAACCACAAAAGACCGAGGGCGGAGAAGGCCACTCACGTAGAAGCATTCCATCTCTTGAAGGAGGCGATTTCCAGCGTCTCGACGGAGAAAATGCAGCGAGACGTGGATGCGCCAACACCCCTCGATGCCTGGACCTCGCTCCTCATGGATCGCACAAAGTCTGGCATGAATGATACTGTGGACCCAACGTCGATTGCCGAGACTGGTTTCCAGGAGGACACCTGTCCACGGGAAGATGAAGTCAATAAAGCTAGACCCCAGGCGCCTGCGTTAGTCTAACAAAAGACATATTTGTCGATTCACCAACCTGACTAGGCACCCCGATACTCCGACTCGTCAGAACCCCCAGAAGCATCCGTGAGATTATCTTTTAGTATCTCCCCGAACCTGGCAACCCAGCGTATCTTCCAGAACAAGTACACGCCCTCGACGAACCTGCCCTAGCAGGCGTCAGCCATCTCCTCGGTCCCAGCCGCAAAGCATAGCTAGAAGTGCTCTCACGCGACCTCGGCCCGGACGTCCTCTGTGGCGCGAACATGGTTCGGCCTCGACGGGTGTCTCGGGGCACGTGGGAAGTGTCCGTGGAAAGCCGTACACCCCGCTTTCTTCTCCGAGTTCCCCGTCCTTCCGGATGGCGCGCGGAAGATGGATTATGTCTTGAAAATGACGAATGTGCTTGGGTGAATGGGTGCTGAGGCGTGCCGTGGGGTGGAATGGTGTTTGTTGCACATCTTGGGGCCGGGGTCAGACCTGTCCGCCCAGCGGACGGAGAGCGAAGACGGCAAGGCGACGGACACGTCTCCGACCTACCCCAATCGCCCGACCCGTAGCAGCCGCGTCGCCGCAGTAACAACAGTGCGACGTCTCAGACTCGGTCACCTGGAGCCATTCCATGTCAATTGATATCCGAATCTATCCAGCTACCTCCACAGCGTAGCTTGGGTGTGGTGGATGCTAACCTGAAGCTACCTCTTACCACAAATCCGGGCCGAACTTCATGATCAAGCTCTTGCCCTATGCTTCAGCAGCGCTATTTTCATGGTGGGACTTCTGGAAGCGCCTCAACCTCAGCCAGCCAAGGTGGGAAATCGATCGGCTCAGGCTCTGCTCTCCACCAGGTTTCCCCCATCGACGTCAACTGTTATCTCAAAATAACAAGAAGGCGTCGATGGTTCCCTCAAGGGTAAATGGTTGATCGTCCACCCGCCTGTGTTTGGGGAGACAATGATGACATCAGGTGCTAACTGTGAAAGAAGGAGGCATAATTGCTTACAACGAGGACGAGGTCGTGCCTGCCCAGCAAGTCCAAATCGCAAGGCCTCGATCAGAAGATCAAGCCTCTAGGATGAACTACTGGCATGGCAGCTTGGACATTAATCCCAAACTCTTGGAGGTACTTGTCCCCAAAAAACTGCATCGGCATATCTTGATCAGGTTAAAATGTTCCTTGTCCCAGGCGCAGCAAGGCGTGTAGTCGAGGCTCGTGAAGAAGCTCATCAGCGAGTTCACATGGAGCGTTCTGTCGACCCCTCCGACCGCGCTCGTGTGCCAGTGACCGGAGAACACGGTTTTCGGCTTCCACGGCAGTTCTGAGACGATCGAGGCGGCCGGCTGCCGTGGAACGGCAGGATCCACGGGCTATTCTCTGGCAGCTGGGCGAGGTTGGCGTGGGCCTAGTCATTCTGCGCTTCGTGGTTGAGGCAAGTCAAGGGCTAGACCTGGGGACTGGCGACGTCGGAGCTGTACCAGCGCGGCCCGAGGAAGCGCTCGTGCAGCTCGGGTGTCTCCGTGTTGGTCAGGTAGTTGTTGCAGCTCACCATGCCTCGGGGATCGTCGCCTTGAGCGTGGAGGGGCCCTGCGCGTCGTGTCCGCTGTACCGATGTTTTGGTGCCGAGTGAATCTCCACGGCGAGGCCCCTCGTGCCAATCTTGTGGCTGGTCCGGGCCTATTTCCGCGTCGCCGGCCTTGTTCCGCAGGTCGTGTCGCCCCAGAGAGCTCTGCTGGAAGGAGAATAGGATGATGTTGGGTTCGGACGTCGGCATGTCAAGCACCGATTGGCGCGTCTTCGTCGACATTTACCGGCGCATAGACCTAGGTTGACAACCCCTTATCAAGGTCAAGCTTGCGCATGGAGGAATCGCACGAAAGGGTGCGAGAGTGAGTCGTGAAAGCGGATATGACAGGGTCGGAATAGTTTTCCTCCTCGTCCTCGTCTTCGATCTTCAGTGATTATTGCGATGCGTCGAAGACCACCGTCGCCCTCCCGACCAATCTTCCCACAGCCGAGACCCTAGTCTAGATTGATCCCCGCCCTGCCGCTGGGACAGGTCTCTACACGTCGGGGGGTGTCGGTCTCGACACCGTTCCTGTCCTGGTCTTACTGAAGCAGGCTAACACCAAGCTCTTGACTTGGCGTAGCGAAGCCAGTACTGGTGACGCGGATGGATCCGCCCCTTTGGCGTGAAGTATGCTGAGTCGAGTCCTTCTGGTAGCGCGCCGCATTGGCAGGGAGGAAAAACCCAACAGCTGCGACGCTACGATTGACTCCGCGATGGATTCGACGACCCCGAGGCGCCCCAGGCGCGGTTTGACGAGCCCGACGCCCGGCGCCAGGAACGGACGCCAGATTTCCAGCCGTTCCGCCAATTCGAGCGCACGGGGCACCGGACCGTCCGCAATCGTGCTCCGACCACTCCGTTCCGCCCGCGCCAACAAGCGTCGCGGCGTCCCGAGCGCCACCAGGTGTTCGGCAACAACGCCGCTATCCTCACGGGGGATCTCCTGTTCGCCCGTGCAAGCCAGCTCATGGCGGATCTCGGCGAACGCGCCATCCGCCTGCAGGCCGGCGCCGTGGTCGCCGACGTCAGGTTGGCTGGCTGTTCCGTCTCCGGCGTCGCGTTCCCGGACGTTGTCAAACAGCAGCGGTACATGCCGGATCTCGCCGATTATCAATCTGAGCTCCTGTCCGGGTACATCGAGCAGGTTCCCCGCAATGAAGGGCGCAGACTAACTACCTTCACGTCGTGTTCGGCGACGAGGATACCCACGTCAACAACGCCGTCATCCTCTTCGGGGATCCGACCAGCGCATTCGGTCGGGACAAGGGATCCTCCAACGGCGAATTCAACCTCGACATCGCCGTCGCGCTCAAAGCCCCATCCCTCTGCATCCAACGGCGATGCCCCTCCTCCTCCGCTCAGAGCGGGGCGGAAAGGTGGTGAGCATCGGCTCCGTGGACGGTCTCGAAGCGTTCGGCAACGAGGTCTACGGCGCAGCGAAAGCCGGGCTGTCGAACCTGATCCAGAATTTGGGCGCCCGGTACGGGCCGGGGACGGTCGCGACCACTAGACCTCGACGCCCGCACGGCATCCCGGAAGTGTAGTATCCGCTCGGCCGCATCGGAACGGTCAGCGATGTCGCGACCGCTTGCTTGTCGTTCCTTGCATCACCATCACCAGAAGCGAATTGGATCACCCGGTCGAATCATTGCGACCCATGCGAGAGACCTTGGCTCCGGCCACTTCGCGTCAACGCAGCACGAGGAGATCGGTGCACCGGCCCGAATCCGATGCACCGGCCATCAGGCCCCTACAGGACGATGTGCTTGGCCGCCCAGAAGAGTCCGTACCATTCCTCACGCATGCGTCCCCCGCCTCCTCGATAACCAACCCAACCAACCTATTCAACCCGCTAGCGCAATCGTCATACCTCTCTCTCACCATCCAACCCACATTCCGATCCCCACCACCACTCTCCCCAACCCCCAATCACAAACCAACCTCATCCCGCTCCATCTCCAGACCCGTAACCTCCCCCACAGACGGTTTCGTAGCTGTCGGGATCGGCGGGGGGATAATACTCCCCCCACTCCTCCCAGTACCCCAAGACCCGCGTGGCAGCGACTCCACGCTCTCGTGGTGGTGGTGGTGGTGCGCGTGATCTGATCCCCGTCCGGCCCGGGGAGACGCATCGCGGAGTAGTATCTCTCCGATGTGCTGGAAGGGGGCGGATGGGTCGTACGTGCGGATCGGCAGAGGTGGTGCTGTTGGGGGGGTGTTTGGCTGGAGACGATCGATACCCCTTGGAAATGCAGTGGTCTGAGTTGCGGTGCTGATGTTAGGCTGGGGGTGCCTGGTCGTGACCGTGGTTGGGCGTCCTGATGGCGACTTGCTCCATCTTGGCTGCCCTGGGCTATGCCTCCCGAGGCTGCCTGTGCGATGGAGGACTTTCTGCGTGTCGGAAGGCCCGGAGGTGACCTGTCCCTTGGGTCTGTAGGGGAGGTTCACTGGTCTGGAATCTTCGACTGCAGTTGGAGCGAGTTGGCGCGACACTTGGCGGGGGGGAGGTGGAGGGGAGGTGTGGTGGGCGGATATAGTGTGCCGTCCGTTTTTATCTTGTCTGCCCGCCCTTGGGATCAAAGCCAAGTGTGCCGGGTCAATTTCGTCATCCCTAGGCGTCGATGGGAGTTGATGTATTCCGGACGAAGGGCTATCCAGGCCCAGGCGAGCGATGCCATGGCGCGGGCCGGGGTTCGGGGGGACGGAGACGGAGACATTCGCATGGCCATCGACTACGAGATCGTGCCGAGACTCGGACGCTGCCGGAAGCGCCACCCCCGCTCTCTCTTCGGGATGGCCACGTCGGGCCCGGCTGCCAGTCCCCAACCCACCCTCCCGATCTTCCGTCCCCGTCACCATCACCAACCCATCCAGCCCGTTACCAACCACGCCATCCCGACGAGCCCAAACCCCCATCGAGCCGCTGTCGCTGTCGGTGTTCCGGATGAGATCGAACCTGGTCTTGAGCTCCGCCATCACGGCAAACATGTCGTCGTTGTCGCTGCCGCTGCCGACACGACGACGTTTCTCGTGCAGGGCTGCTCCGTCGCCGGATCCGGAGCCGCGGGGTCTCTTGTCTAGGTGCAGAGGAGGGCCGAAGGGGGATGATGTATTATTACCTGCGCGATTGTCGGCGCTCAGGTCGTGGATTCGCCTCTCGGCTGACGGCGGGAATAACGGACGGTGGGGAGGTGGTTGGTCCTGGGCTCCGAGTCGGAGTGCGTCGCTGCCCCTCTGCCCCAGCCTCGACCGAGGACGGCCATGGTCGTCTGCGTCGAGACCAACTTCCATGCTGGTGCTGGTCCGGCGATCTACCCCCGGGACTAAATCGTCCGCCGTTCGAAGCGGTCCAGCCGAAGACAGCTTCATCCACGCGTTGGTGGCGGCAAGCCGGTCCCTTGTTGTGTGATCGAGAGTGAGGAGACTCGACTCCAGCTTGGCGTACTCCAAATCGTTGGTGACGGTGCTCTGCGGGCGATCCCCTCTTCTCACGGGAGTAGGCGTGACAGGCTCTGCGTCACGCTGGTGCTTCTCGAGGCGCTGACGAGCCAGCTCAGCGGCACGGCGGCCGATGCTTGCGGAAACAGCAGCTGGCTTTGGGACGGCTCGTGATGTCGGCGTGGTCGGTGGGGCGCGAGGCCTGAGAGGAAGAGTCGTCACGGGCGGCGAGCTGGGAGAGGCACCTGTCTGAGGGTCGTTTTCCCGACGCTCGCCGGCGCGGGGGCTCGTAGCTGGCACTCTTGCCGAGGTCTGCGTCCACGTCGGTGTTGACGGAAGCCCCGTCACGACGACAGCCATGAGCATGTCGACGTCTTCGGCAGCCCGAGCCGCTGTCGCTGTCGGTGTTCCGGATGAGATCGAACCTGGTCTTGAGCTCCGCCATCACGGCAAACATGTCGTCGTTGTCGCTGCCGCTGCCGACACGACGACGTTTCTCGTGCAGGGCTGCTCCGTCGCCGGATCCGGAGCCGCGGGGTCTCTTGTCTAGGTGCAGAGGAGGGCCGAAGGGGGATGATGTATTATTACCTGCGCGATTGTCGGCGCTCAGGTCGTGGATTCGCCTCTCGGCTGACGGCGGGAATAACGGACGGTGGGGAGGTGGTTGGTCCTGGGCTCCGAGTCGGAGTGCGTCGCTGCCCCTCTGCCCCAGCCTCGACCGAGGACGGCCATGGTCGTCTGCGTCGAGACCAACTTCCATGCTGGTGCTGGTCCGGCGATCTACCCCCGGGACTAAATCGTCCGCCGTTCGAAGCGGTCCAGCCGAAGACAGCTTCATCCACGCGTTGGTGGCGGCAAGCCGGTCCCTTGTTGTGTGATCGAGAGTGAGGAGACTCGACTCCAGCTTGGCGTACTCCAAATCGTTGGTGACGGTGCTCTGCGGGCGATCCCCTCTTCTCACGGGAGTAGGCGTGACAGGCTCTGCGTCACGCTGGTGCTTCTCGAGGCGCTGACGAGCCAGCTCAGCGGCACGGCGGCCGATGCTTGCGGAAACAGCAGCTGGCTTTGGGACGGCTCGTGATGTCGGCGTGGTCGGTGGGGCGCGAGGCCTGAGAGGAAGAGTCGTCACGGGCGGCGAGCTGGGAGAGGCACCTGTCTGAGGGTCGTTTTCCCGACGCTCGCCGGCGCGGGGGCTCGTAGCTGGCACTCTTGCCGAGGTCTGCGTCCACGTCGGTGTTGACGGAAGCCCCGTCACGACGACAGCCATGAGCATGTCGACGTCTTCGGCAGCCTGGGTCCTGCGCTGCTGATGCTCTGTCCGGTAGCCGAGGTGCGGCTGGTTTTGCTCCCGGAGAGACCGGCCTTCGACTCTGACCGAATTCCCGGGGTTATCTTCGAGACGTGGTGCATGCCTCGTGGACAGTCCGAAGCCACCGGACCTCGGCGTTCCGCCCGGGGTTTGGCCAACGTATCCTACCCCGTCCTTGTTGTTGCTTGCCGCTGCGAGGAGCACGTCGACGTCCAGCCGGGCTTGGTCCTGTTTCCCCACAGCAGGGCCATCATGCAGATACGGTTGCTTCTCGCCGTCCCTGTCCAATTTTGACAACACCTGGCCGGTCGAGGCAATATCCCGGACTGTCTTGACCATGTTCTGGCCAGTCGAGCTGTCCCAGCTGGTCTCAGCAATGCCCTGGGTTTCAGCCATGTCCCCGTCAGTCGAGGTCAACCGTCTGACGTCTTGAGGAGAGACTTGGTTCTCAGGGCCACCCCGAAGTTGGACTTTCTCCCTCAAGTTCTGAGTCTCAAGGCCGATACCCGGCAATCCTACATTGTCCCTCGCGGCGAGCCACTCCGCGACGCTCGCTTCGTCGCCAAAGCGACTCCTCGCCTCAGCATCCCATCTCCAACCCCCACCGCTACCTCCGGGTCCTCCCCCCAAAGCCTTCCTCGCGGCATGGACGAGCCCCGGGATGACGTCGATGAACTTGTCGTAAACGACCTGCCGCAGGCGGTACGGGCGGTAGTCGAAGTCGAGGTTGCAGCGCCCGTACAGGTTGCGGAAGAAGCGGTCGTGCTGGTCGACGTCGCGGCTGCGGAGCGGGGCCAGGTCGGCGCGGCAGAGAGCCGCGAGGATCTTGGCCTTCTCGGCGTGGCAGAGCCGGAGGCGGAAGCGCTCGCGCGGGGTGGCGGTGAGCTTGTCGCGGTAGTAGCTCACGGGCACGCCGCAGATGTCCTGGCAAGCGTCAGTCAGTGCGACTTTCGGAATTGCACGGGAGATAAGGAACAAAATTAGGCAAGTAAATGAGCAGTCTACCTCTTCGTTGTTTGCGCGACACATCCTGGCGGGGTGGAGGAGTGGCTTCGGATTGATGAAAAAAGCCTTGATCGAGTGAACAGTAGGCCTGGTCCGGAAGGGGAGACCAAAACCGCTCAGCATTAACCAAGAAGAACGAATGCCAAAATGTCTCTTTTTGAGATGAGAGACAAGGACATGTCCTTGCCAAAAAAAATAATAAATAAGTAAATAAATAAATAAATTGAGGAAAATGAATGAAAGACTTGGGGGGGAGTTTTTTTCTCTCTCCTGTGCCGAACGGGAAGCGGCATTGGTCTACCACACTAAGCCGTCTTCGACCGGTGAGGTGAACTGTGTTCGGACTCACCGAGTCTATTTTCCAAATCCAATTACAGGTGATTAGCTCCGGAGAGGTCGCACAAGACCATTCCCAGCATTCTATTCCCAACATTCCATCCCATAAAAACAACCTACTAAGCCGCCATTTTTGCACCCCCTGTCCAACCCAGAGGACAATGCCATGTCCACTCAACCCACCTTTAATTGCAACCCATCCCACGAAAACTGTCCCGAGAACCCATGCCAGACATCACTCCCATAAGCCTGCTCCTAGTCAACCACTCCGAAGCGACAACTCCCAAAAGTCCACTCTCAAGCCCACCCAAAGAGATATTCCCAACCCCCCCAAACCCCATCCCATCAACCCAACCACCCATCCCCTACTCCCTCGTCCCCCGGCTTCCCCCCCCTCCGCCGCACATGCCTCGCCTGATACCAAACCCACCACCTGTCAACGCAGCGCCTACACCTCCCCCTCCCACAGCTCCCGTCTCCGCAGTCCACAACCGGCCCCCCATCCCCCCTTGCAGGCAGCCTGTCCAAGACCACCGTTCCCTCCCTGGCCTGCCTCTTCATGGTCACCCTCACACCGGGGGTTTTGGTCGGTCTAGCACGACTACTAGATGCACTCTCCCCCTGTAGCTGGTCCTCGATCCAGGTCTCCGTCCGGCTGGAGTTCACCACCGTCACGGGGGTGTTGGGCTTTAGCGCGGTGCCTGTCTTTGGGGCGTGAGTTGTTGGTATCTCGGGAGCTATGGTGTGACGGGCCTGCTGCCCTGCACCTGGGCGCGTGTCATCTCCTCGAGACATGTGAGTCGTCGCATTCCGGACCGCCGGCGAGGCACCGCCTGGGATCTCGGGCAATGGGCGGTGCGGAGACATGTCAAAGAGGCTGAGACCGGGACTGGGACTGGCGTATCTTGAACCAGCAGTCCGTAGATCACCGCTTGGTGGGGTGAAATCCGCCTTCGGGTTCAGCTGCTTGGTGGATGGACGGTTGTCCTGTTTCTTTTGGACTGTTGACAGTCTCGTGTCTGTCCTGTGGAACTGTGTCTTCTGGATGCTGTGCTGCATGAAGGGCGTAGGCTTGGCGTGCATGTGGGCGGATTGGTTGACGTGGAGGGCTTGGCTGGTCTTCTGGAAGCGAAGGGGTGACGGGACTAGAGCCTGGGCTGGGGCTGGACGCAGGAATGGCGGAGTAAAGGTCTTGGCGGGGGTGCCTTGCTCTGGAGGTAGCAACGGAGCTGGGTTTGGAGCGGGGGTTATTGAGGTTGGGCTTAGACCTGTGACTGAAACGGGGGCTAGCACGGGAGCTGATGAGGGGGAGAGAGTGGCGGCTGGTGGCGGATCTGGCTGAGCTAAGGGGATCGTCGTCTGAGCTGGAATTAAGGTGTTGGAGAACACGTTCCTGAATCCGATCTGACTTGGATGCTGCAGCAGATGCTGTGTTGGTTGAGTGGGATTTTCACTGTCAGTGTTTGTCTTGATGTTGGCAGTTTTCGAGCCAACCGGGGAGCCTGATCTGGGAGAGAACACGGCCTCGTCTCTGGGTTCCGACGAGTTCCTCTGGTTTTGTTCTGCCAGATTCCCAACTCTCTTTTCGACGGATAGACTGGCCTCGGTGGCGTCTTCAGGACCGTCAGGGGGACCGGGTTGGGCTTGAGCGGGAGTAACGAGAGGTGTAACTGGAGCACAGTGTCAGCAAACCCAATAAATGGAGGGCATCACAGCAAGTACCGTTTGCATCGGCACCTTCCTCCACATCCGCCGCCCACCGTCTCATCCAGACGATCGACGAGTTGAGGCTCCTGCAGTTCCCATTCTCCCACTTGCTGTCCCACCCCTCGCCCGGGTCGCCGGACGGGCACAGCTTCTTGGCCCAGGCCATGACGTCGGGAGTAATCGCGTCGAGCTGCCGCTGCCGTGTCTTGTCGCCTATCTTGGACACATCGGGCATGTTGAGGAGATGGTTCCGATACGCGAGGATCTGCTGGGCTCGGAGCTGCTTGTTCGATTTCGGGACCGGGCCGGGGCCGAGGTCGGGGCTGGTATCTTCCTTGCCGGGCGTGTATTTTGGGGTGATGCTCTCGATAATCACGTTGGGTTCGGCACCGGGCTGGCCCGAGCCAGGGCCCTCTTCGGGAGATGCCATCTGCTTTGCTAACGGGTTGACTTCTGATTGGGGAGCGCGAGTCTTTAGAGCACAGGCTGTTTAAGATGATCAGCTGTGTCCGCCTTGATCGGGTAGGCAAGAGAGCTTGGGTTGGCAATATGAATACCCCTAGTTTTGCTCGCGCGGGAAGACGGTAGAAATGGAATGGAAGAGGAGATTGAGACGGGGAAGCTTGGGGAATAATTGGTTGGGCGGGCTCTGGTTTCACGGCTGTATTCCCACGCACAGCTTTGCCTGCGGGGCCAGAAACCCCTCCAGATCTACCTACTCGCAGGATATCCATACTCCATCTGTCGAAATATAATTACCAGGTGTAAAAAATCGTGCCAGTGGTACCTATTAGAGCAGCTCCACACCAGCCCCCACAACCAAGACCTTATCCGGGGATATCTCTGGGAGCTGGTAGAGAGCGATTTGCGGAGATTTCCCCAGTGCTGCATTGGCACGTGTACTCTAGATCCTAGATTGCTGATAAATCTCGATAAAGTATCGGCATTATGTGATGTAACCCGATTTTAACCTAAGGTTACTCTCACAGCATACAGGGGTGAATGAATGAAATCATGATATCCATACCACATGCCCTCTCATGCCCATACATGTTTCTAGTGAATTTGACAGGGCAGCATCACAAACTCCCCATGACTCAAAGTCTTGCCTAGCTTCACCCCCTCAGCTTCTCACCACACAACCTCTCAATCTCACCCCACCCCCTGGCCACCCACACCGTCTTCTCCTTGTCGCTCTTATCCCTCACCGTCCTCATAAAATACCTAAAGTAATAATCCCTCGCCTTATTACCATAAAGAATATTATACGACGCAACCATAACCAAGTACCGCCGCTCAACCCAGCTCCCCCCGCCCTTCCGCCCAGCCCGCACCACCGCGCCCCCCAACCGCGCGGCTAGCGGCGCCGACGCCTTGGCGTACGACTGCGTTAGGGCCCAGCGGAACTCGTCGCGCGCGGAGCTGAGATGAGGGTACTGGTAGCGCGTGTACGGCGGGGCGTTGACGTCGACGCCGAGGAAGTCGAAGAGCGTCGGCGGGGGTTTGTCGGGGGGGAAGGGGGCGGTGGTGCGCATGGTTCGGTAGGTGGTGCAGATTGCGGTGAGGGGGTCTGGGGAGAGTTAGGAGGGAGGGTTGTTCTTGGAGACGAAGGGGGGGGGGGAGGGCATTTACCATCGGAGAGAACGAGTTGGCTGTCGGGGGGGTTCGTTGATGATGGGGGAGCTGCGAAATGTGATGGTTAGCTAATGCCAAAGGCTGTACAATAAAGGCGAAAGTACTTACAAGACCAGCCGCGGATCCACGAGAAAATGAGCAACAACGCCAGCCCTAGCCCTGCCACCCCAAAGTACGCCCAGGCGGGGATGGCGCCATCGGCCCTCACATCGGCTCTCACATGGCCGCGCCGTTGGTCATATCTCGGCATCTGCCTTCTTTGCTCCATGATTCGTGAGACAACTGCATCGGCTGGGGGGTGTTTTGGTTGACAAGTCTTGTCCTCGGTCGAGAACTCTCAGTTGGGAAGTCCTTTGATCTAACCAGTCAAGTTTTGACAGTTAGTTTTATTTCGGTAAAGTTGGTGTGTGTACGAGGGAAACGGCCGTCCTATCCTATGTGACAGCAAAGAAACTGATTAGCGTCAAGCCCCACACCAACGAACGCGTATCTCGACCCAGTACCCTGCACTTTCCCGTTTCATTCTTCACCTCCACATAATTTCCACTTCCAACTTGTTTTTACTCGAAGCCCATGCAAAATGTCAAGCAGCGAACCCCCCAGAGACCCCCCCGGTCATCAGGCCCCGGTAAAAAAGACTCTCGGCCCGGCATATCTCCGGCAGCTCAAGGCCAAACAGGACGAGATCACCGCAGGCAAGGGCAGTCGGAAATCGGGCAGTTCTGTATCTTCTGCGGGCATCCCGCCTCCCCCGATCAGCGAGGACGGTCAGAGGTCAGAGGGGCGGGTGCTTGACGCGAAATATCTACAGCGGTTGAAGAAGAAGCAGGAGACTATAATGGGGTCGTCAAGAGGCAGCGGGCAAGCCAGTTCCACCGCGTCGGTGCATGACTGCGAGAATTGCGACTCCAAGCAACGTGGCCGCGTCTTCGAAGAACTTGGCCCGGATGAGGAATATTGTAAGTTGTCTGCTCGGAACCTGCATTGTCCTCCGTTCTCACACTTTGCAGATGCCCAAGCACCGTCGACAATCCCTTTTGGCTTCAATCCGTCGGACGGAGTCCCGAGACACCACGCTGGCAGCAGTGCCAAGAAGAGAACGAACGAGACGACACCTCACATGCCCGCCGTTGATGCCGAATCTTACAAAGTCCCCGGAGCATTCGAAGAGGCCCTGGTGCAGTACGCCGTACAATCACCGCCGTCGGTCCCCAGCCCACCCCCCGAAATGGTCCAGCAGGCCACCCTCCAGACCTTCCTCCGGACAAGCATCCAACCCCCAGCCAACGGCCCCCCCATCGTAGCCGACCACCGGCAGATCCACATCCACAACAACCACCACGACAACCGCCAGTACTACGGCCCGGGCCCCACCCCCGATGCCGAAACTCCCGACCGGGCCAGCCAACCAAGCATCCCCACCCCGCCATCTCCTGCCCCACCGGCCAACCCCCTCCTAACCTGGCGCACCCTCGGCACCATCGCCGCCCTCGCAGGCGCCCTCCTCGGCGCCGTCGCGGACCCGCGCTTCGTCGCCGGGTGGCAGGGCCACCGGGCCAAGGTGTACGTGTCCGGGCAGGTTGCCGCGGCGTGGGGGTGCGTTGTGCGGCCTGTTGCGTGTCTGGGGGGCGGGGGAGAGAGGACTACGACGATGACGATGACGACGACGACGGTGTATGTTGCTGAGACGGAGTTGGCGGGGGCAGGTGCTACGCCTGTGGTGAGGATGCCGGTGCGGCCGCTTGTGGATTTGAGGGGGGCGTTGATGGATGGGTCGGTGGTTGTTGAGGCTGAGGTTGAGAGGTCTGATCCGAGGAGGATGGCGGAGGGTTGGTTGGGGGGGGATGGAATCGAGGGGGCAGGAGCTGACGAGGCTGTCGAGGACGAAGCTATTCCTGACCACCATGTCGGCGAATTGGTCAAGCTGTGGGACACGCTGGTGCTCCAAAAGCAGCAGGACGGCGACAGTACATCCCCCCATCGCTCTACCTCGGAGATAGCCAAGGAGGCGTGCAAGTTCAGCGACAAGTTCGGCCTCGGGTTCGAAGACCAGGTCAGCCACGAGACCAACGAGGTCCGCGCCATCTTGCGGGACATGGCCCTCTTCCCCGCCGAGGGGCCCATGTTGAAAGTTTGGACCGGCAAATCCCAGAGCGGGAAATACCGTAAGAAAGCCACACCCCCTCCTCTGCTCTCCCCCCAATCCTAACCCACCACCAGACCTCGACCCAGCAACGCACACCCCCCTCCCCGCCACAACCTGGTACACCTACCGCGCCTCCGTCGGCGCCGCCACCCGCGCCGTGTCGGCATCCCAGGAAGCCGTCCTCGCGCACCTGGCCCGCATCGAGGGCGTCGTCGACCGCGCGGTTGCCTTCCGCGTTGCGCAGGAGGAGCGCGTGCGCCGGTGGCTGGACGAGGCCGGCGGAGGTGTGGGGCCCGTCAACGCGCGGTCGTGTCGCTTGGCGCTGGGGCTGAGGGATTATAAGAGGGTTGCCGGGGGGAAGGTGAGGGAGCGGAGGAGGGCGGCTGTTGCGGAGGAGAAGCGGGAGGACGGTGGTGGGGGGTCGGATGTTGTGCTGGCGGCGACGGACTCGCATATGGCGCTGGTGAGATATGCTGCCGAGGTGTCGTGGGCGTATTGCCTGATGTCGGGGGAGAGCCTCGAGGCGACGAAGAGGGCGCACAAGGCCCTTGTTGCTGATGTCCGGCGCTGTGAGAAGCTGGCGCAGGAGGTGAGAGACCTAAAAACCACGATCAAGGCCCGGCTGGGTATGGTCCGGAGCCCCGGTGATTTTGTCGCCGTCATGGAGAGCGATAAGGAGATCCGCGACTTTGCCGAGGGTCTGCTGGCGTGGCTGGAGGAGGAGGCCGAGATGACGGAGAAGGATTGACGGGAGACTTAGATTAGACTTGCTTGAAGGGGTGGTGAAATTGGGAGGAGTATCCATATGTCCTGGGGTTCTCTTCGGGATCGATCAATGAGGGTATTTGCATGAGACCTTGGATGAGAACTTGAACGAGAATGGCAATATGATCAAGGAACCCGGGTTTGACTCTATTATGACAAACAGATGTCTAGGCCTCGAAATCATTGGATTACACGACCACTTTGATAGTTCCGCCAAGAAAAGCACAATGGCTATGACCTGTCTGACAATCCACCATCCACCCGCAACACTGCATCTTCGGTCAGAAATACCCTCGTTAACCTCACTGAGAAACAGCGTGCAGCATGAGCTCACTCATTAGCCGCTTGATCTCCTTGTCCCAATCCACCGTCTCCTGAAGCGCGGCATGGTACCGGTCAATAGCTTGGGTAAGATCAGCCTTGAGCTGGGCAGTGACGGCATCACTGGCTTTAGCCTTGGCTGTGGCATCACACTTGTCAGCAGGGACTTTTATCGGGGTGCGCATGAGTCCTACCATCCTCCCGCAACCGCGCCGCCTCCGCCTCCGCCTCAACCTCCCTCGCAGCCTCGCGTACAGCCTGCGACCGGAACTCGTCCCACGTCTCCCTCATCTTCCGCTCGACGAGGTGCTGCGGCACATCGCCAACCTGGCTGGGCAGATTCCCGTACTGCGACAGCGTCACCGCCGACGGCGAGAGCGGCGGTCCGCCCGACGAGGCCGCGTCCTGGCTGGGGTGCCGCCGGATGTATTCCTCGACGAATTCCGCCTCTCGCGGCCCGAGGTTGTGCCCGTCGACGCCGCGGCGGACGATGTCGAGGAAGTCGCGGCGCGAGGCTGATGTCGACTGCGAGGGAGACGGAGAGCCCATGTTGCCGGCGTGGGCGGGGCTGACTGGTGGTCTCGCGGGGTTGGAGGATGGTGGTTGCCTGCTGTCGTTGCCGCGGGCTCGGGGAATTGGTGGTGATTCCATCGGGAGTGTGGCTCAGACTATCGTCATGTTAGCATCTATCCACGATATTACTTGTAGAAAGGACGGACTTGTCTCGATGGGTTGTCACAGATTGAGGAGGGTTGGGGGAAGAGAAGCATGGCATGACGGAGTTTATAGCTGGCGGGAAGTGGGGAGGCAGCTGCAAACAGCATGCATGTTCCCGTTGTCTGCCTGGGCAGAGCTTGCATTGGACATCAAGGGCAAGTAAAGGGAGCCTAAGGACATAAGACCTAGGCAAAGACGCCATCTTTGTGAGATGGATTATACCATTTAATAGTGACGGGCTGAGGGGTTTCCCAATCATTGATGGGACGGGATTTCTTTAATCTGTACCAAGCGGGATCTTGTTTTGGGTCCCAGGCGAGATAGAAGCTCCACACGAAGTTATTCTCACGCATTTGGCATGCATTTGGCACGCTTTTGAGCATACATTTCGAACCGAGTCTTGCAATTCATCTACCACCCCGTGGCTTAGAAAGCAAGCAAGAATGCATTCTGGCTCACCGGCAGATCAAGAGCAATTGATAGCCCTGTCGCAGCTAGTTTCGCAACCAAATGTTGCCGATACAGAAATAAATGCCTCGGCGAGGCGACACCAAAAATATCATTTGCAGCCTACAATGCATGGGGTGTTGTGGTCGTTCTGCGAGTTAAATCAAGTCAGAATGTTGAGGCATCGCTATAATGGTGTCGATCTGGTCTCCAGCCAGTTGAGTTTGAGTTATAAAGATAAGCGACAAGCTAACACCGCTTAACTAGCTTCTTGACTGGTCTCGGACAAGGGGTTTGCCCCGCTGCCAGACACGGTCGTTGTGCAGGGTGAAAATAAAACGGAGAATCTTGGTCGGGCGCTAACCAGCAGCGAGAAACGGGCGTGCCGCAAAAACGGCGCTAGTTCCAGGTACTCTCCAATACAAGCTACACAGGGACCTTTTGTCGCTAAACCCACCCCCGGTACGTGCGAACCATATACAGATCCAGCATGCTGCATTGGACGAACCGGTTTGCCAAAGCATGTGTCCGCAGGCGACCAGCATTGGCAGGAACTCCTGCAAGGCTGCAGGGCTGCTTATTTTTCTCTCCCACCATTCTGAAAGCTCAAACCCCAACTTACCTAGCTCAAGTTCCAAAGGATCATCACACTATTACCAGAATTTAATTTCCCACCAAGTCCACACAGTCACACACCTAGCGCATGGTCAACCAGACATACAATGACCGTCATGTATGCATTCCCACCCCGTCTCTTCCATCCCAAACCAAGCTAACCACCCCCTAGACGGTCAACGGCACCCCCATCGCAGCCCTCGCATCAGGCGAATGTAAGCGAATCCCCTGGACGGGCCGCCAGCACCGCATCATGAGCGCCTTCCTAGCCCGCCACCGCCTCGGGCCCCTCGACGTGCGGCACATGTTCCCGCCCAGCCACCGGTCGTCGGCCGCCCACGAGCACCCGGACGCCGACACGTGGCACAAACGCCTGCGGCTCGAGATCGCAGAGGCTCTCGACTGCTCCTTCGACGCCGCCTTCAACCGCGTCGTCCACCCCAAGATCTGCTCGGCCCTCGAGTATAAGCTGGGTTGCCTGCTGAAGGCGGACCCGCCGCCGCTTGTTAGGGTGGCTGGTGCTGATGCCGAGGCCGAGGGACGGTTTGTGAGGTGGGCGCCGTGGGCGAGGGCCTGGGCTGAGAGCGGGTGGGATGGCGACGAGAGGACGCCCCGGGGGGTGGCCGGGGCTGAGGCTGAGGTCGAGCGACCGCCACCGCCTATCATTGAGCCGCGGACCCAGCCCGAGCCTCGGCCACCTCCTCGGGTCCAGGCTAGGCCCCACACCCAGAGCCAGACACAGGGCCGACCGCAAGCTCGACCCCAGCCCCAACCCCGGCCCCAAGCTCCAGCCCGGCCGCAGGGTCAGCCCCAAACCCGGCCTCAACCCTTGCCTCCGCTTCGGGCCCCGCCTCAGCCGCAGCCCCGGCAAGAAGACTATGGCGACGTAGGGGACAACGGCGGCGACGGTGCACTGAGCGTGGACGGGAGTTCAGATGGGGATACGGACGGATCCACGGATGGGGGTACAGATGGTGATGGCGGGGATGGCGGGGAGGGCGGCGACCTTCGTCGAGTCAACGAGACCAGGCCGTCTCCCAAAGCCCAAGCGCATCCCTTGCCACCCCGCGGGCTACGCCATTCTCGGCATGCCGGGCCCGCCTCCAGCAGTGCGGTCCGCACCGGCTACCCACCTCCCGGGAACACGCAGGGAGAAGAAGCACCAGATCAGCCCGCTCCTCGTCAAGGCATCATCGGCAATGCATTCGCGCGCCTTCCGTGGGCTCGGTCAAACCCAGCTGCGACTCCCGGGGACAAGGAGGGTACCGGCAACGCACTCGCACATGTTCCCCCGGTTGCACCCCCCAAGAGCAAAAAGAAGGGAGGGAGGAAGACGATGCCGGAGTATCCCCCCGTTCCCCGTCACCGGATCATCCCACTACCCGATCCGGCCGAGACGAATGTTCCTCGACCTCCTCCTCAACCACCTCAACATCACCAGCCTCCGCAATCCCAACCCCAACCGCGGCCCCTTCATCACCTGCAAGATCCTCCCACGACTGTCCAAGTCCAAGGCAGACATCTTAATCCCCACCATCTCTACACCCTCCCCCTCCGCACTCGACCGGAACCACAACCACCCAACCCAGCCCCAGCACCCCGGCTCCGCGCCCCCCACACCATCCTAATCGACTCCATCGCCTCAGCATCAACCCACCTCGCAACCCTCGACCGGTGCCGCCGCATCCTCGAGGCATCGCTGACGAGCCTTTTGGTCGAGAGCACGCGACGGCATGACCCAGAGCTGGGCGAGGAGGTGGACAGGGTGCAGGCTGCGCTGGAGGAGGTGGAGAAGCGGGCGCGGGGGGTGGTGGCGGTACGGGAGGAGTTTGAGGGGGAGTTGAGGGAGGAGTGGGGGAGGATTGCCCAAGGGGGAGGACGTGGAGGTGGGAGGGGCTTGGATAAGGGCGTTGCTGAGGGTTTGGCGATGGGGTTTCAGGTTGGGGTTGGGAGGTTGGATTTGTTGGAGAGGACTTTGTGGAATTTCCGACTGGGGGATAACGATTGATAAAGAAAAAGAGATGGGGTATCGGGGGGATACCGATTTATGAAGGAGAAAAATGGGAGTCTCGATTAATTTGGTGGCTTTGGTGGCTTCGGGAATCCTCGCAAGTTAAGCACCGCACTAACAGGCATGGGTGGGTACGAATGCGGCAGGTGGTAGCGATGCACGCCGCAGAGTGGAGACTCGGCATTCTGGCTCGATCGAAGGTCGCAGTACGTCTTACCCCGGTTTGCCTCCGCCGAACCTTGTTGCTTAGCACCGCCACTAATGCGCAAAACCTGGCATAAGTTCTGTTATTGGTTCGGTAAGAATTATGCTTATTAGCAAGTTCGCAGGCCCAAGTCTGGGCGACAAAATATCCAACATCCATCTTCCACTGCAATATTCCAGTCGACGTCCTTGGTGCCACAATTGACGAGAAAAAGAGAGAAAAATGTGGCGTTGCTGGGGGAATCCTCGTGTAACCACCCAGGTCGAATCAGATGGAATCCAATGGGACACGTGGGCTTTGTTATTGGTCCAAGCGCCCGCGCCACGGAGTTGTCTTGCCCTGGCTGAAAATCTTTTCCGGGTTTCTCTCCCACACCACACACACTTGCACATTAGCCTACATTCTTAAGCTCATCTAATCTCAGCCATCTCAGCCATTTCAGCCATCTCGGACCCATCTCGGCCACATCGCGCCACGTTCAGCCCCAATCTCGATCGATCTTCCGTCGATCTCGCATCAAATTCCTGCACTTTCTGCAGCAACGAACGGTTCACAAGTGGGTACACAACGTCATGTCGTCCGCACGCGCTGGCGGACCCCGACCTCGGGGCCCGGAATCCAGCCTTCGACCAATCATAGACCACGTGGACGAGCAAGATCGCAAGCTCGTCGACTTGGTGGGAGACGCTGCCTGGAGCGCCATTGCTGGCGCTCCGGAAGATCAAGTCAAGCGCCAGTGGGGCCACTTCGAGGCATCCTTCAAGGGAGTCCATCCCAGTACGCCTCCGGGCTACTGGCTCGCCACCACATTTGACCTGACCGACCTTGAGGAGCTGGCCGCATTGCTGTACAGCGACATGGTTGAAAACCTCAAGGGTGCCTACGAATCATGTGCCGAGTCCATCACCGCGGGTCTCGGACTTCGCAACCTCTGGCCGCTGGCCTTGCTGGCCCCAAACGCAGTCAAGCCGACCATGCTCAAGGAGCTGGCGGCGAAATTCCGCCACTTTAAAGGCCCAGATGGCTACGACGCGGAAGATGTCATCTCCCTTCGCAACTTCGCCGACGCCATCAACACGGTGCGTCGGTCCCGCCAGTCCCAGCCGAGGGGCGAGGGGACGAGGGGCCTCTCCAAGGATCTCACCAAGTTCATTCGGCATGACATCTTGACGGCGATGGATAATCTCGCCAAGGTGAGTTTGCAGTTGCCACACCCAAGAAGAGTGGACTAATTAACATGTCTAGTCTTCTCAGACCGTCACTGCTGCGAACGGGTCGAGCCAGAGTAGTACGCCAGCCGCATCATCTAGCCGCGCATTTCCGACCTACAAGGGATCAGCCATCCCCAGCGCTGTCAGGACCAAATACACCCAGGTAAGTCAACTTTCTACTTCTAGACCCCAGTCTCCGTCTCTCTCTCTCTCTCTCTCTCCTTGATACCAGGACATGATCTCACTCAATTTGGACGCCAGGGTACCCCATCGCGCCGTTCTTCACGCCTTCCCTTTACCCGAGCCGAACCCCGGGTTGCACACAAGGTTCGGAAAGACGACGAGGAGGAGGAGGAGGAAGAGGAAGATGAGGAAGACGAAGAGATGCCAAACATTTTCCAGCCCACTGACAAAGATACCGAGGACGACGGTCATATGCACATTGACGATGAAGAAGTATGTACTCCTCGGCTGCCCGCCGTGCCTCTCCATCTTCCCACCATCCTGGGAGACCGCCCCGGCCGCTTCTTTCTCCTTTCTATCCTACGTCATCACCGCCTAACAATGTCTTTCTACCGTGCTAGTCGCTCCCTCTCCGACGAGGAAATAAGCGAAACGTGAAACGAAAGTTGGACGAGATGACCGACGACGCTGAGGCTGGGCCGTCGTCGCCCAACACAGTCGGAACCAAAGTCCCCGTGGCCAATCCATACGATGACTTTGAGTCTGATGATTCATTCAAGCCTCTTACCGCCAAGCGCCCCCTTAACAAGCGTCCCAAGTTGACCACCACTTCTTTGGCGACGGTCAATCCAAAGCGTCAGTATGACAGTTCTCCCGTGGTGTCGGAGACTGTTGGGAATAAACCGGACTTGGCGAGGCTTTTATTCGCCGAGGGAACGCAATCTGGTGAAGACGCGGCCAAGCCCAAGCCCGGCATTGGGCCTCTCCAGTCTGACGTCAAGTCGGACGAGTTCATGGCTGACATCACCTCGGATGAGTTCATGGCTCGGCCAGACTCGCCGGCCCCGCCCCCGGCCTCGCCGATCAAGGCACCCACCCCCGGCCCCGCGCGATCGTCTACGCCCGATGCTGAGGAGACCACGGTTCAGCATGATCTGCGATCGCTCGCGCCAGGCAACTGGGTCAATGACTCGGCCATGATGCACATAGCCTCGTTGTTCGAGTCCAACAACCTCGCCATCGTCGACCCCTTGGAGCTAGAACACTTCCGCAACTCGAAACCCCTGACTGAGAAGGTCCGCCACAAGTATCTCCCCAAGATGAACCGCAACCTGATCGCCGTCATTGTCAACGAAAACCGCTCTCACTGGCGTCTGGTCGTCTACTGCCGAAGCGACGGCTGTCTCGAGCTAGTCGACTCCATGGGCCCCATCCCTCCCGTGGAGGAGAATCTGAACCTCTACAAACACCCGACCGTAGAGCTAGCCGTCGACTTTCTCAGCGCCGTGCTAGGTGAAGAGCTCAACACGACCCTGAGGACCTTCGCCCTGACGCCCCGCCAGACCAACGCCAACGACTGCGGCGTCTTCATCTTGGAGAGCATCCGCTGCCTGTCCATGTTCGGAAACCCAGCCGGGCCTCCGAAGCGCCGCAACCAGGCCGATCCCGTCCCCGAGACCCCCGACAGCAACGCCCTGCGCGCCGAGATGGCCGCTCTCTACGCCAGCCGGCGGTTCAAGATCGTGCCCCGCGGCGTCGCCGGCGTCGCCGGCACCCTCGCCCGCGTCCGCGCCGAGCACGACCTGGCCGTCAAGCACGCCGTCGAGCGCGCCGCCGTGACATTTGCGGCCGAAGTGGAAGCGGAGGAAGCGCCCGTCCACGACTTCCTACTCGCCCTCAAGGCCGCGCACGTCCGCGCCGCTGTTACCGCGGACCGCCTTGGTCTGGTCCACGTGCAGATCCGGGGGATCGCATGCGAGATGGCGGCGCGCAAGCAGGAGATTCGCGTCCTGCGCTGCAAGGCCGTGGAGTTGAATAGCGTGTACACGGCTCTGCCCGCGTCCATGTCTACGCCACGTGCCGGTGCAGCCCGCGTCGGCACGCCCCGATCCGCTGTCGCCAGCGCCGTCGATGGGGCGCAGAGGGCTGCGGCGTCGGCTGCCAAGGCGGTGAGCGAGGCGCGGCGCATGTCCGAGTCGGCGGCTGAGGCGCTGGTAGGGGAGATGATGAGTTCGGTTGAGGCGCTTGAGGGGTTGAGGAGGAGGTTGGTGCTCTATGGTTCTGTCGCTGTGTGGTTGACCGCGGTCTTCCACAAGAGGATGCGGGAGGTCGGACGTCATCAGAGAATAGTGAGGGGGATAGTGTCGCGGGGGAGGTTGATTTCGGAAATTCCCAAGCTCAACCTGGGCGACGACAGTGACGGTGACGAGGAGAATTACACCACCCCTGAGGCGCTGGGGCAGGTCACCGATCCTGTCGCTGCCCCAGACCAGCAACTTGGCTTGGGTCTGTCCTTCACCGAGAGCCCCGCCCCCATCTCCAAGGCCGGTGTCCTCGAGGGCTCCCCTGAGGCTGGTGTCTCCCAGAGCTCCACGCTCGAACCCGACGTCTTCTACAATTCCGTCCCTGCCCTCGAGGCCGATTTCCCCCAGAGCGCCGCCACCGAGAGCGCCGCGACGACACTTGTCTCATCTCCGGTCCCAAACGACACGGTCAAGTCCCCAGGACAGGAAAAAGCAACCCCGTCTCCTGCCCCTCAGAACAACTCCACCCCAACCACAGACAAGACCAAGTTTGTCTCGCCCCCCACTCACACCGGTGACAACCAGCTTGAAAAACAAGCCTTATTGATCTTAGCCCAACCCTGAACACCCTCTGGCACCAAGACGGCCATGGTTCTGCCTCTGGGCTACCCCCTCCTAATGCCATGATAACACCTAACTTTTTTCCACCCACAGCAGGCGAGATCGGTGCATCTCTCACGGCACCAATCAGCCGCATGCGCCACTCGCGGTGTTGGCTTTTCAGCCGACAACGTTTTACTATTGGGGTGCATCGGGTTTGGCCGTTGCTTCCGCACCGTCGCAGCATCCCCACTACCTAACCGGTTAACCTTAACATACCATCTTCGACGACATCGCGGTCGATCTTGGCTCATCGGTGTTTCCATGATCCACGCGCGAGCTATTCTGTTCTTACCATCTACTCGGGCGCTTGTTTTCTTGCCCTGTTGCATTTGGATACACAGTCTCTTCCCACATAACCCCCGCTACTCGGGCACTTGGGCGCTTTGCTTTTCTCCACTTTGGACTCGGACTCGGCACGGGTCTTTCTTTCCCCTTCTAACTTGGGCACTTGGTTGGTTTCCACACGCGACTCGGACACTTGGGTTTGTTCCGCCATGGACTTGTCGACACCGTTTCACTCTTCCGAGTCACGCCTCATACTTGAGACTCGGACACCTAGGGTCCTTCCCCAACCAACTAAGGCACTCAATTTCTTCTCGCTTGGGCTTAGATACTCGCCTTCTGCTCGCTTTTCCCTTGGATACTCGGTTTGTTCCCCCATTTGGCCCCGGCTCCCGGCTTTTACGTCCTGGCTTGGGCACTCCGGTGCTCTCCACTTCGGACCGGACTTCGGACTGGGACAATTGGGTCCCTCCACCCCTCCCCTCCCGCTTTTCACTGTAGGCACTTCTCTCCTCTGACTTGGCTGCTGTGGTCTGGTCTTCCTGTCGACCCTGCCTGTCGGTGTCTTTGTCCGTCGGCTTGGATCCTCGGATTACCCAATGGACACTTAGACGCTTAGTCCTTTCTCTCTCTCTTGATCCACTTGGTTGCTTTCTCTTCCATCGCAGGCATTTAGCTATTTCCACTTTACTTAAGTGCATGCCTTTTGCCACTGCTAGCTTAGCTAAGGTTCCAGATATGCACTTTACATTAATTTAGTCTAGCCACGTACTTCTCTTGTGTAACTGTAAACCTTGTCGTAGTCTTTAGATATCTCAAACTAGCGACATTTGCTTTTTGTCTTGCCTTTCCATGTCTTAGCAAACTATTAAATACATGCAATTAAAAGTAAACTTTATTATGTATATATTTCAAATCTTAGGTATGTAAAGTTTAAAGTTTAAAATTTAAAGTTTGTAGTTTAAAATATAGAGTTTAAAGTTTATAGCGTAAAGGTTTGTAATTTAATTCATTTAATTTATTTAATTTGCGTTAGATAAAGTTTAAGTAATAATTAGTGAAAATGCTTAATCTAGTAATACCTACTGCTAGTTTAAATCTTAATAATCTTAAAAAAATCTCAATGCTAATATTTACTATAGTATGCGTAAGCTTAAACTTAACCTTAAATTTAATGCAAGTTGCTAATAACTTATGCTGTAAACTTTAATGCTTAGCTATATAAAACAAAGTCTTTAGTTAAGATATAATATGTGGAAATTCTATTTTAATCTAATACTACTATTATCTTAAACAATTTTATTAAATTCTAACTACTTTAGTTAATCTTTGCAATTATGCTAATTATTAAAATTACCTATTATTTTCTCTTAAAAAAGATGAACAAAATCTTTAAGCTATATAGCAAAGCTATACTATATTTTAAAAAGCTACTAGATACTGCTAAAGCCTAACAGTTAACTAATGAAAAATGCTTTGCCTTTTAAATTATTAAGTATAAAAAGACATGCAGTATATTTAAAAAGATAGCTTAGAAAAAGACAATAAAAAATAGCTATAGTATTTTAAAAAGCTAAAAACTAACCTATAGTAAGCATATTGTTAGCAAATTAAGAGAGAAAAAGGCAAGATAGATTAGTTTTGGCAAGATATGCAAAGGTTAGCATTATTAGCATTATTAGCACTTTTAGTTATTTAAAATGCTTTTTTTACTTAGCATTATACTAAAATGATAATTACCTACTAAAATCTTAGTAAAGCTTTTTTTAAGCTATACTTAAGGCTATTTAATAGGCATATACATAAAGCAATCTTAGTAATTATCTACTAGTTTACAAGGCTAGATATTTATACTCTAATGTAATAGATATTAATAGCTTTAAAGTTTATAGTAGTATTATACTAGTATATAAAATGCTAATTTAAAACTTTACTAAAAGTTCTAATAAACTAAGACTTTTTATTTATAAGTAATTTTTAGCAAAAGTTTTCAAATGCAAAGTTAACTAAATAGCAACTATTTATAGCATATTACTTAAATATAAACAGTTAGACTAAAAAGATAATGTAAATAGTAAATTACTATCTATGAATAGTAAATGCTAAAGCTTTAAACAAATAGGCAGTATTACTTTATAAAGTAGAATTTGCATATAATAATGCTATTTATACTACTATTAAAGTAAGTCTTTACAAAGCTTTATATTTATTTAATTTTTTTAATTTGTGTTAAACAAAGTCTAAGCAATATCTAGTAAAGATACTTAACCTAGCAATACTTGCTATTAGTTTAATCTTAATAATCTTGAAAAAAATCTCAATGCTAATGTCTACTATAGTATGCATAAGCTTAAATGTCAGAGGTATATAGACAGCTGGCTAAAAAGGCTACATGGTGAATTGATTGGCAAGTGGAGGCTTAGGTTAAGACTAGTGGATTGGCAGAGGCTATAGGGATGTGTAAACAAAGGCTTATGTATTATCTACAGATTATCTACAGACTAGGTTGTTACTAGAAGATCCCTGCGTTATCTCTAGGAACTTCCAAAGACAAGACTAGAGTAGATTAGATTATGTATAACGCTTTAAGAAAAAGATGTTAGGTATTTTAAAAAGGCTAACCTTTTTTCTAAAAAAAAAGGCTAGCAATTAATTTGTATAACATTAAACCTTTTACTTTCTTACTATTTTACCACTATTATCTACCTAGCTTTTTACTTTATATTTGTAAAACCTTTTGACATATTAATCACTTTAACTTTTAAAAGAAAGCATAGACTGTTATGCTAAGACAAAAACCTTACTACTACTATGCTACCTATTGCTAATATGTAACCTATTGCTAACATTAAGACTATAGACTTAGAGATTTCTAGCTTTAATACCTTTTAGAGTGTTAAGAGTGTAGAGGAAAAGCACTAGAGACTTAACTATAAGATTGCTAACAAAAAGCAACTTTATACCTTGTAGAAGAAGAGAGATAGACTAGTAGCTTTAAGGAGAGGTAAAGACTTTAACACTTTTATGCAGCTTTTTAAAAACCTACTAGCTAAACGCTAGCAAAGAAATAAGACAAAGACTTTTCTTTCTTTTCTAAAGTATAAAAGATTAAGCTAGTCTAAGTATAAGCTTTTTATCTTTAAGTTATGCCAATGCTATCTAAAAGGCTTAGACTTTTATTAGGAGTATAATAAAATCTAGGCTGCTATTAGTGCTTTAATTAACACAATTAAACAACACTAGTTAAACTTTCTAACTGCTAATTATAATAGCAGCTTACTAAAAAGTAACTAAAAGATATTAAAAAGTAGCTAAAGTATAACTTAGACAACAATAACATTTAAGTTTTAAAAACCTTAAATAGCCTTTTTAGTTATAAAAGCATTTTCTATACTTTAAGGCAAAAGGTTTAAAACTTTCTAGACAATTTTACAATACTAAAGGCTAAGCTATCTAAAGCTATACTAGAAAGATACTAGATAAGGCTATTATTTATTAAATTAGACTTAGCTATAATCTAACAAATTGTTTTTAATAGCATGCTATGCATTTGCTAGGAATTAGTTAGTATAGACTTGTGTTAATAAGATTGCTTTAGCAAGCCTTTAGTAATATTTTAAAACTAAGGTTAAGATAGATAGTTTTATAGTTAATTTAACTTGCAAGGTTTTTTGTTAGCGCTATTAACTAGCAATACTTTTGCTATATTGCAAAAACTTAACAACTAATTAAGACACTTGACTTGCTATTGCTGCAAAAAGAAAGGCTATATTGCTACTAATTGCATTAAGGCTGCCTTAGCTTTAAAAGCAAACTAGAAACTTTTTAGCAACTATATAACTATAATAGTAACCAATTGATAGAAACTAAAAGCGCTATTTTTAAAGTTAGTTAAAACAAAAGTATATCTTTAGTTAGGTAGACAATAGGTTTTAGTAACTGCTTTGATAGACAGGAGATTCTAAGCTAATGTTATTAACTATTGAGGAGGAGAGACACAAAACTACCTACCTACCTACCTCTCAATGTAGTATACTGCCGCTAAGGCGTAGTTCTTAGCGGTAGCGGCAGCTACGTGATTAGCTAGCAGGCAGATAAAATCATACCCCTTCCTTACCTTTAGCGCATGTGACTAGTTAGGTGACCCTGATTAGCCCTAATACGTCTCGCAGTAGTGCCTAAATCTAGTTGTGTAAGTAAGGTAGGAAAACGCCAGTAGCGTAATTAATTGAATTGAAGGCGTAAAGAAGGAATAGAATGCGGTAAATCAAGTATTATTGCGTAGAAAGCTTTGAAATAACTAAGGTGTAAAGAGTGCTGCTTGTAAATCTGTGTAAGTCTGCGTAATAGATAATGATTTTACAATTTAAGGCCTTGATTACGCTTTTATATGAAAGCGCAGAAAATCCAGTCCAAAGCTGACTTATCCTAGCCTAAAGCGGCCCGTGCCTTTTCCATTCACTACGTCACTATGCTTTCTTAAAAGAAATAGACTTAGCTTGTATTTTCAAAAAAGCTAGTATAGTTTTTTAGCCTATTAGCTTACAAACTATTAAGGCATTTACCTAGAGTAACTAGATAGTAATATAGAAAGCTATAGATATATAAAATGTGTTATGTATGCAATTTCAACCTTTTTAGATTGCTAATTGTATTACAAGCTTATATCAAGTTATTCTTAGCCTATTTTAGCTTAAGACAAAGGTTTGCATTAATTATACTTGCAATGCCTAAACTTACCTATTATATCTCTAGAGTATTACTTTAGCGACAAGGAGGAAATTAGTCTACAAGATAGCTTAAAGCATCTAATATACTATGATTATTACTTTAACAAGAGTATAGAAAGGTTTTAGTAAAGATTTAGAGGTTTTAGAAGATAATTCTAAAGCCAAAGACTTTTTAGAATATTAAAACA